AGCAGGAGGAAAAAATTGCTAAAATCATTCTTTTCGATTGGTTTCAGAAGTTACATTACGCACTTTTTGGGCGCAATTTTGCTGCCTTTCCGGTCCTTCACTGCCATGGTGTTTTCCCATCCGGGAGCTGCCGTTTGAGCAGCAGGAGCAGGAGCAGCAGCAGGAGGAAAAGGTAGCTAAAATCATCCTTTTCTATGGGTTTCAGAAGTTACATTAGGCACTGTTTGGGCGCAATTTTGCTGCCTTTCCGTCCTTCACTGCCCATGGTGTTTTCCCATCCGGGAGCTGCCATTTGAACAGAAGGAGCAGCAGGTTTTCCCATCCGGGAGCTAGCATTTGGACAGAGGGAGCAGCAGGAGCAGGAGCAGCAGCAGCAGGAGGAGGGAAAAGGTAGCTAAAATCATCCTTTTCTTTGGGTTTCAGAAATTACATTGGGCACTTTTTTGGGCGCAATTTTGCTGCCTTTCCGTCCTTCACTGCCATGGTGTTTTCCCATGCGGGAGCTGCCATTTGAACAGAAGGAGCAGCAGGAGCAGAAGCAGCAGCAGCAGGAAGAGGAAAAAATTGCTAAAATTCATTCTTTTCGATTGGTTTCAGAAGTTACATTAAGCACTTTTTGGGCGCAGTTTTGCTGCCTTTCCGTCCTTCACTGCCATGGTGTTTTCCCATCCGGGAGCTGCCGTTTGAACAGAAGGAGCAGCAGGTTTTCCCATCCGGGAGCTAGCATTTGAACAGAGGGAGCAGTAGGAGCAGGAGCAGCAGCAGCGGAGGAGGGAAAAGGTAGCTAAAATCATCCTTTTCTATGGGTTTCAGAAGTTACATTAGGCACTTTTTTGGGCGCAATTTTGATGCCTTTCCGTCCTTCACTGCCATGGTGTTTTCCAGCAGCAGCAATAGCGCGGAGGAAAAAGTAGCGAAAATCATCCTTTTCTATAGGTTTCAGAAATTACATTAAGCATCATTAAGCACTTTTTGGGCGCAATTTTGCTGCCTTTCCGTCCCTCGCTGCCATGGTGTTTTCCCAGCAGCAGCAATCGTGCGTAGGACAAAGTAGCGAAAATCATCGTTTTCTATGGGTTTCAGAAGTTGCATTAGGCACTTTTTGCGCGCAATTTTGATGCCTTTCCGTCCTTCGCTGCCATGGTGTTTTCCCATCCGGGAGCTGCCATTTGAACAGGAGGAGCAGCAGGAGCAGAAGCAGCAGCAGCAGAAGGAGGAAAAAGTGGCTCAAATCATCCTTTTCGATGATCAGCCGTACGGATTTCGATTTCGCCATGACCAACCCTCATTCAAAAAAACCATGGTGGTTTCCGTAAATGAGGGTACCCCATTGAAAAACAACACTTTAGATTGGGATTCTCCATGAAAAGACCATTCAGCTATTGATGCTACTAGTATTGGGGATCCTCCATTTATGGAAACCCAAAAGGTTGGCTGCCACCTTGGCTCTGGAAAATCTCACCATTTTACATCCGTTCCATTGGTGCAAAGAAACCCAATGATGATTACACACACACCAAAAAAAAGAAATGGGGTGCATGTGTCTCAAAATGGAAGATGATACCCCCAAAACAACAATTTGATAGATTTTGATATTGTAAGTATTGGAACCAAATTGGAATTGATGGACTGTCCAGCTATTAACTAGCTGACATTGCCGATCCTGAATATTTCAGCAGGCGTCCACTCTTTCACTTTGGGATTTAATAAAAAAGAATCCGTACCTAAGAAATATCATAAAATGAAAGAAAACAACAAGAATTCAGTATGATATAAGATTCTTAAGATGTAATTAAGTACAGTAGGGATCCAAACCATTGCACCCTGCTGTTCAAATTTGCCGTGGGATTCCTTGCGATCCCTTGGGCCCCCCGGCAGGCTGAGAACTCTGAATATCGAGAAACCGCTTATAAATGGTCGTACCGCGGTAGCGCAGAATCAACAGAATCGGAAAACAAACTGGTTAGTTGACCATTCTTCCGGGGTCGGCGGCAGGGGCGGCAGCCCTTAAATCCGGCGATGCCGTCCGGTGATGGTGGCTAAGCATAGCTTTAGCTACCCGGGGGCGCGCCCCTGCCGCCGACCCTCTGCCGACCCTCCCCGAAAATCCTTCAGCCTGCTGGGGTTTTCACGTTTTTGGGGGTTCGGGGTGGGAAAAAAGATGGTAAAATTTGAAGATGCGTTTTGGAGGTCCTAAAATCGGAAAAAAAATGCCGTTTTGACACATTTTTCGGGCGATTTTTCGCTTTTCGGAAGTCACAAAATGCTGTAAATTACAACATTTTTGCGTTTTAACGTCGTTGGCGGGAGCCATGCACAAACGCAGAAAATGCTGTAAATACCAGTACTTTTTGGACCCGAGATGCACAAAACACTGCACATACCAGTGTTTTTGAAAGCCAAGGAAAAAAACACTGTAAATTACAGCATTTTTGGCGGGTTGATCGCAAAAAATGCTAGTATTTACAATGTTTCTGCAATTTCAAGCAAACGTGGAAGGCACGAAACACTGTAAATAGCGGTGTTTTGGCAACTTTTGGACGCCGAAACGCTGGTATTTACGCAGTTTTTTGCTTGTGACGGGGCCACTCCCCTGTAAATTACAGCATTTTTTGCACTTTTTGGACCGATTTTTTGTCTTGCTGCATGTAACAAACGCTGGTATTTACACGTTTTTCAAAAAATCGAAGATCGTGATGTGAACGAAACTCTGTAAATAAGAATGTTTTAGCCACTTTCGGGGACTAAAACTGTTGTATTTACACGGGTTCTTGCCATCTCACAGCGCAAAATGCTGTAAATTACAACACTTTGTGCGCATAGGCATAGGCCAACATAGCCTCAAGATGGGCCAACATAGCCCCAAGCTGGGCCAACATAGCCCCAAGATAGGCCGCCGACCCTCAGCATGTCATGTTCGCAAGTTCAGATGACATCCCCCTCTCTCTTTCCCTCCCCCGACCCCTACCGGCGTCGCCGGTGTGCGAAGCTCTACAATATATATATATTTATTTATTCATTTAGATGTAAATACTATGCATGCGCACGGTGTCAGAAACATCTCAGGAAATGCTGAGAAATTCTGGGCACAGCGGCACTGCATATTTTCTCTCAAAATTGTGCTATTTCTAGAAGCGATTCCTGTGCCAACCAAGAAATTCTGATTCTTTTTTACCGCGTGCTGGTATGCCAGTTGGAAGGTACAGAAAGTCGACTTCAACAGTCATGGAATATGCTTACACATGAAGACGTTTGCAGCCCATTGGTAGAATTGGGAATACCCAAAAAAAAGATCCCCAACCAATGGTGAATCTTGCCTGTTGCCAGCTTCCCACCCACAGGATCCCACGCGTGAACGGCACGTGTTTTGGAATGTTCTGGGCCTGTACATGCCTGAAATTGCCAGGTTCTCCCAGTTCTAACTGATTCTCTACTAGTTAAGCTCCAGATAGCTCCAGTGCCAGCACTGTACACAGCGGCTTCTCATCCTGACCTTCGGTCAGGAGAGTGCCATCCTGCAGCACAAGCCTCACATCATGATGTCGAGTCAACTTCAGTTCTTGCATCAGAAGTCTCCGGAAGGACTGCAATGGCATGTAAGCCTGGCTGAACAGGAAATCTGTTTGGAGCCAGTTTGGATCATCCATTCATGTTAATGTATCATATGATATTATATGTGTTTATCCTCCAAGGGAAGGTGAAAATCAAGAAATAACCGCACCGAGCACAAGTTGATTTGCCAGGGAGCCTAAGACAAAGTCCACATGAAAGGTGGGTATTGGCCATACAGAGAGACTAGGAATGACTAGGATAAGACAAACAGCTGCCAGTCAAACTTAAGCAAACAATTTCACTAAATTTTGATACATCGGAGTATTTTCAGATAGCTGCACATAGCTGCACCATGCTGCACCATGTTGCACCATGCTGCACCATGCTGCACCCTAACCTACCCCCATTTTGAGGTCCAAATCGCCTGCAACGCCTGGAATTTGGCCAGATGCTCCCCAGCCAAGTTGGCACAAGAAATGCACACTTCGCTCTTTGACTCATCCCACTGCGCAGTGCATGTCACCACCTTCTCCTTGAAAACTCCCAACTGGCGCATCTCCTGCAAAGTGCAAACTCGTTGCAACACAGCTGGGTCTCTGGAGACATCGAACCCCCGGACCCGGTAGGCCGTGCTGTAGCTGGTGAGACCCAGGTACAGCTCAGCTGCTGGCACCTGCACAACGGGCAAATGAAGATCCTGGTGAAAATCAAAAGGTGAGCCCACAAAAGATGGAAAGTCATTTGGAATCATTATTATACGTGTTTCCATATTCGAAACTGAAAAATGTCTAAAACAAAAAGCAAAATAGATACTTAAGTAGACATAGACTATCTGGATCTATCTGGTACAGTAACATGGTAAACAAGCCTTTTCCAATTTCGAACTGGGGATGTTCTTGTTGAAATCCCCATCCCCTCTGGTCCCTGCCTCCCCGGGTTCCAACTTACAGCTGGCCACCAGCATGCCATTGATCCAATATGATGCCAAAGTCTCAGACAGCACCATGCTGAGTTCCTGGTGGCTTTGAGACCACCTATGTAACATCGAAAAATCACCATGAATTGAAAGGTTATGTGGTGAACTCCAACCCCATTTGCTTGTAGTTGTTGACACTTGTTTGATACCCTCTAAATCTGAAGTCAGTGGGTGTGGTTTATTCTTTTGGGATCTGTTGGGTTTACTGCATAGTAAGGCGTAAGGATTATATCCAGACTCCAACGATCTAAAAGCTCACTTCAGGGACCATCTGAGAAGGGACCAAAACTAAGGGTCACAGAGGCGGTATTGGGACAAAGTTATCGATTTAAGTAGTTCGCTATATCGATTTACAGGGTTTTGTAGCAGATGTCAAACAGTGGCCATTGATTTGGACATGTAAACCATTGTAAACCCACTTGTTTCCACATGGTTGGTGGGCAGCAGCCACTTGTTTTCACAGTGGCACGTCACGTAGGTTTTGTCACCAAGTTCTCTGCTCGGAAGTGAGGAGGCCAATACGGTGGGGAGCGCCTGGTTTCACACCCGCAGCGGCAGAACGCAGTGCTGCGAACAAAATCTCATTTTGGAACACGGCTGCGCAAAATCTGCGCAAAGCATCCTTCTCTGACATGGAAAAGAAGCTGCAGAATTCAACCAATAGCAACAATGATGCACATGCTTCCCGGCACCGAAAAGCAACTGGTCACCCCTTGTCAACCCCAAATAGCTGCGGAAAAGCAGAGAGACTTTCAAATTCATCATGAAATCATGTTATCGCTTTAAGTAGTTCACCATATCGCTTTCCATGGTTTGCGCAACATTTTCCATCATAGGACCTCTCAATACTAGGTTTCTACATGAACCTTTTAGGTCTTTGCTCATATCAACTGCATCACTGTCTGTATATCATTGTATATCTGGCTGAATTGCTGAAGGATCACAATTCACCAACTTAAATAAGCTGATTCTGGGTGGTTCCGCTGTGAAATGGTTGCAATCAGCAAGATAGAGAAAGAGAGGGGGGGATGAAGAAACACCAAACTGGCTGGTGGTTTCAGACGTTTCAGCCCCAAGAATACTAGTCCATTGAGATCATCATAATCACAAGTAGGAAAAAATGAAAACATAAATTATAGATAAAATAGACTTAATAAGGCACACCATATAATTACAATGCATATTGTATATATATACATGTGTGTGAGTGTGTGTATATCTAATACCAATAATATAATCACCGTAGATATGTGCGCACTTAGGGGCGAAAGAAAAAGCTTATTTGAAACCAGCCGCCAGCTTCGTTCCACTCTAAGGATCGCAGCATTGGGGAGCCTTGCCTCGTGACACGTGGAAAGCCCTGGAAGACCCCGCTGCGGAATGTGAAATCGGTGCGGTTCACACCGGAAGAGACGGTTAGACCATCACCACCTGATCCATGGCGACTTCAGTTGGCGAAATGAGGGCCACCAATGCTGGTCATGTTTTGGCTATGTTTACATGCGACCAAGACATACCAAGACCCATTGCCTGTAACAACAATAGAATAGTAATATTTGCCAATTCATTAATTATTTAATTATACATAAATAATAATATAATTGTATATATATATATTGATGGATACAATCACAACATGGTCAATCCATCTTCAAAAGTCTTGAAACACGCGCACCTTGTCCCCAGCCCCGACAATTCTGGGTGGCGATGAGAAAACATTCCGTGTCTGCAGCCAACGGAAGCACTTCGGCCCGACAGTAGATGGGCAAGGTGACCCGCGTCCGGTCACCATCCTGAAGAGGGGATCACTGCAGTATTCACCATTCAGGTGATAAGCCGATAAGCGAATTCTGCGTCCAAATTTCAGATGCATATCAGCATATCTTATATATATCTGCAGGCCTGTCGGTCTATCCACTTATCTTATCTACATTGTATCACATTTCTCTACCTATGATTGCCTACGCACATAGCTATCCAATCTATCTAATCGACCTTAACTAGTCGGTCTATCTAGTCGGTCTATCTAGTCTGTTCTATCTGTATCTAGTCTACACAGCTTCGCACAATTTTCCCAACAACCCAACTGTCCGTCCGTCCTTCTGCACATAGTCTGGCGCAGACCCTAGGTGAAGCTCGTGTGGCATCTTCAGCAATGGCGTGGGGAAAACCAAACTATGGGGTTTCAGCTCAATGTCCTGCAGTTTCTCACCGGTAAGGGTGGGAAAGGGCAGCCTCTTGCAGTCCAGATCCATGGGATGCATAAAATCCATGAAAGCCGCTGGCTTCCCCCACACTTGGGCCAAACACTGAGGCCGTTCACCGGCGACAAAGGAAACCCATGGAAGCATGAGAAAAGTCAGGATCTATCAAGGAACAACATTAATTACATAATAATACATGATATCATAATACCACGATCTGGCTGGTTTGGAACGCATGCCACAGAATTGCACCAAATGGAATCATGATTTGCATTCTGTCATTTCATATCCATTCAATTCATATCCCACTTTCATCCGTACTTCCATTCACACCAGCCAAACATGGATAGAATCCATGTCAAATCCTCATATTTTATACCAAGTTCAAACCAAGGCCAAACAAATATGGAAAGAAACTATAAGCATCTGAAAGCTATCATTTCTTGAATGATGTTCTAGAGATCCTAGGTGTTTTGCCGAATTTGGCCCTTTTTCAACGCCCAAAATTGGTGAAAACGGAAAGCCCCACCGGCGCCTGGCTTCGTCTCCACCGCCGGAACCGGCGCCGGTTCCAGCGGCGGAACCGGCGGTGCCGGCGCCGGCGGTGCCGGCGCCGGCGGAAGCAGCAGTGCGCAACTGGGCAATGCGGGGGATTTCTGGTAGCCAAACTTCTCCTGCGCCAAGAGGAAACCAAGACTTACTTGGTGAATTCGTATCCATCCATCCATCTACCTGTCTATACACGCTATACATATATCTATACTTGGGTATCCAGATGCACGTCCATGTTGAAGCCGCGCCCTGCTGGTCTCCCCCAAGCCATGCTGGAAAACAACCCATCCAAGGGGATTCCATGGCATTCTTGGCCTCCACTGTGGCTGTTTCAGAAGCTGTGGCCACGCAAATGTGGCAGCCGGAAATGCCAGTCCAAGGGCAGTCCTGAAGAGTGCTGGACATGATGATGACCATGATGATGACCATGATGATGATGATGATGATGATGATGAGGATGAGGATGATGATGATGATGATGAGGAGGATGATGATGAGGATGATGATGATGAGGAGGAGGAGGAGGACGATGACGATGACGATGATGATAATGACGATGATGACGATGATGACGATGATGACGATGACGACGATGACGATGACGATGATGATGATGGTGGTGATGGTGATGATGATGGTGATGATGATGAGGAGGAGGAGGAGGATGAGGATGAGGATGATGATGATGATGATGATGATGATGATGATGATGATGATGATGCTGGTGATGATGATGATGATGATGATGATGATGGTAAGGAGGCGGAGGATGATAATGAGGATGATGATGATGAAGATGATGAGGATGATGAGGATGATGAGGATGATGAGGATGATGAGGATGATGAGGATGATGAGGATGATGAGGATGATGAGGATGATGAGGATGATGAGGATGATGAGGATGATGAGGATGATGAGGATGAGGAGGATGAGGAGGATGAGGAGGAGGATGAGGAGGATGAGGAGGATGAGGAGGCTGAGGATGAGGATGATGAGGATGAGGATGAGGATAAGGATGAGGATGAGGATGAGGATGATGAGGAGGAGGAGGAGGGGGACGGGAAAGAGGAGGATGAGGGTGAGGATGAGGGTGAGGATGAGGGTGAGGATGAGGGTGAGGGTGAGGATGAGGAGGAGGGGGAGGAGGGTGAGGAGGGTGAGGAGGGTGAGGAGGGTGAGGAGGGTGAGGAGGGTGAGGAGGACGAGCATGAGTAATTGAGGGATATATACGGTAAGGATCATCCACTTTTCCATCTTTTCCTAATTTGATGAATGATCAATTCCCCAAGCTGACATTTTTGGGGCGGCCCCATCAAAAACCATAAGGTGAGTAGTTGGGTCGTCTGCCTGTATCAATGATTTTTGTTGTTTACTAGATCCCCATCATGGATGGTGTGATGATACGCGTATTGGTAAATGTGTGCACCCTTTAAAATGAGTTGGTCTTTGATCCCAATGAACATGCCAGTCGTGCTTGGTTCTGTCCCACATGTTCGTTGTGTAAAATCGCATGATATCGCATGTTTGGCCAGTGAAATCCCTATTTACTGGTCCAAATGACAAATGTCTTGTGCTAAATTTAAACCTACCTACTTTTCAATGTATTATTCAATTGCTTTCACATCTCTACTTGCTGCTGTTGGTTCGAATCCCAAAATTTTTGGTTGGTTCAAACGCCATGTTTAACCAAGAAAATTGGTCATAAAATCGCCAAGCTATTCACAGCTATTCACTGTATTCATAGCTTAAATGTCCATCTTGGCCGGTTCACTTCCCAGTTGTTCCTCCATGTTCCTCCTTAGTCATCCCCAATTTTTCGGATCGGCCTGCCAGTTGTGCACCGTCCATCCCTCAGCACTGATGGCACGGGTATCACTGGTCACCAGCACCGGCCGGACCGCGAGGTCACCCGCGGGCGGGAGCAAGATCACCACCTAGCGATGGTAAACAGCCACATAACTATGGCAACTATATGGAAAATCACCATTTTTAATGGAGAAATCAACTATAAATGGCTATGTTTATAGCTATGTTAAATTACCAGAGGGCACAGTACCTCCTAAAACTATCTAAAACTCGTGATTTTCCATGTGCGATCTTGTGCCTATCCTAGAGATCTCCACAATCATCATGTGGTTCTGTGAATGTATGTGAATGTCCGTTCATCTCCAAATGCTCTATATCTATCTATATCTATGGAATGTTTGCCAACATCTACCGAAAAAATCACCCAAATGTCGGCAAAAATGTCCATGGAGCATTTGGGATATCTCCCCAATGGATCTCCATCCTTCGCTGATTCCCCACCTCCTTGGTGGTGGTGGTGGCACCCAGCACAGGCCCAGCCGGATCCTAAGCGCTCGTGCCCCGAGGACCAGAGGATTTGATGGTTTTCTATGGTGATATATAATATATATGGTATGATGGGGTTATAACATAGAAAATTATAACCAACTATAACCAACTATAACCAACTATAACCAACTACAACTATAACCAACTCATAACACAAGATGATGGTGTTTAAATTCACTGCGGCTGTCTAAAAAAAAACGCCCTCGGATGTTCATCAACTATCAAGATACGGTGACGAACACGCAGAAGAGCCCGGCCAAAGCGCCCAGAATTGTGGCAACAAATCCTCTGCTTGGAGCCATCCGAAAACTAATCTCTACTGTAGCGGCACACCGCTTGCGTTTCAGCCAAGTTGAGTGCTCTGGTTACCGGCACAGTTCCTATATGCCAGTTGTCAAATGACTGAAAACTGGTGCAGGTACGATGCTCATATCTGGGCCCATGTTCAAACCCAAACCTAGGATTTTGATCTTGTTATTTTTGGTGCAGTTGATGTACTCCCAGAAAAAAATAGAGATTCAAGATGATTTAAGATTTTTTCAAAGATGGATCAAGATATATCACTCGGCTAATGGTTTGTTGAGTTGTTTCATGTTTCTGCTCCCGGTTTCCTGCAAATGCTCCTCTCCAGCTTTAATCGGAATCCTTGAGACCACACGGGGTTAGAAAAGATAACGGGATACCCATCTCTTTGGAAATCTTGCTGGCAGAAAATCATAGAAATTCTGTGCCATGCATGGGGAATTCAAGATGAATTCGCCACAAAGGGCTGCGGAACGCGACATCGCCACAAGCAGCGGAGCAAATCCCTACGAGTTCAACTTGCTACACCGCAAACGCACCTACAGATCCCCACGCAAAAAAAAAACTGGCGTTCCCATGTTACTGTGTTGTTTCATGGTTAGTTCAGCTGTCTTGCAGGTTCATTTGTCACCCGGGATCAAGTTAAGATTTTGCCAAAACATTTGCACTGCGTGGATTGATATGACATGGGCAGATTTTTCCAGGGGAGCGTCCCGCAGACCCCAACTTTGGAGCTTCTGGATGGGTTCCCCAGCCCGACCTCTCTGAGCTCCCTCTTCTCTTGTGCTGTGCGATGGGAGAGGGACTTGGCACGGAACTGGCAGTGGATGCAAAAACTCACACCAGAACCAATATCAACATCGGAACTGCTTGGAGCAGATCGTGGTATTTTTCTGGAACCAATACATATCTACTAGAAGAGTCACTTGGCTCATTTGATTCTTGTTGAAGAGAGGGTTCTTGCCCCAGGGATGTAACATGTGCCCTTGGGCACAATGGGTGGCACCATGGGTGACCCGGTGGCTAGTTGATGACTTCAATCCATCGGAGTCACGACACAAACAGGGATAAACATGGATAATAAGAGCACAAAGTCTAACCAAACCAGAAACCTTAGACCAAATTGGTTTGTGCATAGTCTTACGTACCCTCTGGTAATTTAACATTGAAAATGGCCATAGAAATAGTGGATTTTCCCATGAAAAATGGTGGATCTTTCCATAGCTATGTGGCTGTTTACCAGAGGGTAACCTAATTTCGGACTTGAACATAGCAGAATATATTTGACCCGAGAAACGTTGGACCTACTATCTTCACCCGAGAACGGTGACCTTTGACACCAACTCCTGAACCCTCAGCAGCTCCAACCTACAGAGTTTCTCACCCATCAAAAATCAAAAAACCGTCAACCCCCCCAAAAAATGTAGGGTATATCATGGTATATCCCAAAATTTTGGGAAACTCACCATTAATATACTGAGTATATCCCAAAATGGTGATTCCCAGCCATGTCTACTCAGAGGGGCTGGTAGATCCTGCACCTTTTCCAGCATGGCTTTCTTATGGATCTGCCAGGCATCGATGGCCCTGAGCGCCACAAAGCCGCTCAGTCCCGAGTGTTATTTTTAATTACGAATAAAAAAATGTGTCGAGCCATGATGTTCGATGGTGAGCATCCACTCGCTGGAATATGTTTTTCATTAAATATTGATTTTTCATCAAACTGAGAGGTTAAGGACTCCATTGGGAGGTTAAGGACTCAAATAGGAGGTTAAAGAATGAACTGGGAGGTTAAGGATCCAACTGAGAGGTTCAGGACCCAACTGAGAGGTGAAGGATACAACTGAGCAGGCCTCTCTTTGGGAGGGAACAAAAACACATACAGTAGACACATGATTGTGAACAACATCTTTGCCAACGAGCTGCTTTTCTCGCTTTTCACAATGCTTTTCCGGCAAAAGAAACAACACACCTACAAAACATGACTAAACAAAGTGAGATTCTCTGATGTCAATGACATCTTTGTACTGGCATCATGAAACCGTCATAGAAAACAGTATGTATAGCGTGTATATATATACACATACATATCCCTCCAATATTCCTGCTGAAAACATGGAATGAACAATATGAGCAGTGTTCAAAACCCGCTGTCGTCTCTTTGCACTTGTTGGTTGATAGGATTTCCCAGCTGCGATAATAACCCCATATACTCATCATTCAACCATCTTTTGTCAATTATCTCCCAATATTTATGGATTTTATCCCCCTATAAATTGGTAAAGGCTCTAATAAATGAATACAAATGACCGTAAGTCATCAAGTTGGGATTTTTGAGCAGTTTTGATATGTTTTGATGATTATAATATGATTAAACATGATAAAACAAATCCTATAAGTTGGGATTTACCCTCTGGTAAACTAACATAACTATAGAAAATCCACCATTTTTCATGGGAAAACTCACTAGAAATGGCCATGTTCAATAGCTATTTTGACATAACCAGAGTGTAAATATATGATTAAACATGATTAAATCCTATTAGACATGGTTAAATCCTATAAGTTGGGATTTAAATCCCCTGACATCCCATGACATTTCGACTTTTTCGGCCAAGCCACGACTTCTGCTGCGCGTCCTGCTCCTGCCGCAGGCGCATGCAATCCTGTCGGATTTCCGCCATCTGCGCCTGGCTATCGCGAGATGTATCTTGTGGCCGGGTGGGAAATGACATGAAAATCATGAAATGACTGGCGATTCTATGGTGATAATTATGGTGATTCTATGGTGATAATTATGGTGATTCTATGGTGATTCTATGGTGATAATTATGGTGATTCTATGGTGATTCTATGGTGATAATTATGGTGATAATTATGGTGATTCTATGGTGATTCTATGGTGGTAATTACGGTGATTCTATGGTGATTCTATGGTGATAATTATGGTGATTCTATGGTGATTCTATGGTGATTCTATGGTGATAATTATGGTGATTCTATGGTGATTCTATGGTGATAATTATGGTGATTCTATGGTGATAATTATGGTGATTCTATGGTGATTCTATGGTGATAATTATGGTGATTCTATGGTGATTCTATGGTGATAATTATGGTGATTCTATGGTGATTCTATGGTGATTCTATGGTGATAATTATGGTGATTCTATGGTGATTCTATGGTGATAATTATGGTGATTCTATGGTGATTCTATGGTGATTATGGTGATTCTATGGTGATTCTATGGTGATAATTATGGTGATTCTATGGTGATTCTATGGTGATTCTATGGTGATAATTATGGTGATTCTATGGTGATTCTATGGTGATAATTATGGTGATAATTATGGTGATTCTATGGTGATTCTATGGTGATTCTATGGTGATTCTATGGTGATTCTATGGTGATTCTATGGCCAAAATCAAGGCAAAACTTGGAAAAGAAGATTCTTCGAACACATTTGTCCAGACCGGGATTCATATCATGATTCAGTTGTGTCCATGTTTGTCGGTGCGCACTTGAAAAATTGGGATCGTGATGGTGATGCCATGGCAGCCGGGGCCCGTTTTGGGGAGGATTTTCAAGAAGCGGCATGCACCAGATCCCCAGAAAAGGGACTCTCAGAACTGGAAAAACATCCCAAATACGTGGGCAAATCGAACAAAACATTTGGGATACCTTCCAGCAAACGCAAAGCAACATAGATATGGAAAATACACCGTGTGTGGATCATGTCCTACGCAAAAAACACATGGATTTCCATCGCCTTTCCATGCATTTCAGAGCAAAAATCAGAACCCAAAATTTCAAAATGTTGAAACTGAACTAGCCAAACATACTAGCTGGACCAGGGGACATGGATACACCCACTTCTTTGCAGCCACCCGCTTCTCTCGTCCCGGCATTTTTTGGAACATTTAGGCGGGGACGCTTCTCGGCATCAAAAAAGACGTGGACACTTGCGATCACTTCTGTGACCATCCAAGAGAAGTGGGGCCGGATGGTGGAACAATGTGGAAGAGCTTGTCTCACTGCGCCGCCAGCTGACGGTGGTCATTCTGAAGAATCAGAAGCTTCTTTGCAGGCAGTCAAAGCTGGGAAAATCTCCCATTATTGCGCATGATTGAGGTTGAAAATCATATTGTTCGCTAGTTGTTTTGCCAAAAGATTGACGTGACGTATTCAAAGTAGTAAACTACCCACCCAAGGCTACCCCAAAGGTATTGTGATTGATACAACCCCACTCAATGTCGTGGCATTCCCATTTGATGCTTGAATCTCCATGGTTCAAGTTAAGATCCCCTTTTGATGGCTATAGCAACCACCAAACACATAGAGAAAAGCTAAATGTACCACTATTATTATTCTAATCATTGTTATTATCCACTATTTCAGTCGGATTTCACCAAATTCTATTGTAAATCCCATCAATATTAGATTGATTAATTCACCCAAATAGTGATAAGCTGCTACCATATTTTGGTACCCAGCCAATTAAACAGAGCAATGACTGACTTTACTGATCCAACAGGGCTTGCTAGTCCTGTCCTGTGGCCCGGGGATTTTGAACATCGATCACTTTCAAGTATCTGTTGGACATTATATTAATGATTACCCTCTGGTAATTTAACGTAGCTATTGAAAATGGCCATTAATAGTGGATTTCCCCATTAAAAATGGTGATTTTCCATAGCTATGTTAATTTACCAGAGGGTACATCATATCCCCATAGTTGGGTGATGTTCAGTTAGGACATTTTCCAAGCCCTGTCCAGGGACATTTCAGGATGCTGATTTCCTTCACATCATGTCACCCCGTCACCACTTCTGAGCAGCGCATTTCAGCGCAACGCATCGAGCTCCTTGATAGTGGGACTCAATGTCGTACATGGCCGCCGGTTTTTTAGGAAGCCAGAGAAATGCTGGCGCTTCAAATCACCATCCGTTGGATAACAATGATAACATGATTCGATGATTGAGAATTACAGCACCTGTGATATCTATGAGACTAATATATCGAAGACTATCCACGTGATTCTATCAATATCAACATGATTCGAAGATAGCGATCATCTGGTCGAGGTTTCACCAGAAATGCCTCTTCTTCGACATACATCAAGAAATATCAAGAATCAAGTTTTATTTATATCACAAAATGGTTGCTGAAATCTTTCCACGAGATTGCATCAAAATATATCGAAATGATTGACCCAAATTTGGATGCTTCAATACAATGATCAACTTTGATGGCCCGTTGGTGTCCAATCTGTGCCATATCCATATATCATGGATATATCCATATCCTTCAAACTACCATCTGTGTATATAATGGATCTACGCATCACGGTAAATGAGTCGCCATGTCAGTGTGGGTCAGTGAAATGTCACCTTCGGCGACCAAAGACCCAGCGATCCGTTTTTGGAACTTAGTTCTGGTGAGCAGCGTGCAAGTGAGAAAAGGAAAGGTGGATGTTAGATGATGTTAGGATATGATGTTGGCAAATATCAACACTACATCCTTCCAGAGCCCTCATGGAAAAAAAATCCCCGTCACAAAATCGGCGCTAATATCCATCAGGCATCAGGGAATGAGCTGCTGAGGAAAGAAAAATGTAAGGCCGCAAGGCCTGGCTTCGCCCCCATGGTGTTTCACGACTGTTTCAGCAAAATTGACACCAGTTCTGTTTCAGCTGGTACACTACGCAAACAATCCATCTTTGTAGCGCCAACTTCCCACCCTTCCATTCTTCAAGCTGGTTTGTTGATTCAGTTCGACATATTCCTACCACCTTTTTTCATGGCTTTCTTGGCCCTGCTCAGTTCAACGGTGATGCATGCATCAGGCGCTAGGTCCACTAGGTGGGTGTGGGTCAGTTCGCTCAATCGTGAACATCACATCTCCATCGATAAAAGACTTGGATGAACATGGTCGGCCCCTGCCGTTTTATCTTTTTCTTATAGTTGGTCGTGCCATGCCCATCCATTTCTTTTTGCTTAGCATGGTATGTGTCCGTTATTGCTTTGACCCATTCCCATTTGACTCAGGGAGTGCTGTGTTCCAGGCTTGCCCACACAGTCCAAAATCTCTGGCTACCAAGTGCCTGGCTCTTCCACTACTCCACGGATAGATTAGGTGATTGGCTCCGCGGAGCACAACTCCCGCCCCTGAGTTACCAGTGTGAAACGTGATCCCCGCACGTCATCAGTCAGCATCGTCCGGGGTAGGGGTCGTTGCCGGGAAAGTCTCGCCTCGTAACTTTGCCGCACTCTGCATATGCCTGCAGCCGCGGGTTGAAGAGAGCCGGCTGGAAGAAATTGGCAAAGTATGACATGCCCGCATTTGACCTGGAAAAAATTCAACTGCATCATGGCCAGCACTCACTGACTCACTGTACAATGGTTGGTTTCTGTGACTGTCGCAGAAGTGGATCTGGTTAGGGACTCTGGCTTTTAAAGCATAATTTCGATATTTACACACTGGTATTTACAACAACCGTTGGAAGAAGCGCCTTGGTTCAGTCATATCTACGCATATGTGTGCAAGTATATATATATATTATAATGTATGTATATACATATATACATACACATATTTATGTCCGTGTACACAGAACGCATTACGTAATTTTATCAGGTTTATTACTATACTGTACGAGTACAACCATCGTTGCCAAACAGTTGCGATTGCTTCGATGGTCATGCCAATTAGCCACACGTTTCAGATACAATCAGGCGCGTATCTCCATGAGTGACTGACCTTCATGGACAAAATTTCCCGTTTGCTAGAACCAAACATGCTGTGTTGGAACAACGCAATTTGGTCATTGCTCCAAACATGTTTTGGGAGACTGTGTGAACCAGTCAAGGTCCCCAAAAGGTGCGAATACGTCTCCCATCCACAAGTGCCGTTGCAGGAAAGTCAACACTGAATTGTCCACACTTTGCCCCACCCGGAAACCAACGCGGAATCTGAATTTGGACACGCTCGCACTTCAATATACCGGTGTCCCCCAAACGTGTCAAAAAAAAGGTCGGCTGCGCCGTCCTGGCCTGTAACTGGAATGCGCAAAAACATCTTGGACGCTTTTGGTCAGCGAAATGGAATCATCGGGTCCTGGCCCCAAGGTTCTGAGAATCTCGTCGAACAACACCTCCACCTGCCAGATCCCAATGGGGACAAAAATGGCCAAACTCAAACATGGTAATGGAGAATCACCATCCCTAGCAAAATCTTGGATGATCATGAACCACCAAGGATTTCAAAATGTCCATCAGTTTCCATCATGTACCATCTCCAATAACCAAAATTGAAGGTTTTCCAAGGTATACGGTAAACCCATGTATTCTCTCCGCTTGCGCAGCTTGCGCCTTGGTTTCCAAGCGCCAAATGTCCAAGGCTTTGGCTCCACCACGTAAACGTGCTGCGCCCTCTATGAACTCTTTCAAGGTGATTTGCCCGTCGCCTCAAAGATCCCATGGAAGATTTATGACGGATACATCTACAAGTCTGTAAGTGGCATAATTAAGATTTCCCCCACCTGCCAGATGATTCAGATGAGGGCCTCTAGGTTTTATGATAAGTTACGTCACCTCCTCCTTGTCCTTCTCTTCCTCCTCCTCGTCCTCCTGCGCTTCTATCCGCCTCTAAGCTGCTAGGACAAAAGTTTTTCCTCTTGGGCTTTCCAACACCCTTTCCTTATAGACTCCTACCACAGAAGTTTCTACTTCGGAAGTTTCTACTTGGGTCGCGGCCCGCGGATCACATTCGTAACCTCAAAAAGAACTTAGCTTAAAACGACTAGTAAATACGATCCACCACGCAGGCCACGCGAAATGCCCCCCGGAATTCTTAAGGCAACTATGAAAGAAACAAAAGGCAACATTTTGTTGCATTCGCGAACCAGCAGCGAACTCATTCTGAACGCATCTTGCACGGGTTTTGAACTCATTTGAACGGGTACGGGTTTGAACGGGTACGGCTACCCAAAATGTTGCCTTTTTAGGATTGGTTTGAACGGATTCGAACGCATCTGAATGGGCTTCAACTCGGTCAACGGTTTTGAACGCATATTCCCAGGGCGCCCTAAGATTTCTAGGGCAAAGGTCAAATAACTAGTTATTCAATGTTATTCAGTTTGCCCTACTATATATATATATATATATTATATATACTATATATATATAAACCGTATAAACCTGGCCCGTACGTGAGCCAAAAGCCCTCACAATGCTCAGACTTGAAAAAAAAGAAACTCATGGCCGATCATGCCCGTTTTGCACGGATTTCGGCTGGTTTTGCGGGCACCCCAACCCTATTTTGGAAAAAAAGGCCGGTTGCAATGACAAATGGGACCATCAAGTGAAAAGCAGCGTAGTGCAGTCAACATTTAACTAGTTATTGTACCATTAGTCTCAAGGCTGCCATTGTTTATGGCAAATGGTTCAGTCCAATCCGGCTACGCCATCTTGAGACCCAAGGGGAAATGGAACCAATGCGGCCCACAAGGAGCCAAAAATGGTGGAAAAATGCGCTCTCGTTGCGCAACATTGCGCTCGAATGTGGATGGGGCATACAGAAAATTTATCTACCATGAGGGCCCAGGAAGTTGCAATATATAATTACAGAGTGAGAAAGGGAGAGAGATAATTAGTTTAAATACATGGTGTGCAAACTATACCCGATCCCGTTGACACTGGCAAAAAAACAACTTACAAAATGGCAGTTGCCCAACTTGCTGGTTTTTGCCCATCTTTGTTGTTGAGAAAAATCTTAGTCGTATAACTTCAAAACCGTTCAATGGCAATGTCATGCAATGTCCAACATGCTGCCTTTGAGTTTAATCCTGTTTCAACACAGAGAAACACAAAAAACGCGGGCACCTGCTTGCAAAACATAGAACAATTGGTCAAGCCAGTGTGTAAAGATTTGCCTAAATATGCACACAACATCAACAATTACCTAAGCGCTATCGAAAAGAAAATGATTTTAAAAAAATATTATAAGAAAAGGATAGAAAAGGTATCAATACCAGTTGAAAGTTCGGATTTTTAGCATTTTATACCTGCCCCCTGTGCAGGCACCCTGTGTCCCCGGAATGCTGACACAAGCCGGGGCGCCATTGTCCAGGAATTCGAACAAACTGAGGAGGTCATGGTATTCCAGTTCAAGCTGACTCATCCAAAACTTGAGTTTGGGCGACTTCACCAGCTTTGCAAACCTCGATTTTGGACATCTTTGATGAGAGGTGAGTGAGGTGAGGGAACCGAAAAAATCTCTGGACGCAATCCTGGGAGACAACAACTCTGGAAAATGTCCTTGGCATGCTAGACCGAAGGCCACTTCTGAAGTTTCTGCTCTAGCGACTTTCATGTGTCAAGACAGTCCTAGCCATGGCAAAAAAATAGGGCCCAAGCCTTACCCGACCATGGAAGGTTTTGATGGGCACATATGGGCACATGTGAACCGCCAGTTGAAAAAATAGACGGCACAGAAACAGCTCCCAACTCCCGCAGCTATCAACTCCCTTTTGGTCCTGCTTGTGGGTCCTCTTTGAGCCCCTCAGGCACCACGCTTAACGGGAGATGCCAGGAAGGTTTCTCCATCCTCCAGGGTGAGTTCCAACATGGCCGTGAAGGCCCTTTCCTTGGCCACCAGGAAGCGCCAGGCTCGCAGCAAAGCCTTCTGGGCCCAGATCTCCCTTGAAGCTAACCACCTCACCAGCAAGCTTTGTGATCTGGCCCGCTTTAAGGGAGTCCACTGCACCTGAGGGGTGGATGGCAACGGCGTTGCCGGCACACTGGAGGCGACCAAAGACTGCTGGGCCGTCGCTGCAATGAGCAGCTGGGCATCGCTGTGGATGGCAGCCGCAGCAATGTGATGCAAGCGCTGTTTCTGAGGCCGGAGCCAACCAAAGATGAACCATGCCGCCATGACGCTGCGCAACAGCCACATTTGGTACTGTTGAAGCAGCTGCAGGCAATCCGTCACCTTGGTAATGAGCATCAGATGCCGCTCATGGAGCCACACAGGCCTGGGCCGCTCTGTGCCAGTGCAAAGTCGCTGCCAGGCGCGCCAAGCTCGGCTAAGGCACTGGCGGCCTTTCGATTTGGGCAGAAGATATCCACCCAGCAATGCTTGCTCCTGCCTTTGGGTCAAATATCTTAGGTGCTCACGTCGCCAAGATTGCCATTGACACCAGCAGGCACGTAGAATCGCAGATCCTTTGAACATGGCGCCGAAGTTTGCCCGCAAAGTTGCAGTGCTCTGGCGCAAGTCTTCACTTCTTTCCCTTAGTATCTCTGCTGCACGCTGCAGTTCCGCATCCCTCCCTGTCTGCTCTTCCGTGGCAGGAGGCGCTGCAACCTCCAGTGCCATGGCCCTTTGAGACCGCGCAACAAAAGCATGTTCAGCTTGCCGTGCCCAAGCTGCGAAAACTCGCCGTTGCCGCTGTTCCTTTTGTGTCCGACCCTGGCGATGGGACAGCAACCCTTCTGCCACTGTCAGCTTCTGCCGAAGACCTTCACCGCGCAGCCGCCGTCGTTCCTCCGCATCGGCCAGGGCTCGCAGCTGCGCCGCGGAGTGCCGAGCCTGCTTTTGGCGCTGCAGGTGCAACCACCAGCGGCCCACCATGCCTTCAAGCAGAAGCTGAGCTGCGCGGAGTTCTCTTCGTAGAACCAGCGCTTCGGGCGTAAAATCCCGCGCTTCCATTGAGCTGATCCAAGCCCTGAACGCCATGCCTTGCAAAAAACCTTCAACATGCTGCCGTAAACTGCGTCCCAGGCACTGGAGCTGCCCCAGCTTGGAGTTCTGCAGTGCTGTGGAGAACCGTGGCCTGTCCTGCTGCTGCTGCAGCCGCAGGTTGCTCTGCCGCAGCACCTGCGACAACCTCTGCTGCGCGCCCTGTAAGGCGTCCAAGGCGTGCGACAGGCGCGTGGGTATGGCGGAAGGGCTGGCATGGTCCATGGCACCATGGAAGCATCGCTCAAGGCGTGAATCTCAGGGATGGAGTGCAAGGTATTACCCGAACCCTAAATGTTCCCAGTGTCCTTGATGTTCTCCTGAAGTTTCTAGTGATTCTAGTCAAACACCCAAGTAATATGGGCATACAGGCTCGTAGTTGTTGTTCCAAGTTGCTCAGATTTTCAGCTGCCAAATGTGGTTGACCATTGACATGCCAATGAAGATCATGCGATACAAGACCCCAGTTGACTTTGGGTATTGAAGACCCCTACTAATTACATTGTCTGGTCCTAGTGGAAGAATTCATTGGGATTGCAGATTTGTATCACAGCATCATGATCTACCCTGATACGACCTTTGGCCTAACCAGGAGTCGTTTGCTGGTGTGAAACTAACAAATTCTGGTGAGCCAAACAGCAGAAGCCCCCTTGGGAATGAAGCTTGAGACCCACCTGAACAGATCAGTGACAAATCCAAGCCCCAGGGAATGGCAAGCTGGGTGTTGTAGCGTACCATTAAAAAAACATGGCCACAATAAAAGAGATACGGCTGTAGGTGCATAGGGCTGCATACGTGTGAAACCACCCCTAGCTTTAACGGTTAAGTCCAGTATAGACCCTGACCCACCTCCATGAAGGAAAGTCGGCTTCCTATGTATTTGGTGAGGTCCATGTTAGGAGGGAGCGTACCATCCAGGAAATCAACATTGATTATGGAAAAATAGGTGTTGCTTCGGAAATGATCTTCAATTCATGTATAATCGTGTTTTTCTTGCCATATCTATGTTGATGTGCTGGACTGACTCTCTCTCTCTCTCTCGATTCCGGTGCTTGGCTCTCATAATATCGTAATTATCATATAATATCATATGATATGGTTACTTCTATTTTCCATATCCATATGTGATAATATATAATAAGATATCATGTATTTTCCATGGATGTTTCCATATCCATGGTGATCATGGTGTGCTTTCCAGGCCACTCCTCCAGATTAATAGCTCCATCGCCTGGGCGTGGGAACAGATCACCCGTTTGATCCCATGTGTGTCGGTTGTATACCATATTAATATCATATATATATATGTGTGTGTATCAATCTATCAATCTATCAATCTATCTATGTATCTATCAATCTATGAGTCAATCTATCAATTTATCTATCAATCTATCAATTTATCAATCTATCTATCAATCTATCTATCTACCTATCAATCAATCTATCAATCTATCTATTAATCAATTTATTATCTATGAATCAATCTATCAATCTATCAATCTATCAATCTATCACTCAATCTATCAATCTATCAATCTATCTATATATGTATATCAATCAATCTATCTATCAATCCATCCGTCAATAAATCAATCTATCTATCAATCTACCAATCTATCTATCTATCAATCCATCTGTCAATCAATCAATCTATCTATCAATCTATCAATCTATCAATCTATCAATCAATCTATCAATCTATCTATCAATCTATCTATCTATCTGTCAATCTATCAATCAATTTATCAATCTATCTCTAAATCAATCTATCTATCTATCTATCAATCTATCTGGCAATCAATCAATCAATCTATCTATCAATCTATCCATCTATCAATCAATCAATCTATCTATCTATCAAACTATCTATCTACCTATCTATCAATCTATCAATCTATCTATATATCAATCTATCAATCAATCAATCAATCAATCTATCAACCAATCTATATATCAATCTATCTATCGGTCAGTCAATCAATCAATCTATCTATCAATCTATCAATCAATCTATCGATCAATCAGTCTATATATCTATCAATCAATCTATCTACCTATCTATCAATCTATCAATCTATCTATCAATCTATCAATTTATCAACCTACTTATCTATCAATCTATCAATCTGTCAATCAATCAATCTATCTATCAATCTATCAATCTATCTATCTCTCAATCCATCAATCTATCAATCAATCTATCAATCTATCTATCTACTTATCTATCAATCTACCCATCTATCAACTATCTATCTACCTATCTATCAAACTATCAATATATCAATCTATCAATCTGTCTATCTATATTTATGTCATCTATTTATTTATCTTGAAGATTCTGAGTTTCCATTTCGAGATCGGAGTGCAAGTGGGTATTCCTCCAATCTGGATTTCCAAGTGCGCACATGAACTAGTGTTGCTCAATTCACCTGCGCTTCAACCATCCATTCTTTGGGTTATCCCATGGGGCCATGCAGGCATCCCCAGCCTGAGGCATCCATGGTCTGAAATAACTTCTTCACCTTCCTGGTGTACACCGCTGCATCCTTTTGTTTCCTGTGCCGCATTGGATGTGACATCTGGGTGGCTTCGGATCTGCCCAGTATGGAGGGAGGGGGAAAAAAAACAGAGAAGCAAATGCCAAAGACATCAGCCTGGCGTGAAACTCCCCGCAGCAAAACCAAAACCAATCTGCATGCGAAAGAGTGGCTGCTTGAAGGCTAGATCTTCATCGGAACTCGCGGTTTTCATTGTCTGCTGAACAAAAACCGCGTTAACTACCTGAGCTGGGAAAAATCAGTCAGCACTTGGAGGTTACAGTCATGTTTGACACAGCACAAATGGAAGGGTTTGGGAAGAACCCATTTGGTGAGATCAACACTGGCATACATTTGGCCAACGAAGGACTCCAACGGTCCATCAGTCCATCAGTCCATCAGTCCAGCAAAATGAAAAGAGTAGTTACCAGAGTCAGTTTCAACTTGTTTGCCTGAGAACCATTGAGAACCATTGAGAACCATGGACTAAATTGAAGCCCAATGAACAACTTGCTCCTTGGAAAAACATGGAAAAACGCAGAGAAATTACTGGGAACCTCCCGGCTGGGGATTGATCAAACATGGTGTAAATTTCCAACTCACAAAGATGATGGGTTGATCAAACCATGTTAAACCATCCATTTCTATCCATTTCTTGGGTGAAATTTGATCCATACATTCCATACCTAGGCATGGACATCACATCTTTGCCATCCGGCCCAAAGAAGAGGCGAGAAGCATTGAGCACAGCAAAGCCCAAAACACCTGAGCCAGGCTGCCAGGCTGCCAGGCTGAGTCGTACCAAAGGTGACCCATGGTGACCCAGGGGGATAGGAAACATGTCAAACAATGTCTCATGCCATCTGCGTATAGCTTGTATATCTTGTATCACTAGTCAGGATAGGTCAGGATTCTCCAGTAGGTGGTTAAGGTTTTGCCATGATTCTTCTCCCGTTTTTGGGGGTTCACCTCTTGCAGGATTGAATGCCCACGATAGTGGCAACTTCCCCTGAATGTATCAAACATATTTAGAAATACCACATTGATTATTCATGATTATTGCGGAGTATGGCAATCTAAGTCTATAATCCTCATGGAATAGCTAGAGTGTACAATGGGACCACCGTCTAAAGCCTGACGACCTGGGAAGGAATTCATATCCTGCGACCAACTGGAGCCAGTGCAACCTGCGGAGCCTCCAATTTTTCTGACTGCTTCAGATCTAGAACTTTGGCCCTGAGAAGTTGAACCACGTACGCCTGGAACCATGAACCAATGCCGCCAGGGCACATCGATAGAGCAGGAAGAACACTGAAAACCTGGGTTGAAAGACCAGGAGTGCTCAACCCAAACATTAGCAAAACGAACTGAAACAAACGTCAAATATAATCAATGGATTGGCTTTAAGTTTTAGGGAAATCTATAGGAAACCATGCGTTTTTTTCCACCAACTATATTATATATGGGTGTCCTGCAAATTTTCCCTGCTATCAATGGGAGACAAGTGTCCAATGCATGAAAACTACTAGTTTTTGTTGACCGTTCCACCTTGTTTCACTGATGCAGTTGGTGTCCCATCCGATTTTCCAAGTTTCTATGACCTGCCCCATTCTCTTCTAGTCTGAAAATGCTACAAGCATGTTGTTGTTCCTTCATAATCATTGGTTGCTTAAAAATATTGGTAGTGCTCAAAATGTGTGAGCCAAAAAATAATGTCTTAAGACGTAAAATGGCTACTTGTCACTTGTCAAAATTGGGATTCCCAAAATGGATAAACATGGATGGTTATAGCACAAGAAATGACCAAAATCTGCCGTCTGGAGGGTCTTACAATTTGACGCCGTCATCAAAATATGATATATGTAATTTTCATTCATTCTATAATGCCTATGATGGGTCTATTATATTACTCCCGTCACAGTATCTCCTGTTAATGGTTTGATGACCATCCTCCCAATACAGGGGTTTATCCAATCCAACTTTTCACCATCTCACACATATCACCCACGCCAAAAAAAAAACAATCTACAGTATCAGCCACGATTGTCAATTGAATCTCCAAAAATATGACCTTTTGGGGCTGAACATTGGATATGGGTCCTAAAATAGGGCTACCCCCAAATCATCTATTTTTTGCATAGGATTTTCGATTATAAATATGTATCAACCATCCAGCTATGATTTTAAATTTTGGTACCCCCATGACTATATGGACACCTCCATATCCACTATAGTCACTAGCACAGTTCTTACAGGTGGAATTTGGGATAATTGCATGGAAACCCCAAACATTTGGTATAAACCCCCCAATCATCTAAAATGTGAATAGTATTTTCTACTATAAACCATCCAACTATGATTTTGGTACCCCCATTTATATTTTAGGTTACTGTAGGAATTTCTATTATAAACAGCTATAACTATCCAGCAAGTGGGGTGCCCCTTATGGAAACACCATGAAACACCCATATATCCCCAGGTATCCCCTGGCCTTCCCTGGCCTTGGCCTTCCAAGGCACCATTCGCTAATCGCCTCCACCACCGCCCGGCAGGGAGGTGCCCAGTTGGCGAAGAGAATTTCCTCAGAAACGCCACAAACGCGTTTCAGCAAAGGTCGGGTAGGTCATGGGGCATTTGAGCAACCCAAAAAAAAGAAAAACATGGATTCAACTAACCAACAATGGGGAACATAACCAACAATATGGATCAATATCGGGATGAAACTACCTGATCTTGAATCATTCAAGCAAACAAGAATAGATAAGTACTTGATCACTATTTTTAGCTTTGTAATTCTGTTCAAGTTTGTTTTTTCGCCCCTCTCTCTCCAGGAATTATCTAGGAATTGATGGCGATCAAAATTGAGGGTACTACCTATTTTCAGACAAACCCGGTATGGGTATGTATCAAAAATGGTGAGCACCATGGGACACCCAAACTATGATTTGCAATGTTTGTGGGATATGGAAGAATGAAATGAAATGAACCATGTTCCCTCCAACCCCCGGGTTTGTCCACACGAAAAAACAACACATCCAAACAATATGATATACTTATCACCAGAGGATGAAAGAAAACACTGGCTATACGCAGTGATTTTGACTTAAGTTTTCAGGATTTAGGGTTTTAATTTCGGGTTTAGGGTTTTAGGTCTTAGGGTCTTAGGGTTTTAGTGTTTTAGGGCTTGTTGTTTTGGAAAAACCCTACGCAGGGATTTGAGCATGTCAAAGGATATGCGGGATTCGCCGCGGGCAAACCTCGGGTTTGCAGCGAACATGTTGTGCCCTTCTTTTGGACAACACCCCTAAATAAATCCCGACAGGTGATAGAAGCTACAAAAATGTCGTAAGACATATGTGTTTTTCCAAAATGTTTTGGCCACATAGAGGAATCGTGTAGTGAGTCAAATAAGTGATATGTTTTCCCCGTGAAAAATGGCAATGCGATCCAGAATCATGGAAAGAATCGGCTATGATCTTAGGAGTCCCGATTCCTTGAGTGAACCCTCAGGACTAGGTCAGTTCCTGTTAGTTCACAACAGCAAAATAAGACAAACAAGCATGTACGATTCCTAGGTCACCCAAGTTTGGCGGGCAACAGGATCCAAATATATCCAAATCATCCATCCGCCTGGGCCCTCCAAACCCCCAACCCGAGCTTCAAACATCGAAAGGAATGTCCTGGTAAAAGTGCCGTAATATTGAAAGACCTGGCCATGAGCTGAAAGACCTGTTTTTTTTTTCACGCTTGGAAGCATTGGCAAAAATAGGAAATGAAAGTGGGATGCACAAAGTGGAGATAGAATGAGCACAAAGGTGATTCACTAGTACCGGATCTCACCATACATCACCAACAACCATACATTCAGTACACAACCAGCAAAGAAATGACGAACTATAGCTTGAGCGATGAGCTACATCTCTGAGCCCCTTCAGGTAATCACTTAAGCCTTAAGCAATTACATAATTACCATGAATTGACGAATCCCCACAAAACAATGGGGTTTGGGTACCTGGAAATTCCATGTTTTTATGGTTTTATATAGCTTAATCAATATTTTTCCCATGTGAATAGCCATCAATGGGTATCCAGCATTTTCATAAAAACCGAATGGTCGTCAAAGGCCTCCAGTCGAAGGTCCAAAGGCTGCTTCGTGTCAGTGATGAAATCGCGCGCCAGCGTGCTCACGATCATGCCCGCCACACACTGCAAAAATGTGAGCCTTGGATGTTGATATGTTGGTTTATAACTCCATTAACTCTGTAGTATTCTATAGTTCCTATGGTTGATAAACCAACTTACAACTGGGGCCACCACCTCGTGAAACCTGAAGTGCCCAAGGCCATTTTGAGGTTTCAAATGTTCATTCAGTTCGGTTCATCTACCAAGTTTGAACATGTCCACGCCCAGTGCAGCTTTGCAGCAAGCAGAACGTCCAAAAGAGCATGTCCATACCTTGATCGACACAGCAGTCCCTGGTTGCTACCTGCGGCCTAGCGCAAGGGAATATATCTCAGATTTTGCGAAACATGAAACTTGGAAATCCCCCCCAAATGTAAAGAAAATCTGGCCGAACAAGAAACCCATCTTTTGCTCCTATGGGGAGATGATTTTCCCATTGCCTCCATTAGTTCGGGGAGTTCCCATCCGCCACGTTTGATGCCACCGGAGGGTAGACCACCTCAAAAGAAAACTGGGACCTTTTAGGTCCATCGAATGGTTTTTTGGCTGTAGGGCTGTAGCTTGAGCTTGGTTGCTGGCGGCCAGGCATTTAAGAAGTAGCTGAAGTGAAGCCAAAACCTGGCAGGACCAGGCAGACCACGAGGCATCCCTCCTCTAATTAGGATCTAAACGATGGGTTGGTATCAAGACTACAAAGGTTTTCATGAATATGATGCAAATGACCCCTCGAAAATCCTTGAAATACTTGGACTATCGGGATGCATGCGGCAATACGATTGTCCGATTGTGAACTCAGTGTCAGATATATAATAATGTCACTCTCATGCTGAGCCAATGTCATTCACAACCCTGCGACATGCTGCAGCCATACAAGCAGGCTCTTCCTGTAGAGATGACATGTCCCATCATTTCGGTTTGTCGAAAATTGTGTACAGTACAGTATACCGAGCGTCTGGGAAAGTGATGACAGATCATTGGATTCTTGGGGCAGCCAATGTTCAGACAAAATCATTTGCACTGAGGCACATTTGACATGGTCACCATCCGAAGTGCCCTTGCCAGCTTACCAATGCGTAGCAGTCGAAAGAGCACCTAGCAGGGTCGTCCAGATCTTCCTGGGTTCGTTTGGGATGCTACGAGGTCTTCATCTACTGCGTTTGCAGGTGGGTTGATGCTAGAGTTGTTTCAATGAAAAGGACATCCTTACCCTCCGGCAATCGAACATGGCATTGGACAAATCACAATCACAATGTTTTGATTGGCAAATCATCTAGCAGTGGATGCACAGCCCAATTTTGCTGCATAAATAAAGGTGAATTATCTACAGGTCAATGGCCATTTCAGGAACCGATTGAATGGAGGTACCTACCATTTATATAAGGCCTTTTTTTCAGGCCTAAATTTCAGGGAATATCCCCAGAATTCATATGGCCAAAAATATGGTACGTTTACGTACCTCCACAGGAGATTCATTCCCATTGAATTTCGGTGGATCTTCCAGCCGTGCTCGACTACTACCGTAGTCGAGCATGGCCATCGAAAACCCTGTGCCAAAATACAACCATTGGTTAACCCTCATTATCCATTGGTTAACCTGCATTCCAACAATTGGAGATTTCTTTGTCTCTAGTTATGTCTCATTTTTTTTTAATGTCTCATCTGTATGTGTTCCCCTTCGGACAACTGGCCGAAAGCTGTGTGTTAGCAGCTTCAAAACGAGCTGCTGGGTTAATAAAGCCCGATGGAGTCGCTGCGAAAATGAAAATCTCGAACAATGAGGCGATGGTCACGCCCAAATCCACCTAGGCACCGACTGGCGATGACGGGGACATTTCCAGGTATAGTGTTGAACTGTACCCAAGTTTGAGATCACTAACCTATATCTCTGTCTAAGGCCGACATACTAAATGCATAAGGTATCTGGATGTATCTGGGTCATTCAGGGTCATCTGGGTCCAAACCTAGAATTAATAAACATAATGGATTCAATAGATGTTTATGATGTTTATCATTTTCCAAGAGATCATGCCAAGGTGCATAGTTCATACATATCTTGAAGAATCTCGGCCCCAAAACCAACAACCGAACTGTCACGTCCAGAGCGAAGAGGGCCGAGAAGATCAGGTCACCAATCGCAATGACCTGCTCCTGTGGCGATGCGACCTTTACAAGGTGGGGAAAAGTTTATTTCTCTTCAAAATGACCATGAATTGGAGGTCATTGGGGCATACGTGCAATATTATTCTTATTATATACGGTTATTTTTACATATAATATAATATATATATACATATATATATATTACAATATATATTAATATATTATTAATATATCATAATATATTATAATATACACATACCCAGTTTCGGGATAAACCCAATTATCAGAAGCACTGTGGGCAGGGTTGAGGGCTAGCTTTGGATCCTCAATCCAACTGGGCCACCTGCGAGACTGTGCCAGATGTTCGAGGAATTGTTTGAGGCTAGCTGCGTCTGCACTCCATGAAATACTCTCCGAAGGGATCAGGTACACAAACTCTGGGATTTGCTTAAGGACCCCCCCCAAAAAAAAAAAAAAAACTCTTGATTTCCCAAATTTTCCACGTAGTGGATTTCCATGGATTTCCCATCGGGAAATAAATCCAGGATTAGTATGGAAACCCATAGGAACCCCGCAGGAAACGATCGGTCGGCCATGCGGCAAAGGCGGGCCATGAATCTTCGTCGATCATGGGTTCCGCGTAAAAACCGATGGCGTGTCCTTTGCAACAGGGAGCATTGGTTAGGGCAACGATCTCGTGGGGAAGAATCACCCTTCATAACGACTGAGAAATGACTTGTCCATGCTTTACTTGGTCCACTGATGTCCACTGCTCTGCGGCGTGGATGTTTTTCAAATAGGGATGTGTTTTGGATGTGTGTTTACCCTCTGGTACACTAACATAGCTATGGAAAATCACCATGTTTAATGGGAAAATCCACTATAAATGGCCATTTTCAATAGCTATGTTAAATTACCAGAGGGTAACCTAGAAGCTGGTGCTTCCAGCCGCCAGTACCGGAGAATACACAGTGACGTTCAGAAGCCTCCTGGAAGCTGATAGATATTTCTTGAGGTAAACCAGGTAAACCCAACAATAAACCATTCCCAGTTGGGGTTTGTTATTGGGCGTACCCCTATATGATTTAGAATAGCCTCCCAAATGGTTCGTTCACGGGATGGATTCATATCGGGTTTACCACGTTATAAATATAATATATATATATAATTTGATATAATGAAACTCCTCCACATGTGGATATTCTTCTTGTGCAAACTGGAGACTTCCGTTGCTGTCAATGTGAGTGTGGATTGATCCCCGGTTGACTTTACTTTAGATATCTTTAGATGTACCATTGCTGGCTGCGGTCCAAAAAATTCAGTGGATGAATCCGGAGCCTCTGACCCTCACAACATATTGTGTGGGAAACGGCAAGGTGGTGACACTCAGTGGATCCAACATGCAGCCCACCAGTGGATCCAGTCATCCAATCTTCAAATCGACCAATTGACCAACAGGCCCTTACCGAGCAACCGTTCATTGAACCGTGGACCTGGAGCTCAAAAGCCATCCAAAGGACGTTGAAGAGCAGGAACACGGTGATGGTCATTTCCTGTCGTCGACAGAGGCCGGTTTCCCGGCCGTGGTTTGAAGGGGGCAACATGCCTCTGGTGTGAGAATTATGTGAGAATGGGATACCACCTTTTCTTTGGTACATGGTCAAAACACCATCGAAAATGAAGAAAACCCAGAAAACCCAGGAGGAGTTTTGGCTGCTGAAAAGGCTGGTTGCCTGATGCAAATTTCCAAACGGGAAGCTGTTAACTCTTCCATGATGGCTACTGGTCCCTGGGGATGGGAGGATTATACAGCAGTACCGGGCTCCCTAACCCAACTTGAAGGTGCCTCATCTTGCCTTGAACACTTATATAGATCTCTCCAAACCCCTGAAAAATGCCAAGGTTCAAATGTGTTTGATTGCAAGAAACCCTGCAGCCGCTGGAATTTGGACCTGGGTTTTTGTCTCTTGCCAAGAGCGGCTAAGATGAGTTGGAGTTGAAAGTTTGATATATATATACAGTGGGGTGGTTCAAAAAGTCAAAAAGTGTGAAAAAGAGAGATGAATAATTCAATGTATATAGGTAGCCTATCATGGCCTTGGTTATTCACATGCACTGGACTCTGCTGCAAATACAAGTGTTATTCTATCATGCAGTACCCTGTCAATCCATGTCACGTGCAGATTGTGAATATGTATATATATGCACATATGGGCCTTGAAGTTTTTGCAACAGTCAACGATGAAGAAACCCCAGGGGCTTTCTGGGCTACTTAGGATTTAAAACTCAAAACCATCCAAATGATCAAACCAAGGCCATTTCGTTTTGGGTCCTCCCCCGTCATTCTCAACCATCGCCGTCATCCAAAGGTACAAAGTTCTGTAGTCAACTTTTTCTAGAAACTCGCTATCAGGTCCTCCTTCACTCTTCCTGAGCCGCGTGTTATCTTTTTTGGGCAGGGTGAGTATTCACTATAGGGACACAAAAACCACTACAGTATGAGTCATATGTAAAAAGGGTATGTATATATATATATATTTAGTGTGTATGTGCATGTGTATAAATACAAAAATAAGTCTATAATACATACATACATACATACATACATACATACATACATACATTACATTACATTACATTACACTACACTACACTACACTACATTACATTACATTACATTACATTAATACATACATAAACACATACATACATATATACATACATACATACATCCATCCATACCATACCATACCATACCATACCATACCATACCATACAAACATACACACATACACACATACACACATACACACATACACACATACACACATACATACACACATACATAAACACATACATACAGACATACATACATGCACACATACATACATACATGCACACATACATACATACATACATACATACATTCATACATACTTACATTACATTACATTACATTTCATTACATTACACTACACTACATTTACATACATACATACATTACACACATACATACATACATACATAACATTACATTACATTACATTACATTCCATTACATTCCATTACATTACATACATACATACATTACATACATACATACATTACAATACATACATACATGCATGCATGCATACATACATACATACATACGTACATAAATACACATACATACATAAGATACATAAAATACATTAGATACATTGTATAAATTAGGTGCATTAGATAAATTAGATACATTACATACATTGCATACATTACATACATTAGATGCATTAGATACATTAGATGCAATAGATACATTGGAAACAATACATACATTACATACATTACATACATTACATACATTACATACATTACATGCAGTACATACATTACATACATACATTAGATACATTAGATACCTTAGATACATTAGATACATTAGATACATTAGATACATTAGATACATTACATTACAAAACATACATAACATACATAACATGCATAACATACATAACATACAAAGCATACATAGCATACATAGCATACAAAGCATACATAGCATACATAGCATACATAGCATACAAAGCATATTTAGCATACATAGCATACAAAGCATATTTAGCATACATAGCATATTTAGCATACATAGCATGCATAGCATACAAAGCATGCATAGCATACAAAGCATACATAGCATACGTAGCATACATAGCATACGTAGCATACATACCATACATACCATTACATTACATTACATTACATTACATACCATTACATTCCATACCATTACATTACATACCATTACATTCCATACCATTACATTACATACCATTACATTACATTACATACCATTACATTACATACCATTACACTACATTACATACCATGACATACCATTACATACCATTACATTACATTACATACCATTACATTACATACCATTACATTCCATTACATTACATTACATTGCAATACATTACATTACAATACATTACATTACATTACATTACATTGCATTGCATTGCATTGCATTGCATTACATTACATTACATTACACTACATACATCCATTACATACATTACATTACATTCCATTACATTTCATTACATTGCATTACATTACATTACATACTTACATACATTAATACATTACATACATACATTACATACATGCATTACATACATACCATCATACATACATTAATGCATACGTTACATTACATGATATGACATGTCATGACATTGCATTACATTATATGTATATATATATATACATATATATATAAATATATATATATAAATATTGTGTGTTATTGCATGTGCAGGAGTCGTTGCAGTTTTGTTTTGCTGACTCGTGCTGAATCATGGTTCAAAACTGGCACCCAAGATCCAAAGACCTATTCTCTAGACCTTTCTTGGAGCGAAGACCTTTCAGGTTCCAATGGGTAAAAAACTCAGCAGGCTCAGCAGCACTGCTTCCCGCCATTTGATTTTCTCATTGGGTTGGTTTCATTTTTCTTTACCATTAAATCCATTCAGAATGGGTTGGTTTCATTTTTCTTTACCATTGTCAACTCTGCAAACTCTATCAAACTGTCCATCCAATCCGGATATGTTGGAAACCGTGTGTCTGACCGGTCAGCTTGGCGATGGCATTGCCCACTGGGTGGAGGAAATCCTGTTTGTTCTCGGGCTTCCCCTCCTCGTCATCGCCCCCCGCCAACATATTGATGATGTCCTCGGCAGTTGACTCCAGGGCAAGTATGTGCCAGGGTGGCCCCATCAAAATTTGGAAGGTGAGGCGCTAACTATGTACAGCTAACATTGGTATATACCCAAATGTGAATGTTAATACATACATACATCTTCTATATATATGCATATATATATGTGTAAGTATATACATATATAATGATGTGTATATATATATACATATATATATATATATACACATCATATATATATATATCATATATATCATATATATATATCATATATATATATATATATCATATATATATCATATATATATCATATATATATCATATATATATATCATATATATATCATATATATATATCATATATATATCATATATATATCATATGTATATATATATATATCATATATGTATATATATATATCATATATATATATATCATATATATATATCATATATATATATATCATGTAAATATATAATATGTTGAACCGTTAAGTGAACCTCTTAGCCAGAAGTGTCCAGCCATCGGACCTAAGGTCGCAACCCCCAAAACGGAATAAGGAAAAAAACGAGACTAAAGACCAAAAGAGTCGTGGTGGATATTTGTCCAAGTTTCATCCGCCTGCACTTCTCGCAAGTTTTCACGATTCTTCATCAAGAATGCTGTCGTAGAAGGTGACGCAGCAGATTGATAGCTCATGCGCCGCTTCTTTGCCAATCCTGAAGCGAGGAGTATTCTGATGATGGCACCCATCCCTGACAAATGAAAGTGATTTGGGGAGAAAATCATAGCATGCGTGGGATGCGCTTAGGGTGATTCATCATGGTTTGATTCATCAGGGTTTATGATGTTCACAATTGTTTGATAAATCATGCTTCAACAGCACCGAGACGTTTGACTTGCAGCCCATGGCCGCAATGGCCGAAACCTCTAGCGCTGGATATTAAATGCACCATAACATTCCCTTCATAGCACCAAGAACAAGCCAATGACGTCAGCGAACCAAGGTTTACCCAGCTACCCTCTGGTAAACGTTTACAAAAAACTATGGAAAATCACCATGTTTCATGGGAAAACTCACTATTTCTATGGCCATTTTCAATAGCTTTTTGTATGTTTACCAGAGGCTACCCAGGGAAAAACTGTCAAGGCGCCCCATTCGCCAGAATATTCCGACTCATTTCCACTGGCAAAGCTGCCCTGACCACGGCCGGCCAGGGCCAGTTGGAGACCCCATGACTGGATGATTTGGGGATGGGTCAATGCCGGAACACACCGGATTTTCGGGGCAACCAGCTATCGAGGGTTTTTGAACTGGTACCCTCTGGGAAACTAACATAGCTATTGAACATGGCCATTTATAGTGAGTTTTCCCATTAAACATGGTGATTTTCAATAGTTATGTTAGTTTACCAGAGGGTACCTATTGTTAATACTAACATATATCAACATGTTTTAACTACGCCCACGAGTATATCAACATTAAGCAATCCTATTTGATCTATTTGTCTGTTTCAAGTTGGGATATCGCTGAGTCAGGTGACGTTCGATTTCCAGTGACAAAAAAAAAACCGCCAGGTCGTCAGGTCTCTGCAATCACTTGGGAATGGGTCAAAGATTTGGGGCCCCCAAATGTATCACTATTGGGATCTATTGGGGCATACAGTGGCACTAGCGACCAAGTTCACGGATAGTCACGTGTTGGTCGGATCCCTATGTTTGTTGGTCAAGTCTGAGTTTCTCAAAACCCTACCATTTCCCTTGTTCAAACGACCATCTCCAAATTTGTGCTGCCTTCTTTGATCGTTGATCAAACAAGTTTCTCTCTATACAGTCGTCCCCATGATATCCCATGATCATCCCCCATTTTGTTGATTACCCTCTGGTAAACTAACATAACTATGGAAAATCACCATTTTTCATGGGAAATGTCACTATAAATGGTGATTTTCCATAGCTATGTTAGTTTACCAGAGGGTAACACATATTAAAACCTGGTGAAATCATCCCATTTCTCCCTTGGGGCCGCCTCGTGGAGAGCATCCATTTCTTCCGTGTTGTTGGAGGCCCTGGACAGTGACATGTCCTGGAGTCGATGGCTTTCCCTTGAAAGGATGGGGGTTAATCATGCTTAGTCGGCAGAATCTGGGGGTCATGCTGAATAAACAGTCCGGAGGAAACACTAAAATCATCACCTGTCGCTCTATTTAACTCTACTTGCCTACTTAAAAATGCCGGATTCATACCAAAACAAGCACAAAAAGTGAGGTGACGAATGATCTGCGAAGGGTTTCGGATGCCTTCACTGAAAAAGGAGAACCATGTTGACCATGTTGTTGTATTAGCAGGTGGTAGATAATGTTGCATCCTGATTGTCTGATTTGTAGATATTAGTAGCTGGGTTCACTGTTGTGGCTAGCAATCTCCAAATTATTCAGCACCCCTGATTAGTTGTCTGGGTTTGGTATTGTGGCCAACCTTTTTGGCAGACCATTGTTGTTTGAGAAAAAAATGTGTTGTGTGAATTTCAGCACTTTTCTCTGATCAAGGTTCAATTCACTTTAGTAGGTTTGTTCCCAGGGCTCAAAATTGCCGCAAACTTTTCCAGAGCTGATCCTGGAGCCAATAGAAGTTAATTCACAACTTTTCTTCAGCAACCCTCTCTCTCTCTCTCTTTCTCTTTCTCTTGTTCTTCTTTTCCTCCTTTTCTATATCTCTCTCTCTCTTTCTTTCTCTCGTTCTCTTTCTCTCTTTTTTTCCCTTTATTTTTCTCCTTCTATTTCTCTTTCTCTTCCTCTTCCTCTTTCTGAGGTGCAAAAGGTAACGCAATCAACACGCTGAACCCCACTCACTACGAGTACTACAAGTACTACCAGTACTACATGTTCACCGGCAAAAAAAACAATTGCCGCCAGTCAAAAAACCCTTTCTTAAATGTATGATCGTATTTTATCTGGGGAACAGTCTTTAAAAACTGAATATTAAAGAGGTTTTTTTGGCATTCGTTTTTTCAAGGGGGTTTTGGGTGGAGTTTTCGGCAAATCAAGACGATCCCGGAGCTCGGCGACTCAGCGCATGGTCCTCTGAATTTTTTCCAATGGTTGAGTCCAATGAGCCCGTTCTCTTGGACACAAACTTGACCTCGCCACGGGCTATGCATAAATAGTTGGACCTGAAGATCCTGAAGCAGGGTAATTCAAAAAAAATCGTTGAAATGAACTACAACAATAGATTTGTATGTACAGTGTGTAGTTCTATTTAACACAGTGTCCCACTAAACGATAATATACGTAGTCGATCGTAGTCGACTTTCTATGCAACTGGATTTGAAGACACGAATAGCTCCGAGTCCTGTGCTCAGCATCTCTGTTGGTTGAAAACAGACACACATTTTACTGGGACACTGTGCCAAGAAAAAAGTATCATATATCTATGTATCTATCTGACTAATTAACTAAATGATTAACTTATCTATCTATCTATCTAATCTAATCATATCTAATCTAATCTAATCTAATCTATATTCATCCGTCCGTCCATCCATCCTGTCTATTCTATCCTGTCTATCCTCTTTGTCCATCGTACCTCAAAACCTATCCCTGTGTGCATTCTGCAGGGTAGTTGTGCCAACTAAACCGTTTACAAACACAGCCTTCTACTACAAAATGCTGCCTGAATCTGGACCAACCCCCTTGCTACAAAATGCTTTGGTGGTTTTGATGGTGGATCAAAAGCCAATGTGGGTCACTACAAAATGCATGTGCGTAACCATTTTGTAGTGAAAAACGGGTTGCTGTGAAATATAATGATTCTCTACTAAATGGTTTCTGGAAATTTCATTTTAAATCTTTGGTTCACTTTCCGGGGCCCAGGTCATAGCATTTACAAGGGGAAATTCACACGGGATTTTTTTTCCTATATCCCAATCTCCATCTCCTCAGTTCCCTGAGTTTCTCCATCTCGTTACTAGGGGAATTTCACTACTAAATGTGGGCCCTTGGTTCAGCTGAAGTGCAAAATTTGGATATATTTTCGAAGTGTCTCAAGAGACTAACATATCAATTGTACCTCTCTACTAAATGTGGATTCTAAAGACGGTTACGTGATTTTTTCCTTGAAAAATCATGATTCTCTACTAAATGGTTTCTGGAAATTTCACTGTAAATTTTTGGTTCACTTTCCGGGGCCCAGGTCATAGCATTTGCCGAGCACAAGTAAATACAACCTTGGGATTTCCATCGGGTTCCAAGAATTGACCTTTCAAGAGGTTTTCTACTACGATGCTCAGAGCTATGGGGCAACAAAAACGATCTAAGCGCGCACAACTTCAATTTCAATTGATCGGTTTTGAAACCAAAGCTGTCCCATTTTTCCTCCTTAAAGTCTCTACATAAAAAGCATGTTTTTTGAACTTTTTGAGGCTTATCTAAAGGGGGACGCAGTAGGTTCTACAAAGGGTTGTGCACGTGTGTGTTACTACAAAATGCAGTGCATGACAAAAGCCATCCAGAAACTAGGATATCACGCATCGAATCTGTGCTTTGTGGGCGAAAGGAACTCTGAGCATGGATTCTTCGAACCTGGGTGAAACTTGACTATTGGACAAAAAGAGCAGGAATCTAGTAGAATGGGATACAGTTAGATTATGATTGGGAATCGCATGTAACCGCCAAAATAAGTGTGACAAAAGCACGGCGCAGAGATTTTGAACTGCAATCATCAGAGCTATGGGGCAACAAAAACGATCTAAGCGCACAACTTAAACTTCAATTGATTACCAAATCTGTCCCATTTTTCCTTCTTAAAGTCTCTACATTAAAAAACATGTTGTTTTCGACTTTTTTGCGGCTCATCTTACTACGAAATGATCGTGAGTCAAGAGCCAAAAATGGTCTGAGGGTCCAAGCCATATGTTAATATGACCCAGCATGACTGGCAAAAGAGGGCTATAGGGTTTCCTGTATGACCCAACGCATCCCAACATAAATCACTACAAAATGCATTTCCGATTTTCAAGTGCTAAGTTCGAAAAATGAAAAGCCGCTACAAGATGCAGCGCATGCTCTCTGACTACAAAATCCTAGGCACGACTTCATTTTTTTTGCATGAATTCTCTCCGCGACAGGGGATGGTATCCAGCACGTGTTCAGCCCTTTTAGTAGTGGAAATGGTAAGGGGGATCAAAACCTAATCTTATCTTTCATGTTATCTAACCTTACGTCATCTTAAATCCAATCGGAGGTTCGATCCCTCTGAGGCTCCCAACCCTGCTCGGTCCTTTTGCGTCCAGTCTTGCCTGACTTTCACCATTCAAATCCAGGGGACTTGGAAGAACTTTGACTCATTTCCCTGTGCAAAACTGATGGTAAACCTATGAACTCCTTTCAAAACCACGCATTTCATCGCCTTTCATCAGGAGAAAAAAACGATGTCGATGGTCGAAGAGGGAAACAAAACATGTTGATGGCTTCAAGATCCATGTTTTACCGGCTTTGGAAACTTCAGTGATCTGCATCATGTGGTAAACCCAATGCTAAACCACTGACATACCACAAATATCCATAAATGGATTGGGTTTCAACCACCGCAAAATTCTAGAAAAGTTTCTGGCATTGGATGAATTCCACACTGTTAGATGATATTAGATGATCTCTTCCCATTTTTCACCTCCATTTAGTTCAGGGATTTCTCAGCAATCGCCAGGAGATCACTGCCTGCAGCTCTTGAATCTCAAAGCAATGCTGCACAATGACCTCAGGAAATCCACCGGAAAATCTCAAGGTGAAACCTCTGGAGTATCAAGGGGACTTCGTCTCGCGTTGAAAAGCGTTGAACATCGCGGTGAAGACTAGAAATTCTGGTTTCAAATGATCAAGTGGTTCAACTTATCACGTATTTGGATTATGTTCCATCTATCTATATATATAGTTGTATGTACGGCGTACGTGTGTGAATCCGTTTTTGTTTTCATAATTAGATGAAAATTACATATCATTACATTAATGTGGCTAAGTTTATGGCATTGTTTTTCCCACATGATACTTTATGCATGCACAGTCCGCCATCAGGCCTGGTTGATCAAGCCTTGGAAGGTATGGCTGGGGCTGACGCCTGGTCACTGTGACCAGGAAAGTGCCCAGAAAATCATAGAAAATCACCGAAAATTTTGGCGCACACACGAAATATATACCACAGCATAAATATACAAATATATAAACATATAAATATATAGATATTAAATTATATAAAAATATTATTTATATATATATATGCGTGTGTGTGTGTGTGGGCGTGTGTATGTGTGCGTGTGTGTGTGTGCACAGTCGATTTTTGGATGCATATTTATATATGTATATGCGAGTGACAATACTTTGGGTGGAGTTCTCCCCACTCAAATCGGACTATCTAAACTCATCGACAAGGGGATGATGACGGCCATCATAACATGGGGCCTTGGTTTTACTTGTCTCAGGGATTCTATGAATCCTCAGGTCACAAACCCCTAGGGAGTTGAACCTCTCCCGTCAAAAATGAACAAACAGATACATATGAATATGTGCATACGCGTATCTATATATATAGATTATAGATATTAGTGTGTATTATATGTTCATGCAAACATTGCATCACATCACGGTGCATCTTGTCAAGTCAGTATCGATCCCGCCGGTCTTCAGTGCCTGAAACCTCGCCTACGGCAAAGATTCTGTGGCGTCCATTGCCAAGTTTAAAAAAACAAACTGAATGGAAGATAGAAGCCAACAAGAGCCATATCCATCAGTTCAGAAATCAACTGCTTTAATAATGTGAATGTTCAACACGTAAATCATCTATATAAAACCTAGACAATTCTAGAAACAATGTCTACTATCTACTCTAATGTCTACTTTCTCTCACTTCAACAAGTGGTTGACCCTACCATCAATGGATTGGTTTTGTTGGGAAAATCTTCACCAAAAAACCATGGTGTTTTTACCATCCAAATCCACCAATGGATTGGGGGTTTCCCAAGTTTCATCATGTTTACCATTCTATCATCCAATTCTATGATACTAATGGACCAATGCCGCCTGTATGTCCATGACGGTGGCTTATCCTGCCCGTCAGCTGGCCAGTGGCATCAGTTCCCCTCTGGTGGACTTTGACGGTTTTGCTATGGAAAAACACAATTTTCATAGCTAAAAAACCATGGTAAACCATGTAAAACCACCATTGTTACTAGGTAAAATCATCATTTTCGTCATTTTAATAGGTAAATCATAATGTGTATCATCTATTTCTATGGATCATGGCTTCCATAATCTGCCAAGCTATCTTACATAACCAGAGGGCTGCATTTATATGAATTTATTGTATCATCTATTACAGAACTGGAAACCTGATGGTAGCCATGTGTCATGTAATGTGTGACCAGTAACAAATATCATGATGTATGTTTATGTTTATGCGTGTGATGATAACAACCTTTTAGGAACAACACCAATGGTAGATAATGGTAGTATATAATGGTCGATACCCATTTATCATGATGTGTGATCAGATATCATAGGTTCAAGATTCTTGACTGATGATTTCGTATGTGGATCAACCAACCATGGATGGATACCCCATTGAAATAGTTGATTTACCTATAAAAACTGGTGATTTTCTATAGCAAACTGTTAGTTTACCAGAGGGTAAGCCATGTTAACCCCACCAGCACTGACGTCAACGGCCGTCCTGCGAGCGCGCGGACTCAAGCAACTGGATGCTTTGCTGCGTTCCTGATGCTCCTGGTCCTCAGGGGGACAATGGGCACCTGGAGGTCCCATAAAGACACTCCTGGGTCCCAAAGGTAGGTGAATTGGAGGCCAAAGAGCTTTAAAGAAAAGACAACTATCCATATAATGTCCACCTCTGATTTATAAATAGGGGGGCCCTCCCCCCCTCCCTCTTTTCCCCTAAATAGACTTAAAGCCACCATCAAACTTGTTTGTATGTATTGGTTTTCAATTACCACAATTTAAAACGAATACATAAAATGCAATTTCAAAAAAAAAAGGAATCCAACAATTGTTTTAGTATTGATCTAGTACTCATGTCATGGATTTAGTATTGATCTAGTACTCATGTCATGGATTTAGTATTGATTTAGTTTTAGTATTCATGTCATGGATTTAGCATTGATCTAGTATTCATTTCATGGATTTAGTATTGATTTAGTATTCATGTCATGGATTTAGTATTGATCTAGCACTCATGTCATGGATTTAGTATTGATTTAGTATTCATGTCATGGATTTAGTACTGATCTCGTATTCATGTCATGGATTTAGTATTGATTTAGTATTCATGTCATGGATCTGGGCAAATCTGGGTTTATGGCCAAAAAAAATTAGCTTTATTCAGGGTCAAACTCTAATTAGTGCTAAGGCACCTCATGGGGGGTACCCTTGATGAGTTGATTTGGGAATGATTTTGGATAGGTTTATATATATAAAGGATTTGAATAGAAAGAGCATCCATTATTTTTGAAAATTTGAAGCTACCAAGGTAAGATCTAATGAGCTGGCAGTATGAATTAGTACATGAAAGCCACCTCAAAAAAAGCATGGAAAAAAACAAAATCAGCCCCATCTGGGCAAATCTGGGTTTAGGGCCAAAAAAGTTTAGCTTTATTATTTAGGGGTCATTTATTATTTGTTTTGGGAGTTTGGTTAGCTTTATTCAGGGGGCATTGATAAATCGTAGGTCAACATTATACGTATTCATATATATATATACTACAGTAATGATGAAAATAATAGCAGTGATTCATGATGGTAATACTGCAATTCAAATAGTTATCAGCCAGTTGGGTTCGGAATTCATTCAGCATGGTGCCAAATGACCGTCTTTCATTCCTGGCCTTGGCCCATCCCTCCCTGACCTGCACCTCCTCAAAGCTTTCCTCTGGAATCACTGGTTTGTCTTGACGAACCACGGCAAGACTTGAGAAGCGTTCGGCCGCCGCCATGGCCCCCTGAAAGGTGCCGTTGCCACCACCCAGCAGACTGTGCGGCTGACCCGTAGAGCCCAAGCTGCGAAAAAAACATCCACAAGGCCTGCGGATCTTTCTGGGTGAATCGGCGAACCACCAAATGCTTGCAGTCACATGCCCACAAAGATCCAAAAAAGTATATCTTCTGAATTGATCGGAATGTATCAATAATTATCCATGTTTATCAAGGATGCCCTTCAACATGGGCAATCATTTTACCCTGGCAGCCTGCAAAGCATTCCAGAAAGAAGCAAGATTTTTCAAAGAATTTCTGAAAGGTCTGTGCAAGTGTAGCCAGTGTAGCTGGGGTCCAAGGTAGACATTCCAGCCCATCTCACCTGCTTCTCTTCGCTCCACCGCGAGGTGTTCCTCTTGGAGGACTCAAGGCGCGCCTGAGTCAAGGCATCGGTCGAGCCAAGGTCACCTTGGGTAGGACTTCACGGGACTTCATCTGAGTCTTCCACAGTCATGGCAGCCTTTTCCTCGCGATAGGACGAAGCCAACTCCTGCCCAAGTTGGAGGATGCTGGTAGTCCATTGAGCTCAGTCATGCCCTATTACAGGAAACTTTATGAATATGCTTGGATCCAACCGTGTGTTGTTCATATCATCAAGTGTTTTCCGTCCCCATCTCTTCAAACCCACAACGGCATCTTCAACCAATCCCAATGATATCATCCATTAGGATCCCACTCCAAGAGACTACAAACCAACAGAAATGAAGGGGACATCCTTAGAGGTTCATCCACAATCAACCAAGCCTTGTACACGGTTCAATGCCAACCAAGCGGCCCTTGTCTTGATAAATTCTAGTTGATTGAGGATGTTCCCCTTAATCAGTGATGATGTTTCATAAACTTGGTAGCCAACAAGATCAACAACTCAGGGTGAAGACAAAGTTGGACAGTATATGTAGCAACATAAATAACATGGTATATAAACATATATACCCTCTGGTAATTTAACATAACTATGGAAAATCACCATTTTTAATAGGTAAATCCACTATAAATGGCCATTTTCAATAGCTATGTAACAAATTACCCAGAGGGTATATAAACCCAATAGTAGACCATCCCCAAGTCAGCTAGGTCGCTCCTTGATACGTTGCTCGAGCTGCTTCGCAGCCTGGAAGGGACAAAAACCAAGTGCCCTCTCCGGGCGTTCAGCATCTTGCTGAAGGCGAGCCACGGTATTGATGAAACATGTATTTTTTCCATGTTTTTCTGATTTCTGTGATTTATTGATGTGAAAAAGATTGTCCATGGTTGAGGGAACATCCTACCTTTTATTGCTGACAGGAAGTGCAACCTGATGGTAGTTTTGCTGGAAAGAAACACTAAAAACCTGACCTGAGAGGATATCGAGGATAGTCTCGGATGCAAAACAAGAACATCCCTTTATCTCTCGTAATTGAAATGTCAGAAAGGTACGCACTACGGGCCACAGTTTCTACACTGCCTCATTTTTACATGTTCATCTTGTGTTTGAACGAAACATGGGGAACTGCTTTGCAGCAATAAGGGATTCGGTTTTTTTTGGCGCATGCCATGTAGTGCATGAGAATATTCCTGAGACCAAAGAGGAGATCGCCAACATCATCACAAATGCTTGGACGATTGCGACTGGACCATCAAGAATTGCTACAAATTGTGTATACAATTTGTATATACACCAAAAGAGAATCCAGAAGCAAATAAAAAATATCATGCCAGTTGATCAAGCATTTTTTCAGAACACGAGATGCTTACTCCGCTGGGCAGATCGTATCTGGTGCTTACACCGCCTCGGGATGATACACAAAGAGTCCAGACATCTCATCCTGGGAATGTGGAAAAACCACGGTTGAAAAACCCATGGTGGTTTGTTTCATAGGAAAACGAGCTAGACATGGTGGGTTTTCCACATCCATGTTGGTTCAGAGCAAGGTAAATCTTATATAATCTTATCATCTATATCTATATATAATGGGATTAATTGAAATATAATCATCAACAGTTATAGTATATCAGAAATCATGTTGTTACACATTGTTGTACTATTTCACGAGGTTCATCTTATCTACATATAATTGCAACAAAATAGTACTTATAATTGACTATAACCAATATAGTATAGCTCAATATTGATATATGATATTAGCTACTTAATGATATGTGGGTTTAGTTCCATATAGTATATGTCATATATAATTCATATATCTACAAATTGTGACAGTAAGTATTAATTAGCGACGATGTATCTACAATAAATGATGAGTTCTATACATAATGATTATCACTGATCTGACTGTTACTGCATTATCATCTTATTACTTTGAATATTGATGCCAGCGAATATTGCGCAACAACGCGCTTTGCTTCTTCCGTTTGCACAGCCCAAAATGGAACCCTGGTGGATTCTGCCACCCCCACCCCTCCTGGCTTCGCACCTGCAGTGGCAGGATCCATGAGGAAACTGTGAGCCATCACTGTGTCTGATGGCCTGTTTCCATATTAACGGCCGCAGAAAACATACAGAAACTGAGCCCCCCAGTACTATCGCAAAACCCAATAATAAACCATTCCCAATATTACCAAGAATGGACTGCAAATTTCATCCCCAACTGGTAGGTTTATGGCAGCCAGGGTGAAACCCACAGCGAAATCTCATCTCCACACCTGATCAGCCCGGAAGCCAAGTGGCATTCAAAGGAGGTCTGGATCTGACCCTTTCAGTCATAGCCTGAGATGATGACTCCCACAATATGCCAGTTAGGAAACCAACAGACCAGGCGGGTTCATAACCCCCTATGGTAACCTATCAACGATCGCTCATCAATTTTATGCTCCCAGAAGTTCAATATATCTTAATAGTTAACTAAATCCCTATCAAATGACTAATCGACTATCGTTTATCACTTATATCCCCATTTTGGGCGGTTAATTATTTCCACAACTTGGTCCATGTTTGTGGGTTAAACCAGTTGAATCCCATTTTTTGTTGGAAAAATCCAGGGTCCACTGGTCACTACTCACATCTGCCCCCTGGCCACGAGCCAGCTTGGCCATCCAGTTACGCCTTTATCCTCGCGGAAGGAGCGCTCCAGAACCTTCATATTCTGGGACCTGGTCGACTTACACATGATGGGCTTTATGGTGGGTACCCTCTGGTAAACATACAAAAAGCTATTGAAAATTGCCATTTATACAGTTGATTTACCGATGAAAAATTGTGATTTTCCATTGTTATGTTAGTTTGCCCGAGGGTACATTATGTAATGATGATGATCTTCCATCATCATGGTTCGATGGGTATCATCATCATCATCATCATCATTATCAAAATTCATCCCCACTAATAGGAGGGATGTCCATCCTTCAATTTTTTGGCTGATCGAATCCAACTTTTGGCCATGGCACATGTGGAAATTGCTGGTGTTTTTCTCCCAGATACTTGCATCAATGGACCCATTATGGAAATCAACATGTATTTTGGTAATTTATGGAAAGACTCCGGCCGATTTTTGGGCAGGTGCATGGGGATTGACACATCTGTCGTCTTTTACCACATTTTGGATATAGGGCATCGATGGAAGGTGGGCCCTTATCCAAACCACATTTAAGCTCTTAGATGTTGTCTTCATGGGTGAATGCCATGCCCCTAATAATTATCAAACACCACCTAAATGGGTTCAAATATGTGGTTTCATCCCCTGCCCTACATGCACCATGGTTTGAGGGTAAGCTCCCCACATCTTCTGTTGGGCCTCGCGTTGCGGATGATCGGTTCACAAGTTGCGCAAGCGAATGGATCATATTGATCATATCGTCGATATCGTGGTGATATGAGCAGGCGCTGAAATTGCAAAATCCTGGAATTGTGAACGTTGAAAAATCATCTATACTCACTATCTAATCATTATATACATGCAGTAACCATGGGCTACTCTCGACCTGCTAAGTGTGATGATGAACCACTAAGTTTGGAAGCTGGAGCATGACCATGCATGACCCACCACTGATGGAAAGGGGGGCCAATCTGGGTTTCCTTGGTCCTTTTGCATCCTTTCGCCCTAGGCTCGGCGCCCTTTTTTACTGTGAGTCTCTGGGTCAATGCGGCATGGTTCATGGCAATATCTACCGGTTTGTCTCACACTGGGCCAATGGGGAGTAGCAACCATCACCATTTCGCTGAAAGTTCGTATACTACAAGGTGGTGCCCCCAAACGTTATAAATTGGTTTATAAACCCCATGAATACTATAGATCGATATATCACCTATAAACCATAGTTATTGGAGTTATAAACCAACTTAGCTATCTAGGGGGCACCACCTTGTAGCAGGGGTTCACATGGTTTTGAAATGCCCAATTAGACTTTACTTCGAGTTTAAAACTCAATGGTAGCCACCTATTGGCTATAACTACTATGGGGTATACACTGCATAATATATCATGTGTAACATAGTAATAGTAATAGATAGTAATAGTAATAAGAATGACGATAATAATAACACTAATGAGAATGATAACAATAGCAATATTAATAAGGGCTTGGCTACATATGCTTGGTCGAACCAACTAGCGGGCAACGGAAGCAGGGCAACAGGCCATGGCCCATGGCATCCTCATTGTCGCGTCGCCTCTTTCGAGTTCCGAGCCCGGAGTTTCTCGCGCTCTTCATCGGTCCAAATGCTCGTGGACCTGCAACCGCACCCGCTGCATGTGCGGGGGCAAGGATGTTTACGCGTGCTGGATCATGTATACAGTAAATATAAATGCATACAACTTTACAAATAAATATGTCTATAAACACACACACACACATAGATAGATAGATAGATAGATAGATAGATAGATAGGATTAGATAGGATTAGATAGGATTAGATAGGATTAGATAGGATTAGATAGGATTAGATAGGATTAGATAGGATTAGCTAGGATTAGCTAGGATTAGATAGGATTAGCTAGGATTAGATAGGATTAGATAGGATTAGATAGGATTAGATAGGATTAGATAGGATTAGATAGGATTAGATAGGATTAGATAGGATTAGATAGGATTAGATAGATCGGATTAGATAGATAGGATTAGATAGGATTAGATAGGATTAGATAGGATTAGATAGGATTAGATAGGATTAGATAGGATTAGATAGGATTAGATAGGATTAGATAGGATTAGATAGGATTAGATAGGATTAGATAGGATTAGATAAGATAAGATAAGATTAGATAAGATAAGATTAGATAAGATAGATGGATCGATCGATAGATAGATTTATTTAATTTGCTCTCCATGTATAAATGGGAGAAGTTTTCCAAATCATCCATGGGATCAGCTGGAGCCCGCAGTCAGCTGGGTGTGCTAAACCACTACAAAAATGAAGCATTCCAAACGTCTCAAAATGAAGTATGGTACTCATTAAATGGGTCTTTTTTTTTACCAGTTCAGCATGTGTGGTGAATCTGCGGAACAAAGGTGAGAATATGTATAATATGTTAATATATCCCCCCCTTTCAGGGGGGGTGGGGGTGGTAAAAACTGAAATATTTCACTTTAAAGGGGGGGGATGTTAATATGATGATTCTAAAAGGCCTATATTAATGAAAGGGACGTCTGAACATATGTTAATATGATCTGTGTCCCTGAATCTGTGGAGATGATCACAAACATCAACCCACCAGAGACCTCCAAAAGATTTCTTTCGAAGTCATACCCTCTGGTAAACTAACATAGCAATGGAAAATCACCATTTTCAATGGGTAAATCCACTATAAATGGCCATTTTCAATAGCTATGTTAAATTACCAGAGGGTAAGTCAAAGCACAAGACTTCACCATGCCAGATTTTGCTGCCATCAATGTTTGGTTGGCATCCCTTAAATATATTGCAGGCTTGTCTGAGAATACGGTATCCCTAATCCACTGATTTACTATGTCATGATTCCCTTTCCCACAACTGCCAGTTCGGGGTTGAGTTATACCGCAGTTTCACGCACCTCAGTATGATATAGTTGGCTATATAGCCATAGTTAAAGCCATATTTATCCTATATCCAAAGAAATCTGCATGGTTCCTGGTTACAGTATATCACCATGTTTCTGCAGGAGTTCTCCATGATTTCTGGGCCAAGTTTTAACCCTCCACCACCAAGGCACCCATGGAGGAGGGCATTCTTCAACTGGCGGCGGCCCATGGGGGCCCCAAATGGACGGTCTGGGATTGGATATGGCTGGGATATAACAATGGTGGGCTAAGACATGTAAGTGAGATATGCCTGGGATATATTTCCGTATGTACATATATATTTATATATATATACATATGTATATATAAATAAATACATATAATATAATGTATAATATTTATATATATATATATAATGTATACAATGTATATAATATATACATAATTCCGATGATGTTTAAGTTAAATGTTTGAGTGGGATATGGATACGACTCGGCAACTGAGGTTATAAATCCCCAGCAACCGGAGAAACCAGATTAATCACTGTAAGCCTTGAGGCCAGTGGCCAGTGTGTTATTCTTCCAGTCACCATTTGCAAAACTCTAAGCGCCTGATCATCACCCCGGGCAGCAATATGGCAGTGCTGCCGCCAAGCCTTGCCTTGTCTTCCATTTCAGCTTCCAGCTTTTGTAGCTTGGCCCGGTGTTCTCGCATGTGAGCCCGATCCTGCTCTGCAACTGGGGGACTGGGGGATTCATATGGATTCATGGCTGGCACTGTGATTCAAATCGCAAGGAGATACACAGTGATACAAATAAATTTTCCCAGGTGACTTTCCCAGACCAGTCATCCCCACGGTAACCAGTGACTTCTTTTCCAAGCCCAAGCCATTGGCCAAAAGACAACTGGAAAGGCACGTCACGTATTCTCCCCTCACGTCCTTCTTCAGACCTTCTTTGGCACGTGCCTCAGGTGGTTGTGAGTCAAAACCCTGGCACCCGGATGGTACCTAAAATAGCTGGTTAATGGATGTTGATTCTTCCACATATGGTAACAATAGGTTTTGACCCATCCCCAGGTCTTGGGAGACGCGAGCCATGGCGGTCCGGCCTCGATGAGCTCATCGATACCATCCATACCTCGCTTTTCCACGAAGAAACGTCGGTGCAGCTCCAGCCTTGGTTTAAAAAAAAGGCCCCCAGCGTGGAAGATCCGCATGGTTGTTTACCTGGCAATTGGAATAACAAAAAAATATATATATAGTTATATATATATATGGTGTTTAACAGGGAAATATCCCGAAATCATCGAACTATAGTATTAAATGGATGATGGTGGATACTATCCCTTACCATGTTTGATTGTCAGATGTTTTTGATGACTTCCTGTGCAGGCATATCAAAAGCCTTCCCACTTCCAAGTTGGTGGCACAACCTCCAGTGACTGCAATGATGTACAAATGCTACGTCCGCAGTTAACCAGAAGCGCAAACATTACCTGTCGCTACTTTCCCACAGCAGTGGATTTTCCATGACGAAAGCTGTCGAAGTTCAAAATCTGATGCATTCGATGTCAAGTTGAGTCAAGTTGAACTGGCCTAAATATAGATAGATTTCATTGATTTAATATGATTTAGTTATATTTATATATGGGACCAAAGAAATCCCCCCATCCGCCTCCATCCCTCTATTTCCACAAAGTCTACCAAGTCTTCCCCATCTGCCCTTCCCAAAAGCTCCCCTCTTAGCACGCGGCACGCCCTCGCGGCGTACGGAGCTCACCCCGCGACTGGAATGCCAGATGGGTTCCGCCATGCCTTCAGCAGAAGCAGCTGAGCCAAGTCATGCGTCGCGGCGATCTGGATAGCCATGGAATGCCATGGACAATGGATGGACCATGGCCATGTGGCCATGTTCAATAAATAAAATATAAATAATTTATATGGCAGTGTGTCAAAACCTTGTACCCCTGTAGTTCACATCAAAATAGCTGGGATTTATGGATGTTCATCCCCCTAAAAATGGTATTAATAGGTATTGATCCATTCTAGGTATGTGGATGATATCTTCCTGGCTATATTAAATTACCAGACTTTAGGGATTTTCTTCAAAACATACCTGCCGCGTTGATGCATCTGGACGCGCTCCGTGGTGGAGGTAGACACAAACCCAGTTGTCTTAGTTACAATACCATGAAAAGGATAATGTTGGTTAATATACTGTTAATATACTGTTACTATATGGTTATTATATGGTTAATATATGGTTAATATATGGTTATTATATGGTTAATGATCTTGAATAATATGATCCAAATGGGGACGCGGGGCGTCCAATTTTTTAATACCCATTGGGACGATGATTCGCATGTGATCCGCGTGCGGATTGTAGCAAAGGCGGTAGCTTATAGCGGAGCAACCAAAGAAATAGAAGATATAAGCTACCGCTGGGACAATGTATAGACAATGTATAGATAAGTCCCCGAACAATAGTTATATAGCTCCGGATCATGCTGAGACAAGTGCTCTTTTCCATTGTATATCCAGCGCTTTCAGCTTTAACAATCTTTAACATCCATTTCATTTCGGGGACCACATCCCTTTCGTTTGTCGTGCGATATTGGTGTCTGCAAATAACGCGCCCCACAACCCCATGGTTGACCATCATTTTGATCACTTTCCCTATTAATCCCTATGCATCCCTATGATATGCGTGGACAAACACTTAGAACATCAAACGTTTTCCAAATGCACCGGCGCACACGCTTAGGACATCACAAAAATCAAGATGGGGATGTTCTAAGTGTAGCACTTAGAACACGTTAAATAACTGGTTTGAAACATTCCTATACTCACCCCCGGTTTCTCCTTTACTTTTAGTATAGTGGACACATACTTAGAACATCATCATGTACAAATTGATGTTCTAAGTGTGGATTTTGGGGGGCCGGACTTCATAATCTTCATCCTTAGAAATGTTACCCTGTTAAATATTGGAGGAGCGTTTTCCAAATGATGTTCTAAGTATTTGTCGACACACACATCGAATTTATATGGCCATGATATGTCCCCTCTATGTGTGGCCAAAGCAGTCCCCTTGTCACCCTACAAGGTGGTGCCCCCTAGATAGCTAAGTTGGTTTATAACTCCAATAACTATGGTTTATAGGTGATATATCTATAGTTAATGGGGTTTATAAACCAATTTATAACTAGGGGGCACCACCTTGTATGCTATCGCATGGTGGATCTGTTTTTTTTCACTGCGCACCACAGCTGGTTCTCAGCTGCTTCAGGGACTCTGGAGGCATGGCATAGAGACGTTCCTGGAGCCTACGGGGCCTGAAACGGCGGCAACCGGATCGGATGTGGATTTCCGAAGAATCGGAATCCCATCTTTATTGCTATGTGTTACTATAATTTACCCTCTGGTAAACTAACATAGCTATGGAAAATGGCCATTTATAGTGAGTTTTCCCATTAAAAATTGTGATTTTCCATAGCTATGTTAAATTACCAGAGGGTACTATATACATCTATATACGGTATTATATAACTCACGGATACCGATCCCATTCCAACAGTATGGCTTGTGTATGTGAACCCAAGTGGCATTGCCGGTGTGTGTTTTCAATCCCACTGAAGGATGTGAGTCTGTTTGGGGATCATCTTGCCATCGGGGGATGGAACGGTTCAACCTGTCAATCTTTGAGGACTCTTCACGTTCATGGGGGAAAAATGAAACCAAACGTGAAATCTACTGGAACATCAGTCAAAATATGTCAAAACTCCAAAAGACCGTACCAAGTTGGTGGGTTTCATTGGTGCCCAAGAACAGATACCAATCTTGCACCCAGCTGCAGGTCTTCATCCTCAGGCTCTTCAGCATGGAGGTCCGTCTTTTGCCAAAAACCTTTGGGATCATCAACCTCGACTACAGCCTTGGTGCGTGTGGAACTCCTTTTTGTGGAACTCAAGGGGGGTTGCTAGCTGCTAGCGCAACCCAGTGGCTTCCTTTGGGGTAAATAAAGCCGGTTGTATGCCGGTAGGGGGCCCAGGGGCCCACTGGGATTCCCAACTTCCACCTCTTGAAAAGGTTCCTCCAGAAGCCGCTGCAGCAGCTTCAGGAACTGTCTCGCTTTGGAACCTGCCAGCGCCCGGAAACGGAAACATGAGGCAACATGTGCAAAGTTGGATTGTACCACTTTTTTAACCCCAAATCCATTGGTTAGAAACCATATTCACTCATATTCCGTCGAATATCGTCGAATGAATTGCCATTCTGGCGGTATGCCCCCTTTTGAGACACACCTGCTAGCACCTTAGGGCCAGCATTTGATACCCTTCACATGATATGCTCAGATATGACATCCTCCTCCAGATATCCTAGCAGATTTGGCATGTTGAACTATAGCTAGGTGTCACTCCAAAATCACTCAAGAATCTTGAACAGTTCCAAGAATATCTGGGAAAACACCTACTAATCCCATCATTCATATTAAACACCCCATTCTATGGTCCCAAATATGTGGGTTCATCCTATTAAACATCTACTAAACCATCTATTAAACGTCATGAAAATCTATGGTTTCTGGGGCGTGTTTCATCCAAAATCACCTCAAACTTTCCATCGGTTGTCCAGCGTCCTGGCCGTTGGATCTCCACCAACTTGGCTGCCTCTGCCAGCACGTGGCTGCGCAAGCTCAGCTTGGGCACCGCTGCGCGGATGGCCGGCACCAACTGCAGTTGGTCCTGCGCCCACGACCAGGGCGGCTAAGTCATGGGGGTTACCCCAAGTCACCGTGGTTGTTTACTAAGTCATAGTCGTTCATGACTGGATGAGTGATGATTGAGTGGCCCTATTTGAGGATACCACCATGGACAAGACTTCATTACTTATTCAGAACTCTTATCTAATACTACACAATGCATATATATATATACACCAATTTTATTACATATTATATATTGTATATATATACATATATATATACTCTATATTATGTGTGTGTGTTATATTATTATAAATATAATATGGTAAATGACTAAATTCCTTACATTTGCTAGACCTTCTCCGATGGTCAATTACATCCAGGATCAAGGTGCCGCTCCACGGTGAAGGGAAATGCTGAAACCCTGGTTGATATGTCATTGCCATGTCTTGCCAAGTCATTGCTCAAAACTGTGGTTTCTGTAAATTCACCCTTCAACAAAGAGTAACAAAGCCATAGCCTCTGGTAATTTCTTACATAACTATTGAAAATGGCTATTTATAGTGGATTTTCCCATTAAAAATGGTGGATCTTTCATGATCTTTCCATAGTTTTGTGTACGTTTACCAGGCCGGGTAAATGATCTTCATCCGTTCCACCGTGCCGGTCTTGGAGCTGCCGCAGCTCTTGCAGGATCTCAACCAATCCAGTGGTGCTGTTGGCACCTGCAAAGCCCAAGAAATTTCAGCCCTTGGTCCACCGGCACATTCTATATATTCTATTGTATTTTGGATAATATATCCTATAAATTTGAACGATTTTGATGATTTAACAGTGCCAAACCATACATTATTTTTCATTTTTGGATCTTTTTTTTGGATACCCTCTGGTAAACTAACATAGCTATGGAAAATCACAATTTTTAATGGGTAAATCATCTATAAATGGGCCATTTTCCATGGCTATGTTAAATAGCCAGAGGGTAATATCCTATAAATTTGAACGATTTTGACTGATGTTGAATGATGACTTGGATGATGTTGGTCATCTTTCCACAAGTCTTCTGGGTCTACCAAAGCCAGTCCGAAGTATTTCAACCCCAAAACGAAACATGTTGGCCAATGGGAAATCATCATCCCAGGTGGGATGGAAAAAACGGCGTGAATTGCACTGAATTGACTCATGGGAAAAACGAGTCAAACCACTCCAATTTTGTCCAAAACCTTTGCTGGGAAAAAAATGAAACTCCACAGGGTGCGGTGTTTCTCTGCCTGCATGCTCCGCCAAACGCTCAGCAGCATTCGAAGCACGCTCAGCGTCAGCTTCCAAGACGTCCGACAAGCCTCTGCTGGCACGAGGGTAATCAGCACCTGGCACTTCTGTTGAGCACGAAAACGCATCGGTCATTTCAGCAGCGTTCAGAGACAGCTTCTGGATGCCTATATATAATTGGTAAATGTGTGCAAATGCCATGGTTTCCTGGAACAAAATTCTTCAACCAATTCTAGTCGCACTCGTAAATGGTGTCCTTGATCTTCTTTTTCCGGGGCTACTTCCCCCCCCCAGGCCCCATCCTCCCCGCCTGTTCGTTCCAGCCACTGCACCCAATGCTTCACCACACAACCACCGGAGACTCCAGCCGCACAGGGCAAGCCTCAACATCTGAGTTCCGGTGTGGCCTCGTGAACACGCTATCAATAGCAACATCCATAGATGTAACTGCTGGAATCAACGTGTTGCAGCTCGAGTTTTAGAGGTGCCAACCCCACTTCAAAGTGGCAATGAGGCTTCCGAAGAAGGGGTGATTTCAAGATGGAGTGAAGTTCAAGACCGGTCATCCACCCCACAATGGGACTCCAAACATGATAGGCATTGACAGGCATGTAAATCCCTATTGATGGGCAATGATCATCCCCTTTGCGCTGGAATTCACACCATCCCAACATCTGCAGATTCCAAGGTGCCGGTGGCAGGGAGGCCCAACCTCACCTCCATCCGCGCCACAAAGCAGCGCTCGAAATGTTGATCAAAGTTGTCCACTTCTTGCGCGGCCTTCAGAATGAGCACCGACGTCTCATTCCGAAAATTTGCGCGTGGTGTTTAATTTACTGTGGCATAATCTGATATACATAAACATATACATATACATATACATATACATATAGATATATGCATATAAATGTTGGCCACTGTAGCCACTGTGGGTGCTTCCTCAACTTGAGGGTGAAAAGAAACTGGATTTCCAAGGTCAAACATGTCCTTGTTGAAATGCTGCGGGGTCTGCATGGCAAATCCTAAGACCCGGGCAATGGACGCATCAAGCCACTCTCCTGACTGTTCCCCCACCATGGAACCATATGGAACCTTAAAAATGAACGGCACTGAAAAGATGATGAAAGATTATACTCAAATCAAAAAAGAAATGATGATTTTGATGTTCTCTGTCTGGACTCCTGGTTGGATCCTTGGAGTGTAATCGAGTCGACCTGGTTCAAATATTTACAGTATACATATAAGTATATATATATATATCAGTGTGTGTGCGTGTGTTGCATTGGATATTTATATATATATATATATTAAATATATATTATACAATCATGTAACACAGCATGTGTGAGGAACACTGCTGCTCTTCAGAAGATTCAGCCAGCTGTTTTGATCTTGATCTCTCACTCTTCTCTTTGTTTAATCTTGCTTAGATCTCTTTTTTTATTTTTTTTTAACACCCCCCTCCGAGAGCAACTATGGTTCCTCTCCATGGTTTAGACGTGTTTAGACCCAGAAAAACAATTTCCCAAGTTTTGAGTGCCTGATATCAAACACTTCCTGGCCCATGTAGCCGTGCATGTGTCCTGGCGTGCTCCACTTCATGGCGTCCGGCTCTCGGTCCGCCAGGAATGGGGTGCCCGTCAGGGCGTCACTGAGCCTGAGCCGAGATGGGAACATCCATAAGGCCCAGGCCCAGGGCCCATATGGGCCCATGAATTGTCTAAAGTCAATTCAGTTGGAACATGAAACTTGTGATGAAAGTTTCATCATCCTCGTTGATTGCTGAAGAACGGAAATTACCCCCGTATTTCGCGACATCGCCTTTTTTGCTTCTTGCAACAGCGTGTTCGGACCTGAAACATTCCCATAAATTATCTTCAAACCAGGTCAAGACCGGGGTGCTCACGCAATTTCTTAGCTACCCTCTGGTTATGACTAACATATCCATGGAAAATCCCTTATAAATGGATTTTCCAGCTGGGAAAATCATCTATAAATGGGCCATTTTCCAAAGCTATGTTAAATAACCAGAGGGTAACATATGTTAAAATATGCTAAAATGATAGTCTATTGCTACAAATGACCAGAAATGACCAGCCCCAGAACCAAATGAACTCCGAAGGCATCTGGTCCCCAACCCCCATGCCTTTGCAGGTTCCATTTGGCGATTTCTGGCTGGGCGCCAAAGGCGTACCTGTTTTTCTGCTGGCTGTGGCCCTGTGGGCCCTAAAAATTGATCTGGCAACTGAGGTCCTTATGCTCCCAGGTAGGGATGGAAATGTTGAGATGTGTTTAAAAATGATTCAACCCTCCAGGCAGTTCTTGATTGTGCACTCCACATGGACCTTCAGAGAATTTCAGAGACGTCACTCCGGGATGTCTTGGGAAATGGTGAATGACCGCAGGGATCACATCACCTGGGGGTCACCGTGCCGTGTCGTCAATGTGGTTGGGTGCCCACGAGGGATCGTACTTCGACAAGAAGCCAAACACATTCCTGGGCTCAGGCACTTTTTGCAGTGTTAGAGAAGGGCCAAGAAATTGTCATGGAGAGTTGCTGTAGTGGTTTTTTAGGTAGAAAATCACGTCGTACCACCCTCGCACTGCAAACAAATGCATGCATGAAGTAGGTGATCCTGAAAACCTGCAAATAACGTCGCGGCAAAGCGGGATAAAAATCACTATGTATGATTCACGGTGTTCCCTGTTGCTGGGTAGACAGCACATAGGACCTAAGAGATGTGCATCAATCAATCGTTGGAATCCTGAAACCGCCAAGTGTCAAGTCCACCGTGGTACCCAACAGGCTGAGATTGTCGGTGTTCATCACACCATGCGCAAAGCCAACCTGAGCAAATTGGCGTGACGTCACAGAGGACCAGCCCTTCCTACTTTGGATGTTACCATCTGGTCGTTGGGAAGATTTAGAATTTCGAAAGGGGTGCGGAATTTTTTGGGGATTTTTTTTTCTTGTTTTGGGAATTTTATTTTTTTTTGGTCGTGGGCACGGTTTCCTCACTTTTTCCTTGTTTTCCATGACTTTTCCTTGGTTTTTCATTGGTTTTCCTTCATTTTTCCTCACGTTTTCCTCGTTTTCCAGTATTTTTCTTTGGTTTTTCATAATTTTCCTCACTTTTTCATCGTGTTCCATTACTTTTTCCTTTGATTTTCATCATTTTCCTCACTTTTTCATCGTTTTCCATTACTTTTTCCTTGTTTTCCATGACTTTTCCTTCGTTGTTCATTGGTTTTCCTTCATTTTTCCTCACTTTTTCATCGTTTTCCATTACTTTTCCTTAGTTTTTCATAATTTTCCTCACTTTTTCATCGTTTTCCATTACTTTTCCTTGGTTTTTCATCATTTTCCTCACTTTTTCCTCGTTTTCCATTATTTTTTCTTAGTTGTTCATTGGTTTTCCTTCACTCCCCTCACTTTTCCTCGTTTTCCATTACTTTTTCTTTGGTTTTTCATCATTTTCCTAACATTTTCTTTCCTTCCTCAATAAGAAAACAGGAAGGGGGTATGGGGGAGAGGGCTGAGGAGGAGCAGTAGCGTCCACTCAGAATCAGCTAAAGCGTCTTCCCAGGCAACCTTATATACAGATATATAGATATAATATAGTGGTATATAGATATATAGATATAAATATATATATATAGAGATATATAGATATATAGATATATATATAGATATATAGATATATAGATATATAGATATATAGATATATAGATATATAGATATATAGATATATAGATATATAGATATATAGATATATAGATATATAGATATGTGTATATATATATATAGATATAGATATATAGATATGTATATATATATAGATATAGATATAGATATATAGAGATATATAGAAATATAAAGAAATATATAGAAATATATATATATAGTGATATAGATATATAGATAATTATATACATATATAGATATATAGATACAGCCATAGATGTAGATATAGATATAGATATAGATATAAATAGATATAGATAGATATAGATAGATATAGATAGATATAGATAGATGTAGGTATACATGCATGACTAATCATTACTATATGCATATGTAGATCAATGTATTTACAAGTGTAATCAATATATCTGCCGGGTTTGGTTTTAGGGTTGGTTTTAAGGTTTCTTTAGGGCTGGTTTAGAGTCTGTTTAGGGTTTGTTTAGGGTTGGATTAGGGGTTATTTAGGGATACAATATGTACATACAAATAACTATACTTATGTGGACGCATATGCATGCACATGATTATTTACAGTTTATTTTGGGATACAACATGCACATACAAATAACTATTTTTTGTGGACGCATATGCATGCACATGATTATTTACAATTTATTGGGATGAAAGCTGTGTATATAAACAACCATATGTATATATATATACAATATATATATATAGTCTAACCAAACTAGTGTATTGAAATGTGTGCAAGTTTGAATTTAAATAAAAAAAAGCGGGAGGAGGGGGATTGGGGGGGAGGGCGCAGCGCCTCCCCCCAAAGCAGATTGGAAACACCTATTTTCACATGCAAGGTGCTGGGTTGAATGTGATACTCAAGTTAAGGTGTATATACTACACGACATGCACCTTGGAAACATGTGGAATGTAGATTAAGGCACAACGATGCACAATAGTTTCATTTGATGTTATCATCCGGTTGGTTTAAGATCTCTTTATATAAGCTTTGGTTCAGGGTTGGCTTGGGGTTTGAATATCATCCGGATGATAATGCAAACCTTTTAGATAGATAGATAGATAGATAGATATATAGATATATAGATTTAAAGATATATAGATTTAAAGATATATAGATTAAAAGATATAGGAATATAGATATATAGATATATAGATATATAGATATATAGATATATACACAGATATATTGATATATAGTGGTATATCGATATATAGATATAACTATAGATATATATATATATAGAAATATATGGAGATATATAGAGATATATAGAGATATATAGAGATATATATACATATAGAGATATATAGAAATATATAGAGATATATAGATATATATATATAGAGATATAGATATATAGATAAATATATACATATATAGATATATAGATATATAGATACAGCCATAGATGTAGATATAGATACAGATATAGATAGATATAGATAGATATAAATAGATATAGATAGATATAGATACGTAGATATAGTAGAGGGATATATATAGATATAGATAGATATAGATAGATACAGATAGATATAGATAGATATAGATAGATATAGATAGAAATAGATAGATATAGATAGATATAGATATAGATAGACATAGATAGATATAGATAGAATCAAGTAGATAGATAGTTTGATAGCTAGATAGATAGATAGATAGGCAGATAGATAGTTAGATAGATAGATAGACAGATAGATAGATAGACAGATAGATAGACAGATAGATAGATAGATAGATAGATGGATGGATAGATAGATAGATAGATGATACTCAAGGTGTATCTAATGCACAACATGCACCTGGTGAACATGCTTCACTGATAGATTGATCGATAGATGATAAATGAGCCATAGGAGCGAGGAGCTCTAGGAGCCAGGAGCCATAGAAGCCACCAGGAGCCACCAGGAGCCGCAAAAGCCACCAGGAGCCACAAGGAGCCGCAGAAGCCACCAGGAGCCACCAGGAGCCACCAGGAGCCACCAGGAGCCACCAGGAGCCACAGAAGCCACCAGGAGAGGAGGAAAAAAAAAAAATACCAAAAAAAAAAAAATTAAATTACCCTCCTATCGAAAGTGGCCGTGATCATGGTTGGAACAAATTCCCCAGCGAGGGTGAAGTCATATCATCTACCATGCGGGCAGCCATGGTTCCATGGCAAACAGGAAGAACCTCCCAGTTCTTTCATCAGCGGGGCTTCCCAAAACAATCACTACTCAATATATTTCAATCATAACTCGCAAATCCATATGTTGCTCCAAAATCCCACGTTAGATATTAATAATTGGTTCATCATATGTTCCGGCCAGGTCGCCGCCATCCAAGCCGCCACCAAGGCAGCCGTGCGTTGCACCAAGCGTTGTAACAAGCAGCGCAAGACTTCCTGACCTGCCGTGGATTCCCTGTGGAGTCTGGTGAGGAACGGGGATGCCGCGATGCCCCAGGTCGCAAACCACCAGGTAATGGTTCAACCCCACACCATACATGGAGGAAAGGAGTCCTAATAGACATATAGGCATAGTCATATAGGATTATATACCCTCTGGTAAACTAACATAGCTATTGAAAATGGCCCATTTATAGTGGATTTACCCATTAATAATGGTGTTTTTCCATAGTTATGTTAGTTTACCAGAGGGTAGGCTGGTTATGTTCAGTATCAACCGTGTGAGGCCCAACTCTTTTTGGCTTATAACATCCACATGTTCAGGGTACTCCATGCCATCTCATGGTTGAACATGTTTGATTTGAAAGCTCATGTTCCCCAAAAGCCACCATTTTTAGAGACATCCGCAGTTTTGCTGGCTAGGTCCCAACATATACCACCCATAGATAAATAAATAAACAAATATATTATATTATTATTATAGCAATAATAGTAATAATAGTAATAACAATGATAGTAATATCCATATCACTATATCCCATTCCCAATTATATCACCATTATGTTCATTGCCTGTTTGATGTTGAAAATCCATGAAAATCCCATCAACATGTCGCCCGTTTCACCTCCCAGGACTTCTCCGACTTGTCCCGCACAGCTGGGTGGATCTAACGCAACGAAGAAACAGTCCCGGCGCAAGGCCTTTGGCACCGGCTGCCTGCGACATTCACCATGAAGTGTTCAGTTAACATCTGGTTATGACTAACATAGCCATGATATAGATGACCCATAGAAATAGGTAGGAATCACCATAGGAAAATGGGAAAATCATAGGAAAACTATAGGAAAACCATAGGAAAATGGAGGTTTACCCTCTGGTAAACGTTTACATAACGAAATGGAAAGATCCACCATTTTCAATGGGAAAATCACCACTATTTCTATGGTCATGTTCAATAGCTATGTTAAATTACCAGAGGGTAGATGACCCTAATCGAAATAGATGGTTTACCGTTCTTAAAAATGGGTGGATCTTTCCATGGCTACGTTAGTCATAACCAGATGGTAACTGATAACTTCATAAGATAAAATTGCGTATGATCCCCAAAAATGAGTCCGCTTCCAGTCAACATTTTTTGACCTTTCCACCAGCCCAGAATTCCTGTAGCCCAGAGACCTCAAGCGTTGCAAGTACTTCACGCTCGCATCATCGTGCCGCTCCATTCGAGACAGCACGTCCAGCGCATGGCGCGCCAAGTGCGTTAGGCCGGCCACGCCCTGTCCTTTTGCTACCAACAGCGGCACCAAAAGACATTTCCGGAGTTCATCCAACATGCGATGGTACTTATTCCCTTCCCCCAAAGACACACAAGATTTTTTAAAAAATGACCCAAAAATTGAACAAAACCAGTACAAAACCATGGTTTTATAGGGGTATTAGGGGGGAAGGGATTGCACATGTTTACAACCCAACTTATTTTGCAAGAGAAATCCAGGAATCCACAATACAAGAGATTCAGAAAAGGACGAATTTACCCAACTAAATCTTGGATCATTCAATCTTTTCCAACGTTTTTGCCAAAAAAGTGGATGTTAGAAAAAAACATAAGGCGACATAGCAGTAATCCATGTAGTTCGATGACTTTCCCAGCCAAAAACCTCCATTTATGGTGGTTTTTCCCATAGTTTCCCATATGGGTATGGATCAATACCTATTAATACCATTTTTAGGGGGATGAACATCCATTTACCAGCTATTTTGATGTGAACTACAGGGGTACAAGGTTTTGACACACTGCCATATGTTCCTATGACTTTCACCAGCAAACCTGGTAAACCTCCATCGATAGAGGGGTTGCCACTGGTTGGCCACTGGTTGCCACCGAGCCACGCTTCGCTGCCAGCTGAGCAGAGCCGAAACGCAGGAAACTGGGCATCACCCGGGACGTGATGGCCGCTTTCTTCATGGACATCTGGCGCATGGTGTCATTGGATGGGAGTAAAAAGCCTGAAAACTGGTGAAAACTGACATGATTTACCCTCTGGTAAACTAACATACAAATAACTATGGAAAGATCCACCATGTTCAATGGGAAAATCCACTATTTCTATGGCCATTTTCAATAGCTATGTTAAATTACCAGAGGGTAACCGTGAGAAATTGGGGGTTTGGGATGAAACAAGTAAGGTCACTGGAGTGAAGTGGAAAACATGTGGTTGAAAATCTGGTTTATCCGATGAAATTATCCTTGATTTCCGTGACATGCTCCCCTAAGCCTATACTGTTCTGGGAAAATGGCAGAGCTCCCTGCTTTCAATACTAAAGTTGATTCCGTTGTCAACTTGGATTACCACAGGGCAAGCCGGCTTGAAATCTAAGAATGGGTTGAAAAAAGAAAATTATGTGCATTTTCTGGCGTTCGATGTTGATTGAAAAATGGAAGAATACCTGAAATCCCCAAATTGGGGAGCAAACAGATTGTACAACTGCCTGCGCTCTTGCATGAGGTCAAATTATCGGATAAACAGTTTCGGATTGTTTCTATGAAAGAAGAAAAGATGAACAGGTGAGCAAGACTTAAAACTTACTCACACACACACCCATATGTATATATAACTTATACATATACATATACATATACATATACATATACATATACATATACATATGTATATATGCAAATATGTAAATATAAATAAATATAAATAACATATATACATAGATGTGTGTAGTTTGCCGGGGTCAATCTGACCCACGCCCAAACATCCCAGAATTTTTGACTCCAGGCCTGGCCGGAATACCACTCGTCCCGCATCAAGCGGTCCTCCTCACTGTCGCTTCCCACCACCGCCAAGGTGCCACACACGGGAACGCCTGGGCGCGTTCCAAGGAATTACTTGAAGGTTCAAGAGAAAATGGATCAGGAAACCATAGCAAATCAATGGAAATCACTGGAAATCACTGGAAATTTCGAGGGAAACCAAGGGAAGTCGCAAACCATGGTCTTCACTGCCTGAAGACCATGATGGGATATGATCAGCATTTCAGCTGGGTTCACTTTTCAACGAGTCATTTGCAGTTGGCAAAATAGGCACGTGATGGGAATGGGAAGCTAAAACACCATTCGGCCACCTTCACGGAGGTTTCACTGCCACATTGACCCACATTCCGCGATAACCCAGCATATATATATATAATAGTGGATAATAAAAGAATCATGAAGATGAGAATACGCATACAAAAATATCAAAAATGATGATAATGAATAGTAGGAACATGTAAAACCATATAACAAAAACAAACATAAATCCATACATAGTGGGAGAAATATCAGTCAATCTCCACCAAAGATGGACCAGCTGCCCATGGACTCCAAGAAGATTGGCCTGAGCCGCTCTGGATCCAAGATGATGCAAGTTTCGGTTCCAAGATTTGGGACCGATATTTTTTGGATACCAAAACAAGAATATTGGAATTTGATATTAGCATATATTAGCGGATTCTGGATTTAAATGTATGAATAATTCCGTTTGTTTTTTTGAAACCAGTTTTGCCACAAGTTTTCATATGGTTTCATGGTTGAAACATGTTGAAACCCTAATCCTACATCAAATGAGTTTGTGTAACGCAAAAAAAATCCGGTGAATCATCGTTTTCCCTTCAAGAATTGCCATTTGGTGGGGATAAACCCCAGGCAGACCCAAATATCATATCAAATTGGTTTGTTATATTCCATTTATCCCGTATGATATTCCCACCATACCGGTGGAATCTTCCATTGCAACCATGCCACGCAAAGAACTCCCGTGCTGCGTTCGACAACGCTGCTCGGCCATCCCCCCCACGGCTGTAGGGGGTCTTGCCCGCACCTGACATGGTGGTGAGGTGGAAAAGAAAATACGTATTATAAATGCATGGCTGCATAGACACCCCAAATATGTTTGCGGATGCATGTGCGTATATTGCACTAGAATATGTTACAATATCATCAATTTGCCACTGACATTTATTCAATTTATTCATTTACTGGTTCATTTCTTGATTCATCAATCTACTGATATGAAATCGTATGCTGTATGTCTTCCTGAAAGGCGCTGTCTTCCCGAAAGGCCCTGCGCCTTTCAGTGACAGTTCCCACGGCCACCAGCGGATCCAGGTCTGGCTGCACGCGATGGTTTCAAAACACGGGAATGACTATCAAACATGAACTATCATATATATGTATATATTACCAGGTAGTGCCTGGCACGCGCCGGGGCGGAAGTTTCAAAAATAGAACATGGCTATGGGAACCAGTTTGCTTAATTATGGGAAATGTTTCTTGAGCAGGAAAGAATTTTAAGTGAATTGAAACGACTGAATTGAATGGAAATGAACTGAGTTGAATTGAGCTGAATTGAGTTGAATTGAATTGAGTTAAACTGAATTGAATTGAGTGAGTGAGTGAACGAATGAGTGAAGCAATGAATGAATGAAATGACATGAAATAGATGAAATAAAAGAAATGAAATGAAATGAAAATAAAAATAAAAATGAAATGAAAATGAAAACGAAAATGAAAACAAAATGAAGTGAAATCAAATGAAATGACATTCATGAAAATGACATGAACGAAATGAAATGAAAATAAAAGAAAATGAAATTTAATGTAATTATATAAGTAAAATGAAATGAAATGATTATGAAATGCAAAAGAAATGAAAATGAAAATGAAAACGAAAATGAAAATGAAAATGAATTAATGAACGAACGAACGAATGACTGAATGAATGAATCAACGAAACAACGAAAACCAATGAAGCAATGAATCAACGAATCAATGAATCAATGAATCAATGAATCAATGAACCAATGAACCAATGAATCAATGAATCAAAGAATCAATGAATCAATGAATCAATGAAATTTGCCGACCTCATCTTCCAAAAGCGCTCTGAAACCCTCAGCTTTTAAACTTTTTATGTGAAACCGAGCTCTCCCTACAGTCTCCTGCACATTTTGCCTTGCGAACTCGACCATGCCAAAAAAGAACGCTCCGAACGTGCGCATTGGTTTGCGGCTTTTATGTGAAATCGAGCTCTCGCTACAGTCTTGTGCACATTTTGCCGGCCTCATCTTCCAAAAGTGCTCCAAACATGTCAATTTGTTTTCCGATTTTTTTGTGAAACCGAGCTCTCGCTACAGTCTCGTGCACATTTTGCCAACCTCATCTTCCAAAAGTGTTCCGAACATGTCAATTTGTTTTCCGATTTTTTTGTGAAACCGAGCTCTCGCTACAGTCTCGTGCACATTTTGCCAACCTCATCTTCCAAAAGTGTTCCGAACATGTCAATTTGTTTTCCGATTTTTTTGTGAAACCGAGCTCTCGCTACAGTCTCGTGCACATTTTGCCAACCTCATCTTCCAAAAGTGTTCCGAACATGTCAATTTGTTTTCCGATTTTTTTGTGAAACCGAGCTCTCGCTACAGTCTCGTGCACATTTCGCCGACCTCATCTTCCAAAAGTGCTCCGAACGTGACAGCTTTTCAACATATTCAAGCGCAAATCGCGCTCTCGCTACAGCCCTGTGCACGTTCTGTTGATCGAGGCCCACAACCGCGGAAACAGAGACCCTACTTCGGCGAACACGGAGGCCACTTTACCCGAAAAAAACACAGGGTTTCGCGCCCGAGCCTTTTCAAGCCTGAATTCACGCGTTCCCGACCTGTTACACTTCCCAACTACTTGATGATGATGTGGTTGACATGATGATGCGGTGGCATGATGGTGAGAATGCTGCCCATGACAATCGTCCGTAACTCGGAAGTTTTCTAACTAAACATTCTTTGATTATATTTTAAATAAGTAATAAATAAATACAGTAAATAATAAATTAATAAAAAGAAAAAATAAATGAAATAAATGTATAATATTTCATTATATGTCCATCAAATCTTATATCCATCAAATATCCACAATGGTTCATTGGATTGGATTGGTTCAAATATTGAAGGGATCCGGTCAGAACACATCCAATGAAGCGCACCTCTGTCACCGGGTCGTCGGGTGCGAAGCCCAGCACATGGCCGAGAGACATGGCACGGCCATCGCCCAACTGACCCGACCAGGAACCGAACCTCAAACCATTGAGGACTCCCAGGTGACTGAAATGAGGCCCACAAAAGCGAGACATCCAATGCTGAACCAGGGATAAGGGTTTGGGGCTGATATTCCAAATTTGGGAGCAATTACATCAAAGTACAGGAACCCTTCGATCAGCATCATTGCTCATGAACCAGCAGGAGTCGCCACACCTTCAGAAACAAGCAGTTCCTCACTGGGGCCACCAGTTGGTCCAAGTCAAAATTGGGTACACTGCACACAAAAGATAACTGATGATCAATCCAAACATGACGTTTTTACAGGTCCCAAGGTCCAACAAGTCTTGAACTAAGGCACTGGTGTCCGCCGTATGCATGTGCAAATGGCTGAGCTGTGCTTGGCAACTGCCGGCCACTTAGAAGCTTTAGCAAGTCCTGCATCAGGACAGAAAAATCCGCTCGGGGTATCCCAAGATATGGGGATGAAATGCGGGCATACCAGTTTCAGAATGGGGATATAAAATGATATAAGCCACCCTCTCACCCAATGGATTGATTCAAGAAAAATTCTGCGGGAACCATTGCTTTTAGCAGCATTAGATCCATCAGATCCGGCCATCCACATCTGGGACTACAGCAATGACAATGAGGCTCTCAACCAACAAACAAATCAATGGTGTGGGGTCACCTACAAATCCAGGGTTTGAATTGTAATCAATTTGGGATATGTTACCCTCCTGTATCAAATTGGGCCAGGTTTGAACACAAAAAAAATGGTTTCGCGGATGGTTTTGAACCCATGGTAGTGGAACCATAACAATAATCTGGATAAATCAAAACAAATATATAACTAACCTACAAGGCTATGTTTGGATGGATAGTAACCCCTACGAACCTAATAACCATGATTCCAGTGACTTCGCAGCGAAGTAGTTACAATGAAGTAGTTACAATTTATCCAGATGTATATCATGCGTTTGATGCTCGATCAAAACGGACATTCTTCCAACCAACATGGCCCATCAACAGCCAAAATGGGATGAAAGCAGCCAACATGAGATGATCAAGATATGTGGGGGATTTTGCTTTTGCAAACTTCATGTGGTTCCTGTTTGAAGCACTCATCAAAAAGAGGTGAAATGCTACAAGAAGACAACTCATCACAAGTCATCACCCAACCAAAAAACATTGTTGATGCTGACCAAACACCCGCTGGCCAGGGTTTCAGCCACAGATCACAAAAAAAACCATTAATTAGGCAAGTGAGGAATTCTGGAAATGGAACACATGAAAGCAACGAAACAAGCCAGGCTCTAGTTTATATATTGAAACAGGTCCTTTCCCCTGGATCTATTTGTTTCTGGCTTTCATCTTGTGGTTTTTGCGGCATGACAAGGCCCTAGTCATGCCTCATCCCCAACTTGTGGCGCCAAGCCAAGCCTCCTCGCCACCTGAAGGCCGTCAACGGCCAACCATTTCTTGTACATGAATGTGTTTGAGCGCGCTCATGTAAATAATGATATATAACGACATATACATACATATACAATGATATACATACATACATATATATATATATGTATATGTATATACAATGATATACATGGTATATGTGCGTCTGGAAAGCTTAGCTGATGTGCGTACGTTTACCCTACGCATCCAACCCATTGGACAGATTTGCCAGGCGTATATAGGGGAAAACCATGGAAAACCTGTGGCAACTCAGCCTGGGAATCTCCATTTCTTGGGCCAAATGTGTCAAGGATTCGATGGGCAAACAGCTAGATAGATAAGCAAACCGTGGTACATTAAAAAAAAAAGAGATGGACTCACCAAGAATAATTTTGCAAAACAACTTGTTAAGTTTGTTGAAAACATGTTAAGCTAGTAGAAATATAGTTAGGAAGGCCGGTGGGTAGGCAGATGGACAAGTCGACATACAAAGAGATAGACAGGGATAGAATGGGTAGCTTGGGTTAGCTTGGTGGGCAAAGAGCCGGCTGCCATCAATGAACAACCATCTACAGTCAAGAACAAACACAAATATTCCCCTCATCCGTTTGTTTGCATGGAACTTTCAGTACACATAGAATGGGTCCAACCAGCATGGTCCAACATTTGAAGGACCACACTTGTGCTACTAAACACCATCCCAAAATTGGGAATGCCCAAGATTGATCCGTTTAACGAAGCCAAAAAACGGGAGAGACCCTATTGTTTAACTATAATTTAACTATGGCAAATCAGGATGTTTCACAGGGAAATCATGATTTTCCAGCACCACATATGTGGTGAAGTTCTCGGCAGGTGTGCAAAAATGGCTGTCCCACAACCGAAGATCGCCAAAGAATTGGGGGATCATCTCCAATCCAAATGTCAACATCTATCCTCTGGTAATTTGTTACATAGCGAACTGGAAAGATCCACCATTTTTCCATTTTATAGCTGGGTAAATCCACTATAGTCACTATAAATGGCCATTTTCAATAGCTATGTTAGTTTACCAGAGGGTACACTCTGTACCACTTTCTCATCCACATAATTGTTCTACAATGCCACTTTCCAGATCCACCTAAAAAGCTTCAGCAAAATAAACATAAATAAACACTAGTCATCACTAGTCACTATGATATCTATCTGCAGCAGATTGTGCGAAAGGTTGGGACGCATCTTGCATCCCGTCCAAAATCTTTCAAATCTCGTATGTCTACCTTCAAGCCAACACCTTTTTTTGCCAAAACCTGTCCGGTTTCGATCCCTTGTGATGGCATAACGGGTAGGCTTTACCCATCACTCAACCAGTGAGTTGTATTTCAAGCAGCAAATGGAGCGATACAATACTGGGTGTGGGGATTTCATCAGGAACAAAAACGCATCACCGGCACCGAACAATGCCAGACATCGTCTTTCGGTTTTATTGTGAGGATAAATCATTTGCCCCCATGGAACATCATGGAACAAGACCTTACCACCCCGCTTTTTTGAGGTATGCAGTGGACATTACAGTAAATTCTTTAGCCCCATGGGACAATTCCATACCGCAATGAGAGTAAAAAGCACGCCTGACTCCCACAGAGGATCACCAAATCCGACTTGAACTTACTAATTCAGGGCATGGATGACATGGATGTCTTTCCATCCAAAATTGGAATATTAGAATTGCAAAAGACAGTGAATGCGCCGTGAAAATACCAAAAACGCAACACCATGCATTCTGGCAGTCTGCACACAGTCTGACTATTTGAAAAACACAAACCTGAAAAAGCGAGGGATGGGTCAAAACCCTGTACCCCTGGTGAACACATGTGAACACCAAATTTAGCTGGTAGATGCATGTCCATCCCCTAAAAATATCTAAAGATTGTCTTTGTAAGTAGTGATCCATGGCCGTATGCCAGTTTTTGGGGGATGATTCCCCCTTTGCTTCCCAGGCTGCTGGCATCATGGTGTCATCGCTTACCGGTCGCCTGGTGATTCAGCAGGACCAAGCGAATTTCTCCATGAAAGGGTTGAGGCCTGGAGTCGCCAGGGGCCGCCTGAATCCCATCCCCCTACTATTAAACACCCCGCAAAAGGTCCCAATGATGTGGAAATTCCCTACTAAACCACAGTTTCTAGCGGGTGTTTAATATTAGGTGGAGGAGATTAAAATGACCCCTGCAAATTTGCACGCTCAAAAATGCTTAATGATCCAAGTTAGCTTAGCGGTCTCTCGAAGCTTGGCCCCAACTTTGAATCATGACTGAAGACGAACGGAAACACTTCAAACATCTTCAATCTAAATGTCAGGGCAATCAATCCATATTGAAGCCCTTGCCATGTTGCCAGAAATCCGAGCAGCAACTGTCCGCCAGACTTCCCAACTTGACCATTCTTTCAAAATCCAATGGCACAGCAGAGGTCCCCGCCCAACACAGTTACCGGGTTGCACCTGGTCAAAGAGATTGAGGCATTGAACACCTGGCACTGGTGGCGACATCGCAGATGCCATCGTGCTATCCTCCCGTACCATGTGGATCCAGAGGGATGAAATTGCAAGTCGATAGTTAAAGTCATGACCCCAGCGATGTCCAAAACCTGGGTGATAAAGGGGACAGTCGACCCATGGAGAGAAATGTCAATAGTGTTCAATAGTAGTTATAGAGATCTTGGGAAAAGTAAGGTTGACAATATCAATTTATCAACATCGAGCACACTTATGCTAGGACGTTCGAGGACTCTGGCAATTTAGGAGGACCCGCAGGGGTGGTTTTCGAAACTAAAAAATTTATCGTTCAATTTTTCTGGCCATGGTTCTTCTTCTGTAATTCCATCCCTCTAAACTGAGGAATTCCCCCATACAGCATCCCAAAATCAATACGAAACATTGCTCAAATCAGTAGGTTCCAATGGCTTCCAACTAATCAAAACTAACATTTTTGCAGTACTTAAACTACAATTTATAGATGGATTGTGTTGGATTCTACATGTATATATACATATATATACCACGTAGAACTGGCATCCCGGGATCTCCTAAAAAAAACTACTGCACCTGCCGTGATCGCCGGGAGCTGTCCGGATCCAGAGGCAGAGCTTCGAGAGTCAGGTTCTGAAAGACCAGTTGTCTTGCCTTGGGCTGAACGCAGGTGATGGTTTTTTGTTCGATCTTCAAATGGTAGGAAAACCATGGAAAACCATTTGGTTGGAATGGGATCGGATTTGTTTGAAGGGCTAAGAGTGGCAGGAATTCCTTCGTTTTCATGGTAGAACTGCAATGTTGTTCCTTTTTCTTATACACGTTAGCCCAGTGAACATTCAGCGCTCCTGATGGTTGTAGTGTCTAGCAGCGCTGAATGAGAAAATTCAGAAATTCATGATCCCTGGAACGCAATGTTCACCCCATACCAACCATACCAACCGCCAGCAGTCTAGGAGACAACCATTGGCTGGCTGGGAAACGACCATATTCAATAGCACGTGTGGCACAAAACAGGCGCATTGCCGTTCAAGTCTCGGCCTCCGCACGCTGCCAATGCCTACACCCGAACTTGGACCTTCCGGTGGTGTTGGAAGACCACATCGAACCTGCAGGAGTGATTCCGCTCGTTGTGCAAGAATATATATATATACGATCCCATCAACATCCATTTGAAACCACGAAGTATGCACAGAGTGACATAGTACAATGTAGTGTGAAGTGGTGATGCCAATGGTAAACCCATGGTAAACCCATGGTAAACCAAAACTCCTCAGGCTGTTTAGTCATCACCGATTGGCAATATAGTTTATGGATGTTTATCTTTGAGTCTGCCACGTTGATGCGATCATATCATTTAATTCATCCTAACACCAACTAGCATAGCTAACCATGAAAACCCTGAGTTTTCCCTGTCACCTCAGTTGTCGAAATCAGCTATTCGTGTAGCCTTCCGAGTTATCAGGGGTTTTGTCAAAGCGTCAAATCCTCCAATCAAGAATAGCGCGTCAGCAGAGACACCCTTTGAAAACAATAAACTGTGGTTGATGACAAGTTGATGAGCATCTATTTTCACTGCATATGTTCACCTGCTAGTTAAGTTCAACCATAAGTCAGCCACTTAAAAGGATCTGACTAAACTTTAAACCAACGTTAACGCGGCAAAGCTGGGTACATCCGTACATCCCCAATTCTCTTCGATTACATCCCTGTTTAAATTGTCTTCATTTCATTCCGTTACATGTTATTGCTGCGTATCGATTTACGTCTCCAAATTAATTTGTTGGTCAAACCACTAACCCAAACCAAACCCATCAAAACAACACAAAACGAAATAAGTTCGCCCATAATCAACCACTCAAATGACTCAAATACCAAACCAAATCAAACAAAATAATATAAGTTCTCCCATGTTTGCTGGTTGAATCGCTATATTTTGATAGCCAAATGTCAATGAAAATTTAGCATCGCTACATCGCTGTCCTGCCTCCTCGCCCGCCATGCAGCTACACTCACCGCTTCCAGAAGGACCATCCTCACACTCCTGCAGGGACTGATCTGGGACCACGAGTGACCTATAGAAACCGCACATGACTTTCCCTTGAATATGTACACATACATTCGCACATGGCCCTACATGTGCTATATAAATGCTGATCCATATATATATATATATGTATATATATATATTGTGTATGTGTGTGTGTGTCTATATATTGACACACACACACATGTAGATAGATATATATATATATAAACATTATATATTATTGACGGATATTGACGGCACAGAATGCTGTGCTTTGGCTCATGTCCTACTGTTGATCCCACCGTAGTATGAGCCTTTCTGGCCATGTTCGAGCACGGAAACTCGGGTAGAAAAATGAAACCCCTAGTGAACTGAAGATGCAGCGGTTTGGTGGCTCCAGGTTTCCTCATACTCCGCGCAAGCGCATACATGTTGACATTCACGGCCATAGCGGCCCGGAACGCAAGCAGTGTACCTGGAGGACCGACCCAGAACCCTCAGTTCTTCGGTTTCTCAAGTGAGATGGGTTGCTATTACCCAAGTTGCCTGTGTATGGCACATGATGGCACATGTACATATTTACAAATAATGCATACGCGCACACACATATATATATATATGATATTATATAGATAATATAGATAAGTAGATATGAGTAGATAGATCGATAGACATAGGTATAATGTATAATAGGTGTCAAATAATATAGATGTATATATGTATAAGATTATATAATCATCAAATAATATAGATGTATATATGTATAAGATTATATAATCATATAATGTTATACTATCTTATACGTAGAGTGCCTGAAAGAACATGTTTCTGAAAAACTGGCTAATATTGTTGTCAAAACATCCAAGTGCTATGTTCTTTGGGGCTTCACTTACTGGCCAAATCGGTGTTGGGTGGAAATTCGGTACAGAAGTGGATTGTCGTACTATTCCTAAACCTTATGAAAATCTCTGGTTCCCTGGTCCTTTAATCAATGGCCATTTCAGGATCCTAAATTGGAGGTACCTACCATATATAAGGCCTATGTAAGGCCTATGTAAGGGAATATCCCCAGAAAATCTGGCCTTATATGGTACAGTACCTCCATTTTAGGATCCTGGAATTCCCATTGATTTAATGTTTGACGACAATGTCATTGTTTCACCAGGTCACTGCGCGGCAGAAAGGCCCAGCAGCAAGGGCCAGCGGAGCATCCGTCCCAAAATCTCAACACATTTCTGGGGTATAGGGGATTATAGGGGTATGCCCCAAAATTGGGGCAATTAGAAGCCAATGATGTGGGTGTATCATTGATTTTCATATTAAATATCTACCATGGTATCTATGGGACAAACCTATTGGATGTTCCAAGGCTGGGTATGGTCCATACAGTGGTCCAGCGTTGAGGTACACGGAGTCTGTGGGCCCAATGTGGCTCTTGATGGTGTTCTTCAGATCAGAAGCAACCACCTTGCGTCATGAATTACAGCCTATTTCTAGCAAGTAGCTATGAGGTTTGTTGTTTTTGACATGCTTGGAAACTGCTTTCACTTGACTTTCAGGATTGAGCAGCTCAGAAAAGACAAACGCACCGGGCTGCCGCGACACAAAAAGGACTGTGGATATGCATGCATGTGTAATATATGCATATATGCCAGATTATGCCAGTATTGCCAGTCATTTGCCAAAGGTCTTAAAGGAGCCCTTGGCAATCACGCATTGGTACTCAAGAATTCCTTTGATTCATGTTATCTGCAGTAACTCAGTAGGTGACTCAAAAGGCCAATTTTATGTTCTCTGCAAAAACTCAGTGGGCGCTAAAAGGCCAAAGGCATGATATGATAACAAAGCCGCTTCCCAGCCGCATCTTTTGCTATTCCAGGCTGTCTAAGTCAACCTTCTCCTGCATCGTGTGAAGCCTTGGTGCTACAACAGGTGCCCAACACTTTGCAGAGTTGGGGAGCGGAAGAAGCATTAGAAAGTTGAATGATGCAAAATCTATTCACTTTGAATAGCGTTTCTTCCCCCCACATGCTCTGCGGCAACTGGGTGCCAAACCCACCAGCGCCAGCACTTCGCGCCTTGGCGTATTGGCTGCACAGGCTTTGGTAGTGGGAAACCATATTGAAAGGGACCAATTGAAGGAAATCAGACTTACATTTTCATAAATACATGTAATAATACATGTAATAATACATGTAATAATACATGTAATAATACATGTAATAATACATGTAATAATACATGTTACGCACATATATATATGTAATAATACATGTTATGTATATATATATATATACATATGTATATGTATATAAGCCATGCCCTCTTATCGTATATGATATGTGGATCCTGTGATATGTGGATCTTGTGATATGTGGATCCTGTAAAATCTGCCACTCAAAAAATGGAGCTCGATTCATCCCCATTCACCTCGATGTTTCTGTATGCCAGTCTGGCATGGCCACTTCACTAAGCCATGCACAGCGATTGCACGAGGCCATGTCCTGACTCTGACAAACTGAAGGGCGGCTCTTTGAGCTGGACGTGAGGTGCAGCCAGAAGCTTGTAAAAAAAAAAAACTGAAAAATGTTGGTGTTTGCATGTTTCCCCAAGATGTAACAACAAGAATGCAGTTGCATCTGCAATGTCACAATGATGCTTCAAGAAACATGTCGAGAGAGACATGGACAGGAAGAGTTGACCAATAACATCCAACCCCAGCTGCAAGATGTTTAACTGGTCCCCTCCTTGCGTTGGTCTTCCCCAGTCTGGATGCCGCACCCTACGCAGGCTGCCACGCTCCAAATGTCGCAAACAAAATGCCATAAACCATCCCTAGTGACTTACCACTATCGGGTGGGAATAGGTGAGGTGTGTAAACATCATCCCCAGATAGTACTATAGGTTTATTACTGGCTTTACCACATCAGTGAGATCAAATGTGGCAGAGAAATGATGTATAGGTCGAATTGCCGAGGTTTTTCACCCAATAGGTTTTTCTACTAATCCTTAAATCTAGGCTTTGAAGAGTGGAACAACTTCAAGTTGCTCCGGCCTCAGGCGCCGCATAATCTTCCAGCTGCCACAGCAGACGGGAAGACTCACAGGCCAAAGCTCGATCCAAGAAACGCAGGAGGGTGGCATCTTCACCCCAGCAGGCCTCGGTACGTCATCTGGCCGTTGGGAGCTGAGGGGAAATCATGTGGGAGTAGTTCCAATCATGAAAATGTATACCCTCTGGTAATTTAACATAGCTATTGAAAATTGCCATTTATAGTGGACTTTCCCATTAAAAATGGTGATTTTCCATGGCTATGTTAGTTCACCAGAGGGTAGCTAAATTTAAGATTATCTAAGTCTATATCTATGTCACATCTATATATATATATACATCATTCTATATCGATACAGTATCCATCCATCTGTCTATTCGACAATTGTGATGAGGGCTCAGGGCTGCTGAGCCACCATTCTTGGAAAATATGTAGGGATCCATAAAGTATAGGGATATGACAGGTTGCAGCCAACAAAGAGAGTAGTAGCACTGTTGTCCCAGCTTCTGGAGGGCGCAAAAATTGTGGAATCATTGGGTCAGTTTACAGTATACAGGGAGGAAATAACAAAAACCGTACAGATTCATGTACGGTTTTCCTTGGCAAAAATGGATGTTAAAATACAGGGGTGCTCCCAACACCCCAAATATTGGGCAGACAGGTCCCACTGATCTTTGATCGCATCTGAGCCACTGCCCGACACGCGGGCGGCATGAAGCAGGCAGAAAAGGACCACAAAGTGCTGGCCAAAAGAGTGTCCATGAAGGACTCCTGGAGGGATTCCAGCTGTCCAAGATTGCAACAAGAATCAAGGAGGAACAAAACATAGTTGAAAACTAATCCCATAGGTGTACATATATCACACATTTTTTTAAAAAAAAATATCGATCTATCTATCTCTATCTATATCTATCTATATCTATCTATCTATCTCTATCTATATCTATCTATATCTATCTATATCTATCTATATCTATCTATATCTATCTATATCTATCTATATCTATCTATATATCTATCTATATCTATCTATATTATATATATATATATATCTATCTATCTATCTCTATCTATCTATCTATCTATATCTATCTATATCTATCTATATCTATCTATATCTATCTATATCTATCTATATCTATCTGTATCTATCTATCTATCTATCTATCTATCTCTATCTCTATATCTATCTCTATCTCTATCTCTATCTCTATCTATCTATCTATCTATCTATATCTATCTATATCTATCTATATCTATCTATATCTATCTATATCTATCTATATCTATCTATATCTATCTGTATCTATCTATCTATCTATCTATCTATCTATCTCTATCTCTATCTCTATCTCTATATCTATATCTATCTATCTATCTATTTCTATCTATGTATCAATCTATCAATCTACCAGTCAATCAATCAATCAATCAATCAATCTATCTATCTATCTATCTAATTATCTATCTATCTATCTATCCGTCTGTCTACCAAGTCCGGTCTAGTCTCATCATATCGTATCTATCCATCCATCTACAGTATTTGCCTATCTATATTGCTCTTTCTCTTTCTCTTTCTCTTTCTCTTTCTCTTTCTCTTTCTCTGTCTCTCTCTCTCTCTCTCTCTCTCTCTCGTTCGCCCCCTCAGTGTTCCCTGACGAGAAGGCGGAGACCTCCAAAAATATCTTCGCAAGGCGGTCCTTGGTGCATCACAACTTGATCAACCACGTGAGACTCATGCGGCTTCTGCCTTGAAAGGTACAAGTATGATATTGAATTCTTTTGAGCCATGAATCAGCCGCAACAGTATGCAACAGTAACAGTATGCAACAGTTGGAAGCCCATCACTAATCATCAGTACACACAGTTCAAAGCTCTCCACTTTCTATTCCTTATTGTGTCCCACCCCATTGGTAAGGCACGCAGAGACCGCGCATCAGCTCGGAGATCCATTCTTGGCTCAGATAGTCTTTCCATGATGGGCTGCTCCTGCCCAGTGGCAGATCTCAAGGATCTGCCGTGAAAATGGCCAAAATGGCAATTTGGGTGAAGCCAGAATTTCTCTGGGTGCTGCAATATATATATATATATATCCTGGAACAACATCATAGAACCAAAAGGTTGAGAAATGAAAGACCTGGATAGGTCCAAAAAAAATGGCATAGTGATGATGGTGGAAATGAGGTGATGTTGCAAAAGGTTCACAAACCGGAGCGCGGCTGGCTCAAAAAAAAACTATGTAGGAAAACTTAATGTGGTGATCCATGTCCCATTTGAACATTGCCTGAACCAAGGAAGGGGAAGACCAACAACACTCTTACCCTTGAAGTGAACATTGAAACTAATACTTTGGACCCTAATCTCTCTCTCTCTCTCTTGGACCCTAATCAACCCTAAGAATTAATGACTCAATTGGATAGCTCTCATGCACCAATGGCATTTGCTTGAAAAGATGTATCCTTTTACAAGTGTGACCCCCAAAAAAAGATCAACCAAAGATTCCATAAAATCCTTGAAAATCCTTATCTCATGGGATATTCGTTTCAAATGATCAACTCCCCAAAACATCCAAAAGATGGTTATGGAGTTATGGGTCAAAAGCCTGGGACCCTAGATAATCATTACCATAATATCCCATTATTATACTAGGTATAACGATTATAGTGGGATAATAACTAAGCCTAGATTATCTATGATCATAGATAATCTGGATAATGGAGATGCATTCCACCAAATATGGGCGAATGCAAAGGCTCCTGAGATGTCTGTCCACATACTGCTCCAAGAGCTCTCGGCAGGTCTCATCGCGCCAGGCCTGCCATGGGTCTTTGTTGCTCGGAAGTGGGGTCTCTTTGTGGCCACATGATCGATGGTGATTATATGGAGATTATGATGGATTATGTGGTGATTATATGGTGGTTCTATGTGATTACGGAGGGGAAACCCCCCCAAAAAAAAACTTAGGTTTTCAATCAATTGGTGGGAAAACCTGAACCGGAAACCAAATCTAGGGTTTTCCAGTTAAAATGTTGAACTGCTCCTAGCATCTAATTCTGGGAATGATGGAAGGAAGTGATATCCCATTTCCCTGGAAACATGCACAATCAAACTGATCAACATTGACAAACAAAAACATGACACTGCGACAGACTTTTTCTTCACAAAATATTGACAACCCCCCGCCGGGGATGTTTCTGTGATATGCTTACTTCTACCTTGCGGTAATCAAACGTGGCAATGAAAAATCCCCTTCAAATGGAGGTTTTAGTGGGAAACCAATTTTTTAACACGGGATTTTCCATTACCACGTTTGATTTCCGGAGGGTAATTGATTGATTCATCGATAACATTCATAGATCTCCCTCCAGTACACTGTTCACTAACATAGATCTCGAAAATCCACCACGCGTAGATCATTTTCCCTTTGGAAAACAACCATAAATCCACAATAATCCACATAGCTATGATCATTTTCCATCATTTTCCATCATTTTCCATCATTTTCCATCATTTTCCACCATTTTCCATGTTTCCCCATATTTTCCCTATGGATTTCCATGTGTTTCCCATCGCTTTTTCGCAGCCTTTGAGTGGCCCAGCAGGCTGGCGAAGGTCACGAAGGGCAGCCACGGCGGGACAGCCTTTGCAAGGTCCGAAGCCTGGCGCGGAAGCTGCGAAAAGCCTGGAATGTGGTGGACATGTGTTGGGGATATGCAAATATAACTATATATGTATGAATATATATATATATTATATCATTATATATGATAATATATCTATATATATACATATGTATATTATGTATATGATATATGCATGTTATAGATATATATATATATATATAGTGTAATTAACTATGATTATATATTATATATATATTATATATATACAAGATGGGAATATGAAAGGTGTACACCAGGTTTACCCGAAATGTCATCCTCTCTCTCTCTCTCTCTCTCTGTCTCTCTGGTTGGGTGGTCATTTGGGCCATTTTCCTCGGTTCAATGATGTTGGCAAGTGCGTAAAGTGTAAGTATTCCATTCGTGGAGCATTTCGTTTTTGTGAACGAGAAGGACAGGAACAAGTGTACCCGCCGGTGTTTGGGCCACCCATCCCAAGTAAATACAGTCATTAAATGTCAAACAGTTTGAGTCAATCATAACAGGTAAAGAGCCGAAACTAAGTTTTGTGATGGAGGAGGAACCAAGGCTTTCAAATTATGCAATCGAGATCATCGAGGTGTGTTGATACCTGCACTGAAAACCAGTCTCCAACCCTTCAGGCTTTATTTTTATTAAAGAAGAAGGAGAGAAAAAAGGAAAAAACAAATGATCAACGAACAAAGTTCATATCCTTCACTAGGATCCATATGGATCCGAAGCATTAGCATACAATCATAGAATGCAGGGAGAAATTCAAAAACTTTCCGCATCTGCATCTTTTTGGGGGGTTGTGACCAACATGAATGTGGCAAAACCCACCTTCCTTTTTGCATTCCCAATTCCCGAAATGAGTATCATATCAATATATATATATCAATAATCAAATAATATATTTCATCTGTAATAATCATCATATCAATAATCATCATTCATCTGTAATATGATTCATCTGTAATAGCAGTTGATATAATAATCAAATAATATGATTCATCTGTAATAACAGTTGATATAAAATCAAATAATATGACTCATCTGTAATAATCATCATATCAATAATCATCATTCATCTGTAATATGATTCATCTGTAATAACAGTTGATATAATAGTCAAAAAAGCATGATTCATCTGTAATAACAGTTGATATAATAATCAAATAATATGATTCATCTGCAATAATTATCATATCAATAATCATCATTCATCTGTAATATGATTCATCTGTAATAACAGTTGGTATATAATCAAATAATATGATTCATCTGTAATAATCATCATATCAATAGTCATCATTCATATGTAATATGATTCATCTGTAATTTCAGTTTATATAATAATCAAAAAATATGATTCATCTGCAATAATCATCATATCAATAATCATCATTCGTCTGTAATATGATTCATCTGTAATAACAGTTGATATAATAATCAAATAATATGATTCATCTGTAATAACAGTTGATATAATAATCAAATAATATGATTCATCTGTAATAATCATCATATCAATAATCATCATTCATCTGTAATATGATTCATCTGTAATAACAGTTGGTATATAATCAAATAATATGATTCATCTGTAATAATCATCATATCAATAATCATCATTCATCTGTAATATGATTCATCTGTAATAACAGTTGGTATAATAAAGAAATAATATTATTCATCTGTAATAATCATCATATCAATAATCATCATTCGTCTGTAATATGATTCATCTGTAATAACAGTTGATTTATAATCAAATAATATGATTCATCTGTAACAATCATCATATCAATAATCATCATTCATCTGTAATATGATTCATCTGTAAAAACAGTTGATATAATAATCAAATAATATGATTCATCTGTAATAACAGTTGATATAATAATCAAATAATATAATTCATCTGTAATAATCATCATATCAATAATCATCATTCATCTGTAATATGATTCACCTGTAAGAACAGTTGATAATCATCAAATAATATGATTCATCTGTAATAACAGTTGATATAATCATCAAATAATATGATTCATCTGTAATAACAGTTGATATAATAATCAAATAATATGATTCATCTGTAATAACAGTTGATATAATCATCAAATAATATGATTCATCTGTAATAATCATCATATCAATAATCATCATTCATCTGTAATATGATTCATCTGTAATAACAGTTGATATAATAATCAAATAATATGATTCATCTGTAATAATCATCATATCAATAATCATCATTCATCTGTAATATGATTCATCTGTAATAACAGTTGATATAATAATCAAATAATATGATTCATCTGTAATAATCATCATATCAATAATCATCATTCATCTGTAATATGATTCATCTGTAATAACAGTTGATATAATCATCAAATAATATGATTCATCTGTAATAATCATCATATCAATAATCATCATTCATCTGTAATATGATTCATCTGTAACAACAGTTGATATAATAATCAAATAATATGATTCATCTGTAATAATCATCATATCAATAATCATCATTCATCTGTAATATGATTCATCTGTAATAACAGTTGATATAATCATCAAATAATATGATTCATCTGTAATAATCATCATATCAATAATCATCATTCATCTGTAATATGATTCATCTGTAACAACAGTTGATATAATAATCAAATAATATGATTCATCTGTAATAACAGTTGATATAATAATAATCAAATAATATGATTCATCTGTAATAATCATCATATCAATAATCATCATTCATATGTAATATGATTCATCTGTAAGAACAGTTGATATAATAATCAAATAATATGATTCATCTGTAATAATCATCATATCAATAATCATCATTCATCTGTAATATGATTCATCTGTAAGAACAGTTGATATAATCATCAAATAATATGATTCATCTGTAATAACAGTTGATATAATCATCAAATCAATCTGTAATAACAGTATGATTCATCTGTAATAACAGTTGATATAATAATCAAATAATATGATTCATCTGTAATAATCATCATATCAATAATCATCATTCATCTGTAATATGATTCATCTGTAATAACAGTTGATATAATCATCAAATAATATGATTCATCTGTAATAATCATCATATCAATAATCATCATTCATCTGTAATATCATTCATCTGTAATAACAGTTGATATAATCATCAAATAATAATATGATTCATCTGTAATAATCATCATATCAATAATCATCATTCATCTGTAATATGATTCATCTGTAATAACAGTTGATATATAATCAAATAATATGATTCATCTGTAATAATCATCATATCAATAATCATCATTCATCTGTAATATGATTCATCTGTAATAACAGTTGATATAATCATCAAATAATATGATTCATCTGTAATAATCATCATATCAATAATCATCATTCATCTGTAATATGATTCATCTGTAAGAACAGTTGATATAATAATCAAATAATATGATTCATCTGTAATAACAGTTGATATAATCATCAAATAATATGATTCATCTGTAATAACAGTTGATATAATCATCAAATAATATGATTCATCTGTAAGAACAGTTGATGAAATAATCAAATAATATGACTCATCTGTAATAACAGTTGATATAATCATCAAATAATATGATTCATCTGTAATAACAGTTGATATAATAATCAAATAATATGATTCATCTGTAATAACAGTTGATATAATCATCAAATAATATGATTCATCTGTAATAACAGTTGATATAATCATCAAATAATATGATTCATCTGTAATAACAGTTGATATAATAATCAAATAATATGATTCATCTGGAATAACAGTTGATATAATAATCAAATAATATGATTCATCTGTAGTAACAGTTGGTATAATCATCAAATAATATGATTCATCTGTAATAACAGTTGATATAATCATCAAATAATATGATTCATCTGTAATAACAGTTGATATAATCATCAAATAATATGATTCATCTGTAATAACAGTTGATATAATCATCAAATAATATGATTCATCTGTAATAACAGTTGATATAATCATCAAATAATATGATTCATCTGTAATAACAGTTGATATAATCATCAAATAATATGATTCATCTGGGATAATAACAAACCATTATTAATCCCCATTTGTATACAAAACTGTTTATATCATAATCAAATAACCACAATCAATAATGTGTAATAACCAGTTTTTCAATCCCCCCTTCCCGCCTCAGGCGTCACCAAGGGCTTCAGCAGCTCTCGGATGCCGCAGCAGCTCGCGTCCGCGGTGGCCAAGGCCCAGAAGGGCGCCGCCGCCAGGGCCAGCGATGGCGGACCCAGGGCCTGGGGGGAAAAATATGGAAAAAGATGGAAAAATATGGAAAAATGTACACGAACCCCCCTATATTTCATCATATTTCATGATATTTCATGGGAAAACTACGGAAAACTGAGGCGGAAAATGAAGGAACACTGGAAAATTGAGGGGGGAAAAAACTGAAACTACCAAGAAGTTCAAGAAGAGTTGAGGATGGAAATCGAAAATAACTACGAAACCATGTGGAAAATAATGAAAAATATGAAATGAATCAAAATAGGCCCTGATTCTGCCGCTGGAATTGAAATGTGCCCAAATTGATATGGAACATGGCCCCACCTCCACCAATATGGCTTTTTATCAAGATGATTTACGCCATATTCACTCAATCCCTTACATCCCTTGCTCAAAGGGGCTTATTCAACCCTTGCATTTTTTGTAATTACCATCTGGTTATTTAACATAGCCATGGAAAATCCCTTATAAATAGGGGTTTAAATGGGAAAATCATCTATAAATGGGCAATTTTCCATGGCTATGTTAAATAACCAGAGGGTAGTTCTTGGGCTCTTGGGTCATCTTTTCTGCCTCACCTGATCTCACCCTCCCAGAATCCTCGCCTCGGGCGCATCCTCAGACCACACCGCATGGGGCTGGAAGGCCGCGCGTACCTAAAAAACACCCAGCGGTTCCAAATGGTCAACCCGGACATCATCTACATTCATCTACAATGATCCATGTGAACCCGAAATCAACTTGAAAAATCGAGGTGTTTTTTGACAAACCCTAATTGCACTATATAATTGCACACCTTTTCAAATGCTAAAACCCTCATTGATTCACCCTCTTTCCCACATTGAGGCCGCCAGCGTCGGCGCAGGCGGCAACTTTTTTGGTCCTAGCGCTGGCTCATCAAAGCAGGCTCAGCCACTTGAACCGCTTCATCCCAATCGATCAAGGGAAGGCTGGCATAGTGGCGCCTCAGCTCCTCGCGGATGAAAATGATTCACTGATCTGTCACGGTTTGCTATGGAAAACCATGATTCTTGATAGGCAAATCATGGTAAATCATGGTAAATCCACTATAAACTATAAACTGGCCATGTTCATCCATTTTCCATAGCGATGTTAGATTACCAAAGGGTATCCACTGGATGGGATGAGAACAAAGACCTATGTGCTAGAGACGACATGGTTGGCCGGGAAATCTGTTTGTTGACCAAATGCTGCACAAAAACGAAACAGACTTTGGACACAAAAGGTCTGGTTGGACTTTTTGACTTTCAAGATTTCAGGAGCAACGAACTACGTATTCTGCGCATGTTGCTCACAATTGCATGATATGCCCACATACCGATCGCAATTAGAACTCCGTGATAACTTTGGAGGAGGTTGGAGGACAATTGTCCTCTGGTAATGAGATGTCCCATAGCTGTCTCAAATTCCCAGAGGGCAAGCGCATGGTTTTCAAAATGTTCCAAATTGGGATGTTCTATTCAGCCATTAAAAAGCTGGTCCTGCTCCGAAAGCAAGCGCTGAACTTGGCCCGCCAAGGTCGAGGTCAAGTGTTTTGAGCTCACCTGTCAGAAGATGTCAGAAGCAACGAATGGTCGTCCCGGCCCAATGGTTCAAAAATCAAAACATCCGAGAAAACCCATCAGTCTTATAGATGTGTTGAAAATAGACTCAAAACCTACGAAATCCATGAATCATCATCAATCGCATTGATGTTTCACAACCAGAAAAAAAGGTTACAGTAAGTTATACCATAGTTATACCATAGTTATACCATACTGTAGTTATACCATAGGTATACCATAGTTATACCATAGTTATACCCCCGAACAGGAGTGGCGGCGGAGCAGCCAACCCCCAACCCCAAGCGCCGCGCCTGGACAGAGCCTTCATCCTGCGAGAGCCTGGTTCCCAGGCTAACTTCCAGTGGTTGAAATCAGAAGGGATTGATGTCAGGATGGGTACTTAATGGGTACACTTAACATCACTTAACCAATGTCTATATATGGTTTATCGATGTTTGTCAGCATGATTTATTAGTATATATATATAGATAGATAGATAGGCTAATACACACATATAACATATCATATCCCCACCTTTCGCAGGTCAATGGCCTGTTAAGCTACATTTCGGGTGAGGTTTCAAAGCTCCAAACTTTGGGGGTATCCAACGTTCAGACGGTCGCGGCTCTGCCTGGCAGGGAGCCGAAGCTCCTGGCAAACAGATAAGACCTCTGGCTTCACTTTCGGCGCACCATCACTGTGCCTGAGGCAAGCTGCGGCAAGCTGCGGCAAGGGGCAGTTGGGAACTCAAGTAGCTGTGAAACGAGACCCGTACAATTTCACCTAGCAATCTGACCTTGCTGATTAAATCATATTAAATCTTCCCACAGGACGAGGGCGGAGCTAGCAACCGATTGGTTCCATCATCCCAGTGCTAAGGGATTTCCTTGTCATAACATTTCCTTGTCATAATCCCTCGGCCCCATGGAACATATACGCATACTTCTATCAGGGGTTTCATTTAGGGTCCACATAAGTTATAAAATCCCCCGGCCCCATGGAACATATACGCATACTTCTATTAGGGGTTTCATTTAGGGTTTACATAAGTTATAATTCCCCCGGCCCCATAGAACATCTACGCCGCATACTTTTTTAGGGGTTTCATTTAGGGTTTGCATAAGTCATAAAATCCCCCGGCCCCATGGAACATATACGCATACTTCTATTAGGGGTTTCATTTAGGGTTTGCATAAGTTTTAATTCCCCCGGCCCCATGGAACATCTACCCATACTTCTATTAGGGGTTTCATTTAGGGTTTACATAAGTTATAAATTCCCCCGGCCCCATGGAACATCTACGCATACTTCTATTAGGGGTTTCATTTGGGGCTTACATAAGTTGTAAAATCCCCCGGCCCCATGGAACACATACGCATACTTCGATTAGGGGCTTCATTTAGGGTTTACATAAGTTATAAAATCCGGACTCGCCAAAAAAGTGGAAAAGATTGAAAAAGTGGAAATGGCCAAAACGCGTGAAGTCCGCAGAGGGTTCACTTTTCTGACTGAGTTCTCCAAAAATTCGTCTTAGACCAGGCTAACTCACAGATGTACCAGAGTCATAAAACACTGCGCCTGCGCAGAGAAATGAGCCTCCCACTGACGTTCATACGACCATTCCGGGACAACCCTCAGTCCTGCCGGTAAATCTACTAAGTCAGTCACTACGTTTCTTTGGTTTAATCTCCACCTGGTTGATTAAGTCTCCATTTTTCTGAGTTCCTCTTTGGATCGCCAGCCCAAGGATGCCACAGACACCCTGGGCACCCGCACTTGCCAATGCCGGTGATAACCTTCAGAGGTTTGGAAGATGCGCGCAACGCCTGGAACGAATCTGCCGGGTCTGCGCGAAAATCATGGATAAACGGACTGTCGCTGGGTTGGTTTCAGGGAAAATTTGCAGGAAAACCCCGCACCAATAGATGGGGGAAAGCCATGGTTTCCCGTAGATTTTCCCTTAAACCAATCCAGTGAGACTGGGACGACTCGTGCATAGCAGGGGGGAATGGCCATGAATGGCCCACTCTTTGAACCCAGACTCATCCATCTCATGCAGCGTTTAGCATTAACATCCCACAGTTTCCCCGTCAAACTGGTCACAAACTCTTCAGCCAAAAAGCTTCATCGCGCAAGGTTAGCAGCAAGCAAAACCTTGGTCGAAATCACGGGGCATAGCTGTATTTACCACAGTGACAAGGCGAGTTTTTGGATTGACATGTAGGATTTTCAACCCCACTTGCCCAGACTTGGCATGTTATAACCGCGCTTGTGAAATCTTATGAGTGGCAACTTTCCAGCAGGAATCTGCTAAAGAATGTGCCTGGTTTGGCTTGCCCATGTTGACCAATGTTGGCCGTTACTTGTTTGGTGCAGCAATGCAGCCGCCCAAACTTGATAATTCAATGCAATTTTTCACAGTAGCCTTTTCAAATATTACAACATATATTTAGCCCATGTTTGACACATTTCAATACATTTCAATACCAAAATGGCCCAGTCATAGGCTTATCATCATTGACCTTCCCAATGGAGCCAAGACACCTGGCTACTGGGCCGGACATCCCGTGCAGATCCAGAAACTGGGGCCGGACTTTTACGAAAACTTTGTCCGCGATGGCCTGTGGGGAGGGGCGACCTGTTGCCCTTGGACCGAGTCCCATCCAATGAAAAAACGGGTAATGTGGGTAAAACAATAATAAACCATGCCCGCCCCAAATCGCTATTTTATAGGTGGATATAGGTGGTGTTACCATTCCCAGTCATGGGTGGTAAAAATGGCATTGTTTTACCGTTTTACCCACATTACAGGTGGATCCCAAAAGCATCCAAAAGCTGAGCCCCCAACCCGCTGCACCAGGTGCACGGCCCACTCGCTGGCGCCAACTCGAAGGAGGGCCAAAATCAGGTAGTTGTAGGAGCCTCGGCAAAAGCTAACCTGGGAAGGAATCTGGTGGTGAATAATATTATATTATTATTGTCATTTAAATTGCCACTTAATAAGGCCTTATCACCTTGGATAGAGTTGGAAGTCCTGTGATTCAAGCCTTCAAAGTCATCCGACAGTAGCCTTGCTAGTAGCTACTGCCACAAAAATGATCTGGCCTTGGTACCTTGGTCGTGTGCTACCTCTACATGATCCACATACAGACCAGCACCTGGCAACCCCACCGCAGTGCCTGTATCCAATGGTAAAGATTTGGCATGCATCTGCTGCAGCAAATTCAGGGCCACCAGAAGCTGGTTTTCCTGCCAACGAGTCAGGTGGCTATGGGTCTATTAGGCTTTGCACCGCAGGCGGTCTTGTCAGCCTTAAATATCAGCTGCTGACTGACGAGCATGTCATACCATGGCAAGTGGCAACATGTTACCCAAACTAGCTTGATGTAGTTCGTCACTGTGTTTCTTGCCTGCACTCAGAATAGACTTATAGACTTGCCCCAGAGTGGGTCACTTCAAGCATCCCATGGGGCCCTCCAACTGTGCAATGCCAACAACATCCACCCCGACATGAGCTACCTGGAGCTCCAGCACACCTTTTTTCGTCTTCAAAGGTCAGCCCCTAACCCGACACATCCGAAACAAGGCATCGCTTGAGCGCGAACCAACTGATCCGCGCCAGGAACTGCAGCGCTGGCAGGAAGTTCTGGCTGCGGATGCAGGACGTGGCAGCTGCTGCACAGCTGGGCACGGTGGCATCCAGGCGTAAGGTGATCATGGCAGATAGGAGCCCAACCGCATGGGCCCATGCAACGGCACGGGCACATGCTGAGCTGGTGGCATTGAATGAAACCAAGGTGGGAACCAAACATCTTCCCTTGATTCTTCCTAGGACCTCCAGGGCTGCCTGCCATTTGGCGCAGCTCAGAGCTGAGTTGAAGGCTTCGACGGTGGCAGTGGGCATGTCATCTTGCAAGCTGAAGAAATACCAGGCCTGCCTCCACGCAAGTGTCTCGGATGCGCTGATGATTGCAGTGTAACTGTAGCAATCCAGCTCTTGCAACGCCTGACTTGACAAAGACAGCAAGGCAACTGCCTCAAGCCACTGCATGGCTTGCCCACACGCAGTGGCAACTGAATTGTAGCTGACAACGCTCTTTTGCCCCTCGTACCTTTGCAGGATGTCCATTGCCAGGATCCATTCCGAACCCAATGCAGCCAGCAAGGCGTTCTACATCACCTCATCCACCTGCAAGTATGATACCTGGAAAGTGGCTAAAGTCCAAGGGATGGAAGCGTCCAATGTTCGGAAGCAACAAAAATAACTAAAGTAGAGTAAAGTAGTAACTGAAGTCAGCAGGCAATCCAGAACACTAGAGGAAGAATTAAAAAAAAACGGTTGATATACTCTCAACATCTCTCAACCCTTCTTTCATAAATAATTGGTTCCGGACATGTTCCAGGCATGTGTTCCCCAACGACTATTAATACAATCCGCACAGCTGCAGCCAGGATTCCCGCAGCGTCTCCAAGAGTTTCAAGGCCTGAAGCCACTGAGATGTTTGACGGATGGCCTCTGTGAAAGTCAGCTTGCTGGTCTGGATCTGCCAGGTCACCTCAACTGGAAAATCTCAGCATTGTTTGATAGGTAAATCATCTGTAAACGGTAAGTGTCATAGCACCTGTTACATTACGGAGGGTACCCCGTTGAAGATCGGGAAAAAAAACGTGTTTTATGTCAGTTAGATTCTATAGACGTTCCGAAAAGATCTCCCATTTACTATTACTAGACTATATGTATGTCCATGTCTTTTTAATGGATCAAGACATTAAATTTGACTGTGCCCTCCACGTTTATAATTATCTGTGAATAATGTATCAAAACATAGTTCCATCATGTTCCATCAATGGCCCGAACCTTGCATCTTGCCAGTGCGGTGGAGGGCCTTTTCTCACCCCTCCGGATGTTGCAAGGTACCTGCCTGATTTGATTACCTGGGCCCCACACCTCCCTCCCCTCTACCTTCCTAAATTGCTCATATGTTAACAATTGTTAACATATGTTTTCCAACTTTGAACTTTGAAGGCACAAAAAGAACTGCCAAAGCACCATGTCTGACAGCAGCCCAAAGGCCAGCTGCCATGCCGTCGCTGTTTGACAGGCCGCGATGGTCAAACAGTACGTCAGGTCGCTGGCTCCCAGGCTCCACGCCATGGCGTCCCATAGCACCTGCACGGCCTGTTGCCATTGCATCGCCTTGCCACACGCCTCCACCGCAGCGTTCAGGGTGACGCTGTCTGCAAGCCCTGCAAGCCGTTGGCCCTGCAATTTCCATAGCAGGGCCAAGGCACGCGGCCAGGAACAGGTCAAGATGGAGCTGTTGTAGATCACCGCGTTCACTTGAACCTTCTGCTCCTGAAAGGTGAAGGATGGTGAAGGATAGTGAAGGATGGTGAAGGATGGCGAGAAGTTGGGGGCTGCTTGGCTCTGGAACGGAAAACGGAAAAAAGCGACCTGTGAAGAGGGCTCAACCACGCGATGGTAGAAATGTAACGATTGACCACAGCTCACGGGATTCTGCAGAATTTGGTCGTCTTTACAGATAACATCAACCATCCAGTGTTGAGGGACCCAAGGTTGACTGACTAATGAAGTAAAGATGGTCTCTCTAATATAACCTCCGGATCTTTCTGGCAGCCGTCACTCCTGCGCCGTGCTGAGTGCGAGGATGGAAAAATGCCAAGCATCCACATGTGCCAAGGAGCTGTAAGTCACAACATCTGGGGTCAAACCCACTCGACCTGCGGCCCTCAGCATCTCGTTTGCTGCCCTCCAACTTCCCTTTCCACATGCGCGAATGGAGGAGTTGAAGCTGTACAAATCTGGCTTGGCAAGGCTGAACTTCATGAATTCCAAAAGCTCCAATGGAAGCTGCCAGCTTCCTTCACTGCTGCTGATGGCGACATTGTAGGCGACTGTACTCAATAAACACTCCCGAACCCTGTCACTGGCCAAGAGATGTAAGACCCCTTTCCATTGACCCGCCCCTTGACATGCGCTCATGGTGGTGCTGTAGAACATCATGTCAGGCTGAAGCCCAACCGCCTGGTCCAGCACCTGCAAGGCTGCACCCCAACTTGCAGCCTGTTCAGCTGCACCAACCGCCAGGGTCAAGGAGATGACGTCCGGTTGCTGCCCTGACGATCCCACCAACTCCAGGACCTGTAGCCATCGCCCAGCTGATCTGCACGCCCCCGCAATGGTGTTGAAGCTCACCAGGTTCGGTGTCACTTGCCTTCCTGCCATATCTTCCAACAGGAATTTGGCCTTAGCCCAATGCCTCACTTCGCCCGTGCAGGCCGAGGCCACAGCTCCATAGCTTCGAACGTTGGGCTCTAACTTGACACCTTGGGACAGTTGGATGGCCAGCAAATGCCAAGCCACCTGCCATTGGGCGCGACAGGAGGCGATGGCTGAATTGTAGGCCACGACGTCTCCAAGCTCTTCCGCCGTTGTCCAAATGGCTAAGCGCCATCGGTGATCCGTGACCATGCAATGCAGGTGGCATGCAGGAAAATTCTAATTTGATTTTGGAGACTTGGAATGCCAAGAGCCGGGAGGCATGGATGCACCTTTCTGGATCAAATTTATGATGCCGCTCACCACCAAAATCCTCTAACAAGTATCCAACATACAGTAACCCTAGCAGAAGTTCAATGTGGAACCCAAATAGTAAGAGGTTCCATCCAGAAAAACCCACCTTCCAGCACCCAACTTGGGACGTCCCCCATGCCCCCCTGTCGCCCCAGTCACCTTGATGAGGGCGCAGAGCGCCACCCGATAGGATCGCCCATTGGCCAAGCCTCGTTGATCCTGGTGTGGATTCACAGCTGAATGGTTTCATCACCGTGGACACATCTCAGATTTTACATTCTAAATATCAAAAAATCTGTGAAAATCATGCCCCAATTCTATCTCATTCTTTTGATGGTGACTGAATTGTCCGTCTTCTTCAGTGCGCTAAAATACGTTGGAACTTGAAATTTCCCAAGCTAAATATGGCTTCAGAACGCAAACTCTGGGATGCCCGTCCAAGAAACGGCCGTGGATGATGGAAAAATTGTTTGAAACAATCTGGTCAAGCGGAAATCTATCATTTTCTCATGGGGAAATTGCGAGGGTCTATGTTCCTTGCTGGCTCAAGTTGGCGCATATAGCACACAGTACATGCGACTGCACTTGGGTTTATGACCACAACCCTTAAGGGGTTAAGCCGATGCCACGCGCCCTCACCCCCAGGCTCCATATTGGCCAGCAGCGCCAGAACCCACTCCCAGTGCTCAGCATTGGAACTCATCACGGTGTTGAAGGTGACCCTTGGCCATCAACGGATTGTTTTTTCCATGGGAAATCTGTAGGGGGGTCCTGTAGCATTCTGGGAAACAATGATCTCATGCTTATTTCTCATATTTTCTCATGGAAATGAGACCCTTGGAGTGCCACAAGGCCTCATTGTGTTCAACTACCCCACCAACAGGCCACACTAGCTGTCCTTTATGCATCCTATCCACTCAGACTCAACCACTCAAGGGTTCCCCCAGAATCCTTTTATGTCCACTGCATCCACGATACACATCTGGGTCAATGCCACAGGCCTGCATCCTGCTGAGCATATTGACAGCCAGTTCAACGCCCTCATGTCTGCAGGCGTGTAGTGCCTAGCTGGGGGCTCTGGCGGAGGCGCAGGGGGCTTAGATGGGCTCAGGGGTCTCGGACTTTACCCCAAAGCATTGGATATTGGATGGCTTAGGAATTGGGAATGCTTTGGGCTACAAACACCCCCAAAACTCTGACATCTGTGGCTCCCAAATCCCGTTCCAAACTGCGAGTCTATAAGTTTCTTCGTGAAGGACACTAATTTCAGCACCAGGGAGCCGTGTTGTAGGAGATCACATCAGGTGATGGGCCATCTTTCTCCATCCGGTCCAGCAATCGAATGGCTCCCAGCCAGTTACTTGCAGATGCGCAGGCACCAATGCAAGTGTTCCTGTCAACATGAGGTGGGCAATATGATCAATACGGTGTGAGTGGATGATCTGACCCATAGGTATCGCCATGTCTTTTTCTCCACGGGAAAGTCCGGCGCCCAACTTTGGAAGTTGTCCATCTGTTTTTTTGTTTTTTTTAACGTACTTCAATTGTCATCATCGTCCCCACCAGCAAAAGAGAACAAAATCCTACGAAAACCGCACCCACCCACCCAAAAAAAATGGTGCCACTTCAATGATTATCCCACTCGCTTGCCTGTAATCAATAATTGCGGTTTTCGAAACATAAAACTGTCGCAACCATGGCCAAAAAAGTATTAAATTTCACGAGCTCCTGGGATTTTGTGATTTTTAGGGAATATTGGATATCAAGGTCAAGATGCAATATTTGGTGCAGTGTACGCGCACAAGGGTGGCACCAAAAAACTTAAGCGTCATGGTTTGCACGGGTTTGCACTGGATCAGCCTTCAATAAATGGAATTGGTCCAATTAATCGTTCAGAAAAAATGAAACGGTCGGAAACGGACGGAAACGGTCGGAAACGGTCGAAAACATGATCAGGCCAAAACTTGTTCAACCCGCATTTCTTTTAAATAAGCATTTCCGCGCAAAGCCGTTTTTTTTTTGAAGGTCCAAAGGTGTCCAAGGGGAAACGGTTGGAAACAGTCGGAGATCGCACCTTCGCTCGGCAAAAAAGACATGTTTTTACACATTTTTCAAACATTTTTCATGAACATATGCTACAAAACAACTATTTTTTTGCCGAGCGAAGGTGCGATCTCCGACTGTTTCCAACCGTTTCCCTTGGACACCTTTGGACCTTCAAAAAAAAAACGGCGTTGCGCGGAAATGCTTATCATCCAAAAGAAAATGCGGGTTGAACAAGTTTTGGCCTGATCATGTTTTCGACCGTTTCCGACTGTGTCCGACCGTTTCCGACCGTTTCATTTTTTCTGAACGATTAATTGGACCAATTCCATTTATGGAAGGCTGATCCAGTGCAAACCCGTGCAAACCATGACGCTTCAGTTTTTTGGCGCCACCCTTGTGCGCGTACACTGCACCAAATATTGCATCTTGACCTTGATATCCAATATTCCCTAAAAATCACAAAATCCCAGGAGCTCGTGAAATTTAATACAAAAAAGCTTCCGGTTGCGGATATATATATATACTACTATATCCCCATGATACCCTATCAAGACCATTAAATCCCCATTAAATCACCATTTTGCTGGGGAGATATGGGTTTGTCTGAAAATACTGTACCCCTAAATAAATTGGATTGCCATAACTTTCCCCATTAAAAATAGCTTTGAGGATAGACCCCATTTTCAGACACAGACATATGGGGGTGTCCATTTATGGGAGAACCCTAAATGGACGGTTTATAACTTATAAGGGAAAATCCGAAAATAACATGGATGATTTGGGGGTAGCCATTAGCAACCACCATTATATAAATCCATTATATAATATTATATCGCCATTATCATTAGTAACCACCATTAGACTTATATCGCCATTATCATGAGTAACCACCATTAGACTTATATCGCCATTATCATGAGTAACCACCATTAGACTTATATCGCCATTATCATTAGTAACCACCATTAGACTTATATCGCCATTATCATGAGTAACCACCATTAGACTTATATCGCCATATATCGCCATTATCATGAGTAACCACCATTAGACTTATATCGCCATATATCGCCATTATCATTAGTAACCACCATTAGACTTATATCGCCATATATCGCCATTATCATTAGTAACCACCATTAGACTTATATCGCCATATATCGCCATTATCATGAGTAACCACCATTAGACTTATATCGCCATATATCGCCATTATCATTAGTAACCACCATTAGACTTACATCGCCATATATCGCCATTATCATTAGTAACCACCATTAGACTTATATCGCCATATATCGCCATTATCATTAGTAACCACCATTAGACTTATATCGCCATATATCGCCATTATCATTAGTAACCACCATTAGACTTATATCGCCATATATCGCCATTATCATTAGTAACCACCATTAGACTTATATCGCCATATATCGCCATTATCATGAGTAACCACCATTAGACTTATATCGCCATATATCGCCATTATCATTAGTAACCACCATTAGACTTACATCGCCATATATCGCCATTATCATTAGTAACCACCATTAGACTTATATCGCCATATATCGCCATTATCATTAGTAACCACCATTAGACTTATATCGCCATATATCGCCATTATCATTAGTAACCACCATTAGACTTATATCGCCATATATCGCCATTATCATTAGTAACCACCATTATGTGTATATATATATATAGATCCATGATATAATTTGGTTACCCTCTGTACCTTGAAAAAAAATGAACAAAAAATGCCGAGCTTCACCGTGGCCGTGTTGGTGTGCCCTGCTCGTTTCAGCTCTTCGAAGAGGCTCAAAACCACGGTCCACGAGGCCGTGGTGGCGCAGACGTCTAAGAGCCGGTTGTGGCCTACGGTGGCTCGGTGAGATCAATGGTGATATGGTACCCTCTGGTTATGACTAACATAGCCATGGTATAGATGGCCCATAGAAATAGATGGTTTACCGAACTTAAAAATGGTGATTTTCCATGGCTATGTTAAATCACCAGATGGTAATGTTATGTAATTTTGTGGTTTAAGATATCAATAACATACCTTCGGAGCCCTACAGTATGACCGTATGACCTGTTCTTGGTTTCTTAGATATGCTGATTTTTGACTGTGAATCATATGGTTGTATGGTGACTATATGGTGATTATGATGGGGTTATAATGAAGAAAACCAACGATACTTGGGTTTTGAATGGAATGGTTTTTCCGGGAAAATCATGGGACATCTGCCAGCGATGTCCCATGGTTTTTACCATCCAACCATGGGGGACAGGTCCTGTAGGTTTTCCTGTGAAATCCCATGAGGCTCCGTGAGAGTGTCACCATGGGCCCAGGTGCGAAAAAAGTACTGGACCCAGTCCCCTTTTTTGAAGCCAAGGTGCTCTTGATGTCTGGTGCCACTTCATTGGCCATCATCTCGTCGAAAATGGTCACCGCTTCTTCCCATCCCTGACTCTCAGCACACGCTGAGATCATCGGATTGTAGGTTCCTTGGCTGGCGAAATATATCCAATCATGCCAACGGATCCTCCAGCAGAATTGCCTCTTTCAAGATATGTAGGCATTTTGAAACTGCAAGCAGAGAGATACCTCACATAAAGATGAGATCCACATAAGCCAAAAATAAATCAAACCTGACTTCAAGATCATCTTTGATGGCTGCGCGAATATTTATGGTGAGCTCACCGCACAATTGTCCAATGGCATGTTTTGATATATCTAAATATAGTAAAGTATATTCATATATGCACCAATGTGTGAAGTAGAGATCTTCACACACACACACAAGCATATATATATATATACACACGCATCTATATATATAAATATATATAAATATAAATATATAAATATATAAATATATATATATATAAATATATATATATAAATAAATATATATATATATATATCTATATCTATACTAGAATATACAAGTATGTATGTATAACTATATCTATATAGATATGTGTGTGTGTATGTGTGCAAGCACATGTGCTCACATATGCTCACATAGATATACTCAAATATCAATGATATCTATGATATCAATGATATCTATGATATCAATGATATCTACGAAATGAAAAAATATAGGGTGTGAAATAGTTTTAGGATTTTTTTTGAACAGGTTTGGGATTTTTTTTGGATTTATTGGCTGGTACCATTTGCCTAGTGTTTGCAACGGTTTGGAACTTGAATTTGTCATTTTGCATGGTATTTGCCACATTTGGGCATGTTCACCTTCCATTTTGCATGGGATTTACTACATGTGGGCATGTTAACCTTCCATTTTGTATGGTATTTGCCACATTTTGGCATGTTCACCTTCCATTTTGCATGGGATTTCCTACATGTGGGCATGTTCACCTTCCATTTTGTATGGTATTTGCCACATTTTGGCATGTTCACCTTCCATTTTGCATGGGATGTTCTACATGTGAGCATGTTCACCCAAATATTTACAGATGCGGAAGCTTGGGATTAGATAAAAAGCGGGTGGGGGGGATTGAGGGAGGGCGCTAGCTATCTATCCAGCTAGCTAGCTATCTAGCTATCTAGCTAGCTATCTATCTAGCAAGCTATCTATCTAGCAAGCTATCTATCTATCTAGCTATCTATCTACCTATCTAGCTAGCTATCTTGCTAGCTATCTATCTACCTATCTAGCTATCTAGCTAACTATCTATCTAGCTATCTAGCTATCTAGTGTTCTATCTATCTAGCTATCTATCTATCTAGCCATCCAGCTGTCTATCCAGCTATCTAGCTATCGAGCTAGCTATCTATCTAGCAAGCTAGCTATCTATCTAGCAAGCTATCTATCTATCTATCTAGCTATCTACCTATCTAGCTAGCTATCTTGCTAGCTATCTATCTACCTATCTAGCTATCTAGCTAACTATCTATCTAGCTATCTAGCTATCTAGCTTTCTATCTATCGATCTATCTATCTAGCTATCTATCTAGCTACCTCTTTATCTATCTAGCTAGCTATCTATCTATCTATCTAGCTATCTATCTAGCCATCTATCTATCTAGCTATCTATCGAGCCATCTATCTATCGAGGCATCTAGCTATCTATCTCTCTAGCTATCTATCTATCTAGCTGGCTATCTATCTATCTAGCTATCTATCTACCAAGCTATCTATCTATCTATCTATCTATCCATCCATCTATCTATCTATCTATCTATCACATGTAATCCTGTCAGCTTTCCAGAGAAGGTTAGTTCGCAAAAACCAACTAATGTAACTTGGGTTTAAGTTTAAATTAAAAAAAGCGGGAGGGGGGGATTGGGGGGAGGGCGCGGCGCCTCCCCCCAAAGCAGAATGCAAGCACCTCTTCTCACATGTTACGTTGCTAGTTTTCAAGAGAAGGTTGGTCATGTGATACTCAGGGATGTAAATACTGTGCAAAATGCATCTTACATGAAAATCAAGTATTTAAAGCAGGCAAAGCAAAAAAAAAGCAGAGAAGCAAAAAAGCAGAGAAGCAAAGAAACAGGAAACGCACAAAAGCAAAACAGCAGAAAGGCAAAGAAGCAGGAAAAGCAGAAAAGCAGAGAAGCAGGAGAAGCAGGAAAAGCAGAGAAGCAAAGAAACAGGAAAAAAGCAAAGAAACAGGAAAAACAGAAAAGCAAAAAAGCAGAAAAGCAGAGAAGCAGAGAAGCAGGAGAAGCAGAAAAGCAAAAAAACAGAAAAGGCGAGAAGCAGGAGAAGCAGAAAAGCAAAAAAGCAAAAAAGCAGAGAAGCAGGAAAAGCAGGAAAAGCAGGAAAGCAGAGAAGCAGGAAAAGCAGGAAAAGCAGAGAAGCAGGAACCCAAAAATAATTCCTAAACCTGATCCAAAAAAAACCTAAAATAATTAGCCCTCCTATCTAAAATATGCTTCACACCCAGGTTTCGCACATCCGGTCGAAGTCCCGCTGCTTTCAAACGGCGCAGAAAGTCCTCTCGGTCTCTTCCTAGGACCGCTGCTGATCGGGATGGGATGGGATGAAGCGTCGGATGGGACTTGGCTCATGAGATTTCATGTCAGACCGCCAGTAGCTGCAGGATCTGTGCGCTTGTTTCCTCCAAAAAAGTATGGCACCGCAGCGAGTGTTCTTACTGTGTCTACTGGTTCATCTCTTCTGACTCTCCTGTGCCTCAGGTGCTTGAAACTTCCGGGTGTTGTTTTAGAAGTCTGCCAAGATGACTCAGCGAACCTGCTATTCTCAACGCCCATGGTTGAACAGTTGCCACCCAGAATCTCTCAGTGAGGAGGGATGAAAGACAATTGAACGTAACCTCATCCGGCGACAGCCTTAGCTGCAAGTAGTTTTCCAAGTCAACTAGCTGTACAAAAGCTGGCGAAAACATCAGAAAACGGCAGCAGTCCGTTGTCTCATATTGACATATATTGACAACTTAGCCATCCTTGGGGTTGCTCAGTTCATTCTCAGATCCCTAGCCCCTGCACGCTCTCCATGGCAATGGACATGGCTATGAGGGATGTCGCGGGATGCCACAGCTGACAGCTGGGATCTGATCATGGCTCAGACTGGAAATCGGGCATCAATTCCAGAGGTGAAAACAAGTGTTCAAGCAAAATCACTTCAACTAACTATAGAATTATAATGAACATTAATGAACTATACAGGTGCACTAATGTTAGCTGCTTGCTGATTGCTGGAAGTCAAACTTGGGCACCCCCGACACTGGATGCTTGAATTCCAAAAGCATCCAGTGTCGCTGTCAGTCCATGAATCCATCAGGCCAAAATTTCAAGACTGACGCGTGCCCTCCAGAAATCTCCAGAACACAAGCAGCAAGAAAATTGAGTCCATACCCAAGCTAATCCCGGCAATGGAACATCCCCTTGGCACCCTCTGTGAATAGAGACTTTGCGACGGAAAATCATCATGGAGAAGTTGACAGTTAGCAATAAAAATCACCATGGAAATGGAATAGGATTTGATCCTATTCTCATGGACCATCTTTAGACCATAGTAAACCCTTAGTCAACCGTTAGTCATTACCACTTTCGCTACAGCAACCATGTTCCCATCCCAAAAAGCAGCGGATTCTGCCCCAGCAACTGCTGTTGATACATCCGCTGCACCAGCCATTCCACCTGCTCACGCTGCGAACAGCGTGCGCAGCTGCTTAACAGCCTTGGTGGAGGTCCCAGAAATTGGGGATTGCGGATGGTTAAAAAATAACTTGTGAATGCCTCATCTTGGACATTTTTTTTGCCAGGGCCTCTCTAAGGTTTGCCCAGACTGTGCCCATGTTCATTCACGGTCTGGCACATCCTGGAGATGAACCATCAAAAACATTCTCTTGATTCTGGTGATAATGGGCATCTAGTTGTTCAGCGGGGGAGTACAAGCCTATTTCTAAGTAGGGATAACCCCCCCCGTCGTCCAACAATACCAATGGCCTAATGGGCTGCCTTGTGATCGCTGTGCATCTACACAAAGCCTTCTGACATCAATCTTGTAATCTGTTGCCCTTAAAAAACGGTTGATGTTTGCATCATGTACTGTAATAGTCTCATGCCGATTTGTCCCATCATTTTGTGGCACCGTTTGCGGTTGCTGCTGCATATTGTGTACATCCCAGCAGTGTTCGTTTCTCACCAAGGTACAGATTGTAGCTGGTCGTGTCTGGGGTCAGATGGGCACGTCCCAAAGAGAAGTACAAGCTGAGAGCCCTCTCCCATTCAAGGGCAGCCTGCGGGGGATGATATGGCTTTGGTACCTCAAATTTATGGGATAACCTCTGGTAATTTAACGTAGCTATTGAAAATGGCTAGGCTATTAAATTTACAGTGGATTTACCCATCAAAAATGGTGATTTTCCATAGCTGAGGGTATGGGATAACCCGATTCCATCCATCCACTCTCTCTCTCTCTCTCTCTTCATGGCCATCTTAGAGAGTTCAACAGAATCTGAAGGCGAGCAGGTGGCCCAGCTCAGTCAGCCACTATATAGCCGGTCAGCCAGAAGCGTCATTCCTCTGAACCATTTATGTGGCAACTTGGGAACTTCTACAACAATACAATGGTGGTGAAAGTCTTCGTCATAGGCTGGTAGGTTTATCATGTTTGTCTCGATCAGAAATAGTGTTTGGGGGCATAGCGGCAAAACCCTCATTTTCAGACAAACTAACGTGAACATGTTGTTTTCTTTGTTCCTTCGTGCCCTGCTGAAAAGGTGGGAAGAAGTGTCACATCGCTCTCTCCCAACAATTTGTCCAACATGTTTGATCCTCCACCATTTCATTTCTTCTAGGATCACTCTTTTGATACTTAAGCACCAAAAATTGGCCCCCGAAAAAAAGGCACCAAAAATCACCACCCACCCCGATGGCCCGCCTGGCAGGCCCCCATTGCAGCGTTGTAACTGAAAAGATTGGGCTCACATTCCGCAGCGCGCATGTCCTGCCGGCCCACGAAAACACATAGCCTATCATGGCCGTGGCAGCAAAAACCCCTCATGATTATGTGGGGTTCGCATGGGTTCGTTTAAACTTTCAACTCACTCGAGCCCAAATAAATTCATTGAACCAGACTAAATGTTTCCCCGTATTGCAGAATGAAATCTGTTTGCGGATGCTTTGGGTCCACTATATGGGTGTGTTCTTTACATGAATACTTCAGTCATTAACATGGCATTACCCAAGATCAGCCGATCACCGGACCCTGCTGTTCCATCCATTTTTCGAGCTTCTTTGCTGCCCCGGCTTTGTGGGGCCAATCGGGCCAATCCAACGCACACTGTGTGGGTCTAAACTAGTCCCAACCCTTAAAAACCTGAACTACAAATCCAGAAAGCAACTGACAGAAAATGTCAGAACTATGGCATGTTCACCATTGGTTTTTCTCTGGCTATATGCCAAAAATCTCAATTTTTCAGGTGCATAAACTATCATAAACTGCACCTTACCCCTGCAACCCCTGCGGCCCTTAGGACGCTCCATGCGCTTGCAAGAACTCCGCTGCCAGCTTCAAGGCTGAGGCCTGGGCCTCGCTGACGCTTTCACCGCCTGCGGCCTGGGGCACCATGGGATCCTCGGCGCCGCGATTCACCCAGCCATGCAGCATCTGGTCGAAACACACCGAGCGGCTGCTGGGGAAAGCTGCGGTCACCAGAGTCATGAACTCACCTGGCTGGTCCATGATCTGGAAAAAAACATATATATATATAATATCATATATAATATCATATATAATATCACATAATATCATATATAATATCATATAAAATATCATATAATATCATATAATATCATATAATATCATATATAATATCATATAATATCATATATAATATCATATAATATCATAAATAATATCATATAAAATATCATATAAAATATCATATATAATATCAAATAAATAATATCATATATAATATCATATATAATATCATATATAATATCATATAATATCATATATAATATCAAATAAATAAATGATATCATATATAATATCATATGTAATATCATATAATATCATATGTAATATCATATAATATCATATATAATATCAAATAAATAATATCATATAATATCATATATAATATCATATTTAATATCATATATAATATCAAATAAATAATATCATATATAATATCATATATATAATATCATATAATATGTACATGGGGGTCGTGCTACTTTTTTTTGCACGAAAATTGTTCTTGCGCCGGTCTTGGGCGAACCTTGCGCGTTTTTTGCGCGACCACAGTCCCGTTTGAATTTTAGATTCTGCATGTTTCCGTGTCCTGTTTTCATGCGTAATTTCGTGACACATATACAATATGTGTGTGTGTACATTGCTATTCACATGCAGAAAACTACAACTGGACATTTGATGACTATGCACGTTATGTTTTCCGAATTCATGCGCCAAAGACTATGCACGTTATGTTTTCCGAAATCATGCGCCAAAGACTACTTAACAGCAGGGGGCTGCAGGGAATGTCATAGTTCTGCAGCCAACGAAGACGGCTATGACATTCTGTGATATCGATCCGGGACGCTGGATCGACGTACCTGCCTAATCATGTCTTTCCATTTCCGCGATGGGATGTGGCTAACCCAAGAACCACCTTGCCGATTAATGATTTGGACCTGGTTTCACCTGTTTATCAAGGATGATGGACTCAGGATTCTACCAGGCATGTACAACCACATCGTCATTGCAGTTCACTTCCAAAAATCAACAGTGTGCATTAGTCATGTGTCCTATACAGACCATGACCTCATCATCCCTAATGGGGAAGAACAATCTTGGCATAGTGTGCCGAATCCGCCCTCTACGGAGGCAGAAGTTGAGCGAGTAGCCATAGGGGCTGCTAGAAGTGATGGCAATAGCCGAAGGGGGGTCAAGGACAATTGAAGGGTGGCATAAGCCGAAGGAGTGCCCAACGGGCGAATGGTGCCCATAGGGCGAAGGTGGCCATGTGCCGAAGGATTTTATTGGCCGGGAACCCTACTTCTTACTGTCATTTTATGAGTTTTCACCTTCTCTTTCAAATCAATTTACAATTGTGAGGACAAGAGATCAATTTGAAGAGATCTAGAATATAGGAAGACCTATCACAAAAGTGTGCGGACACACATAGTTTGTGATGCTCGAACCAAGCAGAATGTCAAACACGGTAGGGACCTTATCGCTGCAGATGTGTGTACGATCTTGATTCATGTTTTCGAGGTTTTCTACTGAGCGAACACTTCAAACCAATCCAATAATTGAGACCATAGTCTTGTGAAGTACCTCCTTCGCCATAGCTTATTTTCACTGGGATGTGTTAGCTACCGACAGATACAAGGCGCATCTATGGGCTCACAGTGGGCCCCAGTTGTATGTTCACTAGTTGCCCTACATCGAGAGCACACCTACAGCATGCCTTTTGGACAAGCCATTTTTTCTGGAAAACTTTTTAGTTCCTTTCGTTATGTTGACAACCGTCTGCTTTTGGGTCCACAACAACTCACTGATCGCCTTCGACAAACTTGCTTTTGGAATTTAGACTTCTACACCTCGCCCATTCTTTTGGAAGAAGTACAGGGTTTTGATGCACTTGGATTCAACATCAATCCACATCAACGTACCATTACATCGGTATTGCCTTGGGAAACAGTGATACGCACTTCCGCTGGTTTTGGACCTAGAAGCTCCATGTATACAGGTCCCATTGCTCGAACACGTCTAATTTTACAAAATACTTTTCCTCGTGAACTTCAACTTCCTCAAGTTCAAGACCTGCTCGCCCTTCATACCCTTCAGAAACCTAGATACCGCGAATGCATTCCTCAGATCATTTCGATTGCCCGCAGTTTTGGACACAAATGGACCAGACAACAATTGACACCGTTTGACTGAAAAGAAGCCGTTGTAGCTGCATTTTGGTTTTGTGCTTTTCATTCCAATTGCAACTTTGCAACTGTTGCAACTGTTCAAACGTTTTTCTGCAACATCCCACCCAAAACGCCTGGCTCGCAGTGTGATATTTGTTTTTCCGTAATTGATTATATTCAGTTCTCCAGCTTAGTTTACGTCCGTTGTTCTACTCTATATGGTTCACGGTACTGCAACACACTGGCTTAAGTGTTATATAACTGTGATTTAATCAATCCATTTACTGTTTTTCATCACTGCGTTCTATCTCAACCACCTGACCTACGTGTTCTACGCGTCGGAATCTCAGTTTTTGGCGAATTCTGCCCTTCGTCCATAGACAACTAATAAACGTTCATTTTAAACGGATTTGTGGAAGAACAAGAATACAATCGATTTGTGTCCATTTCATTTCGTGGTATCCATGTTTCAATTGAAGTGCAGTTCTCTTCACTTTTTAACACTCCAAAGTCATACTGTCCTTGCTCTATTTGTTCCACGCGTCGGCAACCCAGAAGTGTCACCTTCCTTATGAAGACATATGTATATATGTGTATACCGCTCTCCACACGCAAAGTGTTGCGCAATCTGCAACAAACAATTGATGTTCGTGAGGGACAAGGGCACGATAACTTTGGATTGCATCATATTCAATTATTTCGCTAATACAAACTTTGGATTGCATCATATTCAATCATTTCGCCAATAACAATTAACACCTTTTAATCTAACCATGTCCTTTCCATTTCGACTTTATTTATCGCGATTTCTTTGATCTACGTGGTCTACTTGCTCTACACGCAGTCTTTCAGAATTTGCCTTCCATGTGAAGGGGGTGCCCAACGGGCGAATGGTGCCCATAGGGCGAAGGTGGCCATGTGCCGAAGGATTTTATTGGCCGGGAACCCTACTTCTTACTGTCATTTTATGAGTTTTCACCTTCTCTTTCAAATCAATTTACAATTGTGAGGACAAGAGATCAATTTGAAGAGATCTAGAATATAGGAAGACCTATCACAAAAGTGTGCGGACACACATAGTTTGTGATGCTCGAACCAAGCAGAATGTCAAACACGGTAGGGACCTTATCGCTGCAGATGTGTGTACGATCTTGATTCATGTTTTCGAGGTTTTCTACTGAGCGAACACTTCAAACCAATCCAATAATTGAGACCATAGTCTTGTGAAGTACCTCCTTCGCCATAGCTTATTTTCACTGGGATGTGTTAGCTACCGACAGATACAAGGCGCATCTATGGGCTCACAGTGGGCCCCAGTTGTATGTTCACTAGTTGCCCTACATCGAGAGCACACCTACAGCATGCTTTTTGGACAAGCCATTTTTTCTGAAAAACTTTTTAGTTCCTTTCGTTATGTTGACAACCGTCTGCTTTTGGGTCCACAACAACTCACTGATCGCCTTCGACAAACTTGCTTTTGGAATTTAGACTTCTACACCTCGCCCATTCTTTTGGAAGAAGTACAGGGTTTTGATGCACTTGGATTCAACATCAATCCACATCAACGTACCATTACATCGGTATTGCCTTGGGACACAGTGATACGCACTTCCGCTGGTTTTGGACCTAGAAGCTCCATGTATACAGGTCTCATTGCTCGAACACGTCTAATTTTACAAAATACTTTTCCTCGTGAACTTCAACTTCCTCAAGTTCAAGACCTGCTCGCCCTTCATACCCTTCAGAAACCTAGATACCGCGAATGCATTCCTCAGATCATTTCGATTGCCCGCAGTTTTGGACACAAATGGACCAGACAACAATTGACACCGTTTGACTGAAAAGAAGCCGTTGTAGCTGCATTTTGGTTTTGTGCTTTTCATTCCAATTGCAACTTTGCAACTGTTGCAACTGTTCAAACGTTTTTCTGCAACATCCCACCCAAAACGCCTGGCTCGCAGTGTGATATTTGTTTTTCCGTAATTGATTATATTCAGTTCTCCAGCTTAGTTTACGTCCGTTGTTCTACTCTATATGGTTCACGGTACTGCAACACACTGGCTTAAGTGTTATATAACTGTGATTTAATCAATCCATTTACTGTTTTTCATCACTGCGTTCTATCTCAACCACCTGACCTACGTGTTCTACGCGTCGGAATCTCAGTTTTTGGCGAATTCTGCCCTTCGTCCATAGACAACTAATAAACGTTCATTTTAAACGGATTTGTGGAAGAACAAGAATACAATCGATTTGTGTCCATTTCATTTCGTGGTATCCATGTTTCAATTGAAGTGCAGTTCTCTTCACTTTTTAACACTCCAAAGTCATACTGTCCTTGCTCTATTTGTTCCACGCGTCGGCAACCCAGAAGTGTCACCTTCCTTATGAAGACATATGTATATATGTGTATACCGCTCTCCACACGCAAAGTGTTGCGCAATCTGCAACAAACAATTGATGTTCGTGAGGGACAAGGGCACGATAACTTTGGATTGCATCATATTCAATTATTTCGCTAATACAAACTTTGGATTGCATCATATTCAATCATTTCGCCAATAACAATTAATACCTTTTAATCTAACCATGTCCTTTCCATTTCGACTTTATTTATCGCGATTTCTTTGATCTACGTGGTCTACTTGCTCTACACGCCGCTACCTCAGAGTGCCTTCTTTGGAAAGACCTGTCCATGAAGATGCAGGTGCGTATACACCTAATCCCAAGCATGAATTTCATTTTCGAATGAGTTCAACGTTGCTTATATTGACGTGATCTGCTTGCTTCATTAGGCAGTCTTTCAGAATTTGCCTTCCATGTGAAGGCCTTTGTGTGTGTACACTGCTATTCACATGCAGAAAACTACAACTGGACATTTGATGACTATGCACGTTATGTTTTCCGAATTCATGCGCCAAAGACTATGCACGTTATGTTTTCCGAATTCATGCGCCAAAGACTACTTAACAGCAGGGGGCTGCAGGGAATGTCATAGTTCTGCAGCCAACGAAGACGGCTATGACATTCTGTGATATCGATCCGGGACGCTGGATCGACGTACCTGCCTAATCATGTCTTTCCATTTCCGCGATGGGATGTGGCTAACCCAAGAACCACCTTGCTGATTAATGATTTGGACCTGGTTTCACCTGTTTATCAAGGATGATGGACTCAGGATTCTACCAGGCATGTACAACCACATCGTCATTGCAGTTCACTTCCAAAAATCAACAGTGTGTGTTTACGTATATTGTAAGTTATATCTATGTAAAGATTCTAGATATAGATAGAGAGAGAGAGAGAAAAAAAATGAGAATGTATCTATATCTGTATGATATGCGTACGTACGTATGATATATATATATATATATGACGGTTTGCCAAAATGTTTTTTCCTGGTTTTGTTGATAAATCGTACTTCCTTGCGTGCCGCTTCTTATTGTGCCTTTAAAACCATGACTGACCTAAATAGTCGGAAACCCTGCATTTTATCTTTATGCTTGAAGCCATAGCTAAAACCTGCAGTAAATGCTAACGCGCGTCTATATGAAGTGGGTGCCGCTGCTGGGCTGCTAGTTGTTAGTGGTGGAACTGGAATATCTGCTGAGCTGGTCGTTGCCTTTGCTGTCACATGCTGTCACTGTTGCTTTGTCAAACAGACAGGATAAACTACAAGTTCTCTGGTGGCGACTGGGTCGCTGGTCAACCAAAGCCGTTTTTTAAACTTTTGCCAGCGCGTTGCTAGCCGGAATCTAGCGGGTAAAATTACGTACAAATTCGCAAAGTTGAGCCGCAACCTCAAAAATATAGGAACATTGTTGAGTAGCACAGAAATTCACTAAGACATCCTTAGGTTTAAGGAGCTAAGTGTTACATCTTGACTTTTCTTCATGTTGAAATAACAAGCAGACAGGAACACACAAAAAAAAAACTTGAACATGGGCGCGGAAAAAAACTAGCGGAAACCTAGCGGGTTTGCTAGCGCTGCCTTGCAGAATTGGTGAATTTAGTTGCGTGCCGCCTCATAATCCTCATAGCGAAGAGGAAGAACAACTAGGTCCACGCTAATTATCAACAACTAGTACGAAACTTCTGTCAACTATTTTTGGCAAATGGTCATATACGGTAAATATATTCTTATGAGAGTGTTTCTCTTCCTCCGGCCTGTTTATACATTGTACATCCGGCTGTTTCCGCAGCCTAAACCGACTTGGACACTCATCCTGGGTTCTGGCATGATCTCGTTGCTTGAACCCAGAAGGCGCAGGGCTGGAACGGAGGAAAGATGTGCTACGGGGTCAACCTTGGACCTGAAGCTTGCGCGGCTCTTGCGCGAAGCTTGCGCGGATTTGGGCTGAAACATTCTCATTTTTGGCAGGTCTGTTTTTTTTCATGTTTTTTCAATCAAACTGCAGATCGAAACACCAGGGGGACTTGAGCCCAGGAACTGCATGAGACAGCCAATGCTACAAATACAAATTAGATGCAGAATAACCACAAAAAATTACGAAAACTTTTTTAAAGAAACAACATGAGAGATACCCCTATAATTACTACAATTTCCCTTGTGCAAAACCTTGGGCCGGCCTTGCACGAAACTTGCGCGATGCAGGTTTTAAGCTACCCCAAAATTCTCACAATTTTGCAAACTAAATTTGAATAGGAGGGTTTTAGAATGATCCCCATATAGATATAGATATAGAGAGAGAGAGAGAAATGAAAGTAGTCAATTGGGACCATCACAATTTGCTTAATCATTTTTGGGGGGTCAACTGGAAGATCATCCGCCCTTTTTGGATCTTTTGGGGTATTAGACCATGGTATCTAACTCACCACCCAGTCACCATTGGGTTTCACGGCCGCATCATCATTGCCAGCTGGCAGCATCATCTGGGGACATTTCACCTCCCTGGCCAGGTCCGCATGCCCTTGGCCATGTGGGGAGCATTGCAAGCGACCCACCACCAGGGAAGGGTGGAAGCCCACAGACGCCCGGAAGGCACCAAGGGCCGAGCCCTTCACAGCGAGGTATGCACCGAAACAGAAGTCGAAGCAAGAGATTGGAACAGCCGAATCATCGGAATCTGCAGATTGGAAGGAGTTCAGAAGGCCTTGGATCTTCGGAAGCATCTGCTCCCAGCCGTGTCGATATCGAATGCGGTAGAGTAAGAGGGGAACGTAAAGGAAGAGCCTCAACTTTGGAAGGCTGGAGTCGCAAAAATCCGGACATAGCGGTTCCCCTTCGAACAAATCCGGCAGGCAGATCAAACTGCCATGGATTGCAGATGCCATTTGGTCGCACACTCGCCGGTGCTTACCTGACATCGGCCCGAATACATCGGAGAATGCCAAGATGATCATGCTGGGTTCCCCTTTTCACCTGTGAAGTAACAGTCAAGGTCCGCCTTCCGTTCCCACCAACCTTTCAGTTCCACATCGTCAGGTGGCAACGGTCCATGTGATCCAGGAGGACAGCAAGGGGCAGCCATGATCAGCAAAGATTGGGGTTGTGATGATCAATTTCTTGGGTCAAATCTATGCCTATGCACACGCGAACCTAGCGCTTGCACATTCCAATAATGACATCCCTGAGCTCTCCTTCAGCATGTGTATCCGAATGGAATTACGGAATTACCTTGTTGGATGGGAATCTTGAGCAATATGGCAATGAAAGTAATGTCGCTGACTTGCCTGTTCACATTGTTTCCACTGCCTTGTGGGTACAGGTCAGAGTGCAGCTGAACACCAAAGCAGCTGGCAATTGGATGTTCATTCCCCCAATCGACAAAAATCGTATGTAGCATGTAGGGTTTGAATGGTTTTTGGACTCATCCCCATATATCCATGTTGGCTTCAAACCTTGTTTTTGGTTGGCACGCCCCTCAGATGGGTTCAAACATGATAAAACGACCCCAAAATCCCACTGACTTCATCGTCCTGCAGCACCTCCAGTGCGGAGTCCCAAAGGCCTCGGAACCAAAAATGGCATTGGTCAATGGGAGGGTCACCAATCCCATATCATCCGAGGATGGGGAAATCACAATAGTTTTATAAAACATATTCCCATCCCATTTCAAAATTTCTCTTCACAGATTTAAATCAGCCAGAGAGCAATCATAGTGCCCTTAAATCCTGGCAATATATCAGCATGCAACCATCAAGTGACAGGGAAAAATAGGGTGGTTGCCCTCTCCTCATTACCTTTTTTTTTGTACACTGCTGCCATGTCTTGGGACCTCAATAATTTTGAGCTCAGCATGTATCCCACCCTCAACCTTACTAGTTGTCACCCGCCTACTGGTTGCTGGCTTGAACCCATCCCCAAAAAAATCCGATGAAGATCATCCTTCCACATCTTCCACTTTAGATGGAAATATACGGAAACTATCGGAAACTCACCCAAAATCCTGTGCAAATGACCATCAAATTACCATACTCCCCTGACTGAAACATCAAGCCACTGGCGGTGCCACATGCCGTGATGGCCGCAGTGTACGCCTGGGCGTCGGGTCCTATGCCTTGCCTTCGGGCTGTCTTCAGCAGCTGCCGCGCCATCTGCGGCTGCTGACCCAGCTGACACGCGGTGATGGCAGCGCTCAGAATCACCGAGTTGCCCTCAACCTGGGTTTCCTGGAGATGGCTTGGGCGGAATGGGTGGGATGGGGCTAAGGTGAAGGTGAACCTGGATGGGCTAATGAATGGGAGGCAAAGATTGGATGATTCGATGATGTGCAGATTGATAGATTTGATATGATTTGATAGCTTCATCGTGCCTGCAGCTCGCGCAAATACCTCAATGCCGGCAAAGTGAAGTGGTTGGTTCATCTCCTATAGCAAACTAGGATATGGTTCAAACTTGTCTGACCCTTGAAAATTGCATGGTCCAGTCCTGGAAATGATCAAATGTGCGCTTCCTCTGCCATCCTTTTGTTGGATTCTTTTGGGCGCTGTCTAAATATGTCAGCCAAAACATCCCAAGCTCAAAGAATACACACCTGCAAATTGCGTTAATCAACGGGCAAGCTGACCAATTTTCATTCACTGTCACATCAGTTTCAAGCCTCATTTCGGAGGGTTTTTGTTAGTCCCATGTTTATCCATGTTCTCCGAAAACACTCCCTGATCATGTTCACACCATCTTCAAAGATCGTGTCTCATCGAGATGTTCATTTTAAAACAAAATCATACCCTCTGGTAAATTAACATAGACCCTGGCAGATAGGGGTTGGAAGACTATTTTCCATTAAAAATTGGTGATTTTCAAGGTCTATGTTTATATACCAGAGGGTATTTCCAAGTCTCACCAAAATGGAGGCGTCCTAAGTCCTAAGTCATTGGAGGGTACCACCAGTTATCATCCATTTCTAACGAGGATTTTCCATCAAATACGAGCCCAGTACCCTCTGGTAATTTAACGTAGCTATTGAAAATTGCCCATAGAAATAGTGGATTTATGTTGATTTACCTATTGAAAATGGTGGATCTTTCCATAGTTATGTTAGCCCGTTTACCAGGCCGGGTAAACCATCCATAACTGGGACGGTGGCCAGGCAACTCCAGCGACGTCTCCCAGGTGGCCAGGGCATTGCTGGCGTCAATGGCCTGACTGTAGGACCAGGCATCCACCTGCACCTGGAAGCCCAGCCGACAGACAAGACGGAGGGGGGTTTTGGGGGTTTGGGGTTGAAACAAAATCCGCTTCTGACTCGAGTCAGAAGCGAAGTCTACATATTGCATATCATTGCATATCTATATACCATATATCATTATACATCAATATCATCAACTAATCCTGGGTTTCATTGGATTGGTTTGTTGGGGAAAATCTTAACCGGAAACCATGGTTTTTACCATCAAACAGAGGGCTTTCCTGTAAATTTTCCCATCATCCAATTCTATGAGGGTTGACTATCACCGACTTCCTCCACTATCAGACTTTCATCGCCCTCGTTGGAGCCGGCCTGTTCCTGTCGCATGCTCTGCAGCAGCATGGGAGCCACCGAGAAATCGTTCACCTTGCGGCTGGCGGCCATCACCTCAGTGAAACCGTCATTATTTAACAATGTTGAAGATAGGAAAAACATGGAAAAAGGAATTTGAATGTATTTGATATTACTATATATCACAAAAAGGATAGATACCCTCTGGTAAACTAAGATAACTATGGAAAGATCCACCATTTTTCATGGGAAAATAACCACTATTTCTATGGCCATTTTCAATAGCTATGTTAGACATAACCAGAGGGTAACAATTTCGAAGATTAGGAAAAAAACCAATTTGAATGTATTTCATATCACTGTTTGACATCAACATGTCAACATGACCTCACCTCTACCAACCTTGCTTCTTCTAAATATTCTGACATGTTTTTCTGCTCCAACCTTGACCCCCTCCAGCTGCCAGGCGACATTGTTGTAGGCATAGGCATCCGGATCGATGCGCCGCAAGCGCATGTCCTCCAGAAAAGCCAGCGCCTCCTGCCAGAGGCCTGCATTCCTCAGATCGATGGCCCATGCCAAGGGCCCATGCGTGTTTTGGAAGCACAAAATATGCAGGCAAAATCTGTGTGGATGTTGCAAGTGTATGCAAGTGTCACCCGGAACGAGAGGCCCCTGCCAGTTTCAGGATAGGTTTAAGAACTACCTAGTACTCACCTCCAAATGGGGCGTGGTTCCAACCCAGCAGCCCCGGTCACAGCGCAGCCAAGCCACTGAAAGCGTGTAAATACCGTGCCACAGTCAATGCAATCCAACCTGACCGATCACTGCACAAATGTCAGCGTCCAAAGGGCATATCTATGGTGATTCCCCGTTAAAAAACCTCAAAAAAAACACCGGGCAACCGCCTGCGTCCCGAGGCGGACCACAACTTCTCCATGATTCGACCGGCCTCCTGGGCATCCACGTAGTCAGTGATACATTGGTTGTATGATGTTATAACTGTAATATATATATGGATATAATAATAATGGTAATAATAATGGTAATAATAATAGTAGTAATAATAATAATAATGATAATAAGAATAATGATGATAATAGTAATAATAATAACAATAATAATAATAATAATAGTAATAATATATATATATGGATATATAATGTGATATACAACTTACATCATCTTAGACAACTGGTGTTGTCAGCTCAAGCCCAGACAATATATATAGTCTCTTCAGCTTCATCCCACAGGTTGAACACCCTTAGGGTTCCAGGCCACCAATGATCTTACCACGTATCAGTTATATACATATATATATATAATTATATATATATACAGCTGTGTGTGTATGTATGCGTATGTATGTGTGTATATATACGACTGTATTATACGTCGGTAATTCCCTCGGGCTATGGTATGGTGCAATGCGACAACCAGTGGTTCGGCATCCCACCTATTAACGGACATCCGGCTTTCCAACGCGAATCTGTGACCCCTCTTCAGCAGCCCAGCCTCATGTTGGGCTGCCTTGTAACAAGCCACAGCCGCAAGAGCGCAAGTGCCGGCAAAAGGATTCCTTGCTCCCCGTCATCTCGTCATTGGGCGGTGTTTGATTGGCCATTCCAATTCCATATTCTGACTCCTTCCAAAGAGAGACCTATAGACCTATATATATATTCATTATTCCGCTCAGCTTCTACTGATTTTGATTTGTGGTTGAGCCACCCAGCAAAAAAATGAGAGTCACTTGGGATGACGGTCCCATTTTCACGGAATCAAGAATCATTGCGAACATGTTTCACACACCCAAGACAACTTTGAAACCTTGGGCATTATCGCCGATGCCCATTATCGGGACCTGCAAACGAACAGAAAATACCCTCTGGGAATTTAACATGGCTATTGAAAATTGCCATTTATAGTGAGTCTTCCCATTATTGCCATTGGTGGATCTTTCCATAGTTATGTAAACGTTTACCAGAGGGTAAATGTGACTAATGCTGGAAACCCTGGCTGCCATAAACCTGAATCTTGTGGGGATGGTTGGTTTATCGCACACGATTGATCTGTTTTTTTGGGGGATGGTTTATGGCATTGGGTTTACCACATTATATAATCTTAAATTCCCAGTGAAACATCATAACAAACCATCCCCAAAATAACAAGAGTGAAACATCCCACTGTTATAACCCCACTGTTATCCCATTCTGAAATCTCAGTTAAAACACGGCCTAAAACCATATGAAAACCATAATGGTAAAGACTTAAACCCATCTTAAAATCATATCTCAAAATCCCCAAAATCGTGAAAAGTATGGTGAAACATGGTGAAACCAGCTACCTCAGCCCATGTCCATGTCCGCGTCACATGGACCGGAAGCGCATCTCCAGGAGCAGCGTGCAGCTCTGCTGCCATAGCGCCCGGTCCGCTAAGGTGCCCAAGACCTGGCCGTAGTCCTGCTGCTGTGAAAAAATGGTGGAAAAATGGTGGAAAAATGGTGGAAAAGTGGTGGAAAAGTGGTGGAAAAGTTGAAAATGGTGGAAAAATGGTGGAAAAATGGTGGAAAAATGGTGGAAATATCTATGTGGATAGAGAATTGATAGAGATAGAATAGACAGATATAAGATGTAGATGTAGGTGAGGGATAGATATCACCCTCGGGTAAACATACAACAAGCTATTGAAAATGGCCCAGTCGAAATAGTTGATTTAGCCATAAGAAACAAAAAATGGTGGTGTTCCATCGTTATGTTAGTTTACCAGGGGGTAAGATGTAGATGTATACATGAACGCCTTGACGTTGTGACATTCTATTCTCTATCAGCAACGGGTGACCCAAAAAGGGGGTAGGGATAAACTCCAGCCCCGAAAAGTTGGAAAGTCTAAGTCATGATCTCATCTTAATCCTTGGGCTCAACCAGGATTTCTCTCCAAGGCTAGGCCCCATTTTCAGACACACCCTAAGTTAGTTAAGCACGATAAAGGTCTGACCCTCTGACCCGCGATAAATCGGCGGTCCTTTTGGTGTCTAAAGGCGCCATCAGCACCTCAAGCTGGGTGCAGCCGGACAGCCCCTGAAGATGCGGAAACCAAGAGATCTCAAGAGATCAAGAGATCTCAAGAGTATATACCCTCTGGTAATTTAACGTAGCTATTGAAAATGGCCATTTATAGTGGATTTTCCCATTGAAAATGGTGATTTTCCATAGTTATGTTAGTTTACCAGAGGGTGGAAAATATGTCCAACGCTTCTTTTGTGCGATGTTTTCGTTTGGTAGGGCGGAGTCGGATGAAGACTCTCATGCGGCAAACATGTTTCAATTCCAAGGGACGCAGCTCCTGCAGTTTCTCCACCAGACTTGCATCACTCAGCTCGGGTGGAAGGTACACCATGGCGCCAGGCGGGTGGAACCCAGATGAACCCCGCAGGGATGGAGTTGGGGGATCTGTCGAAAAATTGGTGGTGAAATAGTTTTTTACACTGTCGTCAAATAGCATAAATAGCCATCTTTGGCGGGTTTGTGGGGTAGGTCCAGGTTTCCGGTGGTTGGCTACTGTTGGCTAAACACTCTCTATCCTTTGATGTCAATGTTAGGGAGGGTAAGCCAAGCAACACTAAAAATAATCGGATGAAAGCATCGTTTTCTGGGCGCTGGCATGGCTACAACACTCTTGCTGCCTTGGCTCTCGCACAACATGCATTGCCCTATTCTTCTGTTTTGTGTTTTGAGCGCGCTGAATCGCGTAGATCTTTCAAGTCGTTATTAATTATCGTTGCTGCTCTCTGATCACTCATGGCTTTTGACATAATTTTGGCTCCAACATGTGCCTCCGATATTCGAAGAGAGCATAATGAGCCAAAACCACACCTGCGACAGCCCCTGCTTGAAGGCCATGAATTCCAAACCCATCAATGGGCACCCTCACCGGCGTAAATGCTGGAGGGAGTAACTTCAACTCACCCGGAAAATATGAGCCAGTTCGGGCATTATCGGTTGTCCATATCAATCGGGATGGGAAGAACGGTCTGAAACCAACAGCTGCGGACTGCAACAGCCAATGGGACGAAGAAATCTTGACTTAGATTTGCTCCAGTCTCACCCACCCAAAAAAAAAAACTCTCAACTTGAGTTTCCCCAAAGGGTGACTTATCCATTATCCACAAAGGAAATTAAAATATATAGCACCTGGTGCTGAGGGCACTATGGCATCTTCACCCTCTCCGAAGTTGAGACCAGCATGTCCTGCAGTGGACGAACAGGAAAAATCAGGTTTCCTCAATCCATATAAAGCCGACCCTGGCAATTTAAGATAGCTATTGAAATTGAAATCACCATGTTTAGTAGGTAAATCATCTATGAATGAATGGGCCAATTCCATAGATAGATATGTAGCTATGTCAAATTACCAAAGGGTATCATCATTTTGGGCATCAGGATTCCAAATATCTTGGACCAACCCACATCCCTCCACCAAGGTTTGGGCTGAAGAGTGCTTGTGCAGTCGGCCAAGATCCACTGATCGCCTTGGCCGATGCCAATCCAGGTCCACCCTGGCATCCCGGTGTTGGACCAGCGAGCCCCAGACCAGCGCTTGCCCGAAGTCATCAGAGGATAATGGCTCTTGACACGCCAAGCCTTAGCACTTCAAGAAGAGCGACAATTTCTTTTATGATATTGAAGGCCCCCTACTAGAATCACCAGAAACCCTGGTTTAGTAGTACTGGATCACACTGTATCTATTCTTCTGGGGTCCCTAAAAAAATCCTAAATTAGGGGAAATGTAGCTGGTTGCGCAGGTGGGTTATTCTCGTTGTTCATCTAGGTCTGGGTTCAGAGCGGTCCGGAGATATATCAAAGCCAATCCCATTTTTTTTTATGAATACCATCTGGTTATTTAACATAGCCATGGAAAATCATCATTTTTAATAGGTAAGCCATCTATAAATGGGCCATTTTCCATGGCTATGTTAAATAACCAGAGGGTAATTAGAGCGATTCATTCTTGACCACCTAATTTTGGCCTCCACCTTTCCCAGTTTGGATGATCAAAAAACCATGCCTGGACCGACCGCCTGGGCAGCAGGCAAACATCGATCAACAAAGCGCTAATGGGATCTCCCGTCACGTCGCCAACCAGTGCCTCCAGTGGCCCACTCTGGAAAGACTTCCGTCGTTCTGATATGTTCTGATGGTCTTCTAAACAATACTGAGTCATTAGTCATAACATGTCATAACATTCGAAGCTGACTGAAACTCCATACATGAGTCAAACTTCAAAAGTGCCCACAGATCCGTCCATAAAGGATCATAAAGGTGTGCTTCAACATGGGTGGAGCAGCCCGCAAATTCAATGAGAAGCGCTGTCAGACTGTCACCTCCGTCGCAGCTGGAAGGGGTAGCTTTGGAGCTCGTCTTTGCACCGCCTGCGTCAAGATGGGCTCAGTATGGCCAAACTCTTGGCTAATCTCTGATGGGTTCAGCAATGGCTCATCACCGGGCACATCTCAGCCCCCTAAGAAAACAACTGGTGATGGGGTCCCCAGATATCATTATGATCATACTGTATCATACTGAATCATACTACCCTCTGGTAAACTAACATAGCTATTGAAAATGGCCATAGAAATAGTGAGTTTTCCCATTAAAAATGGTGGATCTTTCCATAGCTATGTAAACGTTTACCAGAGGGTATATCATACTATATCACATTCGGGTCATTGGGTTGGTTTATGGGAAACTCTATGGGAGACAATCATTCCCCTGCGCGCCTCAATGGCCCGTCGACGCAGCGCCTGAAGCCAGTCCTTGGCACCTGGAAGAGGTGTGGTGAGTCCGAGCCATCCATCTTCCATTCTTCAAATCTGTTTATTTCAACCCAATACTAAGATTTGAAGATTATTTGAAGATTCTTTGAAGATTCTTTGAAGATTATTTGAAGATTATTTGAAGATTGTTTGACGAATATTTAGATTGTATCATATCTGCTTAATATTAAGTATGATTGAAAATTTTCTCAGTCTTTGGTAGAGCATTCCCTTGTGGAATTTTTCCGGTCAAGGACCTTATTTGGGTCTCCAAAAAATTGAGCCACGAAGGATCCCATGCCACAATGCCACACCTGGAAGCTTGCCACCCAGGCGTGCCAATGCCCCCAGAGCACGTAGTCTCGCCAGGGCGGCCAGGGACGAACTCTTGTAAGCACCTGGCCATGGTCAAGCCTTGGAGAGTCGTTAATTCACCAGGGAAATTGACAAAACGCACGCTAATATGTCTATAATATCTGGGTAAATTATAATATTTCACTAACCTGAAATAAGGCCATTTGGGAAAGATTTCCCTTACTAACCATGGTTCCAGTGAGGTCGCAGTGAGGTCGTTATAATTTGCCCAGATAATATATATATACACTTGTTATGACTAATTACTACGTATTATCAGTAGCCGTATTATCAGTAGCACTATTATCACCAGAACTATGATATTTTTTATTGCTGTTTCATGTCTGAAATATCTATTTAATATACAGATCTAGAAACGCCAAGATCAATTTGATTAAAAGGGCTGATACTCGAAAACTCGTACAAACCGGCAAGAAGTTACTTCCCCAAAGACTACACATGGATGGGGGTTCGAAGTTTCAACGGCGGCTGTACTTCTGAAAATTTCTGCGGGGTTCCATCCGCTATTATCGAACACATCCATACACATCCCCTAAATTCAACGTGGCGGCATCCAGTCATCCAGTCATCCAAGTAGCATAGCAAATAAGCTAAGTTCATCATCTAACTGGGAGCCCAGCCAGGTTCCCTTATGGCCTGGCCTCCCAAGGGCCATGGCGCTGCCTCATCACCACAGACTTCCACCTGGCGAAGCCGCACAGGCCAAGCCCTAAGGCCCTAAGGGAGCTTGGGATGTACCAACCTGAAAGCTCCCAAGAATAAACCCCAAGTAAGTGAATAGTGAGGGATATTGGGGGGTGCTTTAAATCCCACGCATTTCTGGTTGGGGGTGGTCTATGATCTTGGGCTTGCAACACTATGATGATGCAAACTTTGTCTGAGTTGGAATGTGGAAGTTGATCTTGACCCAAGGGCCAATTCGTTTGAGTCTGGCCTGGTGGTTATGAGACCGAGCATGGCCGAGCCATATTTGTAGAAAGTGGTTCAACAGCTGGTATCAAGTGAGCTCAGTTGATGCGACAACCAGAAAGATCAATATCTCCACTTTGTTTGCTAGTCTGGCGTAGCCGGTTGGTTGAAAACTTGGGCATGAGAAACCTTTGGGGACCCCTTCAAAGAGGTCAATTTCGAGGCTGGGGTACAATATACCTCCGTTTTTATCCATCTATAACATTCGCATCCACACGTATCAGCTTACGAATTAAGTCATCAACCAAAAAATATGCCATCAACAAACCCAGCCATTATCATTGCCCCCTGGTAATTTAACATAGATATATATCCTATGGAAAATTTTCGCCACCAGAGGGTAAGTCAGGAGCCTCCGGCAACGGCTCATCCGCTTGCGCGGCCAGCAGCTGCTTTGCAGGCCGCAGGGGGCTGTCCACACCTTCCAACCTCTCCGGCTGGGCGGAGACAATCAGTTGACATGCCATGAATTACTCATCGGGTACCTGAAGGAACAAGGGAAAAAACAAAACAAAAGGAAAACTGAAAAAAATCAGAGGGGGAAGACCAGATTCCCAGAAGCAAATTGGTGGAATTCAAGCAGGAAGAACCTATAATCAAGCGACATTACACCCGGTTACACATACATGCACATAAATTCATGCAAATTAAGGTGTGTTAGCTCTACAAGCCTTGCATCGAGAAGGTCATCCTTGGTCAAGCAATCAGTTGTTCTTGTTTTCGCAATGATGGTACATGTCATGAATCAAACATATGAGATGAGATATGTAAGTATATGTAAGCGAGCATGTATAGGTCTACGAACATGTTCAGTTTTGCTCTCAACTGGTTCCAGAACCAAATGCGTCCAAATAGGCGGCCACTCTTCTGGTCCTTCTGTTTCACCCCAGCAATGGCACTTCCATCGAGAGATTTGACATTGAGCGCTCCACAAATCTCAAAGTGGGCGTGTGCAGTGTGCAACTTGCACCATAGAATCTATCGAGAACAGTTGTGTTTCTTCTTGGCCATAGTAAACCCTAAAATGATAACTAACAGACTCACCAAAGAAGTGGTGAGTTACTTGTCCATCCTTTTGAGGGTGACTATAATTACACACACCTCGAATGCGGACCGGATCCACCCAATACTTGGTATCGGGTATTTTGAACCAAACAATATGTTAAGTTTAATAAAACACAGGTAGATGATATAATATAGATATATGTGCACTGTACTTATATATATATATATTTATTTATTTATTTGTTTGTATGTATGTATGGATGGATGGATGGATGGATGCATGCATGCAGGCATGGATGGATGGATGGATAAATGGATGGATGTGTGCGTATGTGTGCGTATGTGTGCGTATGTGTGCGTATGTGTGCGTATGTGTGCGTATGTGTGTATGTGTGGGACCAAATGTCCCACAGGCATTGCCCCAGCCCACCCAATGCCTCTGGGCGGCCATCGCAGCACTGACTGCCACGTCCTGGGGCTTCGCCACCATGGGCTGCGACCGGTCTATACTTTACGCCATCTCTATAATTATGAATCTATATCTATGTATGCAGATATATGTGTGTTTATGTTTCTACTCATGCTTATACCTGTACCTATGCCTATACTTATACTTATACTATTTATACTTATGCTTAAATTCATACTTGCATGTATGTATGTATAGAATATATGTGCGAATCATGCCATGTCATACTAGAAGTGTCCTTCGCGTATGCACACCTCTGCATTTCACACAGACTACCCTGAGGCCACGGCCAATACATCCGTAAAGGTCGCGAGGCACAGCTGTTGAGCCTGCGAAATCCCGCAAACAGTTCACCTCTTGGAAAATTGCCACAGCATAAATAGTAGTAATAGTAACAATAATAATAATAGCAGTAGTAGCAGCAGCGGTAGAAGAAGAAGTAGTCGCAGTCGTAGTCATGGCAGTGGTGGTAGTAGTAGTAGTAGTAGTCGTAGTAGTAGTAGTAGTAGTCGTAGTAGTCGTAGTAGTCGTAGTAGTCGTAGTCGTAGTCGTAGTCGTAGTCGTAGTCGTAGTAGTAGTCGTAGTAGTAGTAGTAGTAGTAGTTTAGTAGCAGCAGCAGCAGCAGTGGCGGTCAAACCATGTCAAACCAACAATAGCAATAACAATAACAACAGTAAGAACAATAAGAATAGTAGCAATGGTAATAGTAAATTCCATACCACTGGCCCAGAACCATGGCACGATGCGAACACGAAAAACATCGGTGGCTCAGGCCCAGCTGGGATCCCAACTGATGATGTATTCTCCACACGAGTCAGGCGCTTCGCGAGGACAGGGCTGGCAGCGCAGAAGGCACTGCTCACAACGGAGGCGATGCCTGCAAGGGGCTGGCTTCCGGCTGGAAGGTACCAAGAAGAGTAGAACCAGGAATTGGATGATTGTTAAAAATGTTAGAAGTTAATATAGGTCATTCCCTCATTTCCAAGGCTAAGCACCAGTAACGGTTCTAACATTGCCACAAGTTCTTGATAGACCCTTCCAGTCATCTCCATGGTCCGCTGAAAACCCAGCTGCCACGGAGCCTGCATGGAGACTCTGCAACGGATCTACCGGCTCCTGAAGGGTTTACCACCCTAACATCACTGTGGGGCTGCCTTGAAGTGTCACATGTATCATACGGGACAGGCGGACAGGCATCCGGTCGCTTTTTCATCATTTTTCATCTTCCTCCAGCCTGGTCCCACTGGTCCCACTGGTCACCTGGTCACCTAAAATAGATGAAACGCATTTCTCGACGCCCCGAAAGAGCCAGGAACGACGTCCGGTGCCTGGAACTTCTGGAAATGATTTCAGGGACAATGATGGACAGTGCATACTTTAATAACATGTAATTTAAAAGTATACAACAGGCATCTTCATGGTGTTTCCATATGCGTCAAGAAGGCCACCCGTAAGTGACACTTGACCTCAACATGTGCACATGGTGCATACTACGTTACATGTTGATAGTTTGTTGCTGTGTGGTTTGTTACTGTAAGCATGTGTGTGTGTGTCTTTGTGTTTGTGTGCATGACTACAGGCATTTGCGATATTTGGGAACATACACATGTCATGGATTCAAATACCAGAACTGCCCAGGTTGACCATCCTGGGGTGTATCAAGTTGTAACACGGAGCTCCTCATAGTTCCCCTTTTTTGGGGGGAGTAGTCGGGGTTAGTCACCCTTTTGTTTGAAATAACCGGGACATCATGGACCTTGTGCTGCCATGAAATCATGAAATCCCAATTTCGTCATTTTCCACGATGCCTTCATCCCTGCACCACTTCCAGAAAGTCATGTCTAGCAGAAGCTCAGGGCTACTGCCAGCTTGACATGTCCATGCGAGCATTAACTTGACTATGGCGTAAAAATTCCCCTCCGGTCGCATCTGGGCACAATAACATCAGCACAGCCTGATGGATGAACGTTGTTGAACTTTGATGAATATCCATTTCCGTACCAAATATATATATAACACATATATACGTATAAATAAATATATATATATATAATAATAATAATAAATTCAGAAACTTTTGGATGTGAAGATCCAAGTGCCAATCTTACGGCCAGCGTGCTATGCCCCAAGGTCTTTCCAGATGACGGAATCTGCTCTGGAGACGTCGTTGCGGCGGTGAATCGTTCTCCAAAAATGGTGGTTACCACTTTTCACATACCCTCTGGTTATGTCAAAATAGCTATTGAAAATTGCTATTTATAGTGGATTTTCCCATTAAAAATGATGATTTTCCATAGCTATGTTAAATTACCAGAGGGTAAACCCGTTAAAACCCTTTGCTAAAAAAAGAACTAAAGAAACCCAAAAGAGACCTTACAGATCTTACAGCGCAAACCTTAAATGAACCCGATGCAAGTCTTGAGGCGCAAGTGCTGCCGGTCATATTATCATTAACTACTGACGTACGTGACATACAAGCAGCACAACATGGGGATGCAGACAGTGGCCAGATAGAACCAATCCAAAATGCAAATATCCAAATAACCTCTGGTAAACTAACATAACTATGGAAAATCACAATGTTTAATAAATTGCCATTTTCAATAGCTATGTTAGTTTACCAGAGGGTAACCGTATGCTCCATCTGACTTCTGAATCATCTTCCTTTTCCACCTCTTTGTCCATGCGGATGCTGCCGAAATCGCAATCGCTCCGGCGCTCAGGACTTTTTCTGCAGGTGCTCAAGGTGTTCCTTTTGTCTTTGCACCTGAGCCCACTGGCTTCGACGGATTTCAACGGTATGCCGCCCGAGGAAAACTGGTTGGTGGTTGAGCCACCCCTCTGAAAGATATGTCAATGGGAAGGGTTATCCCATATAGTATGGAAAATAGAACATGTTCCAAACCACCAACCAGAAAAGCAAATCCGGAATCTCAACCATGTCTTGCATCGGGTTCACGGCTTCAACCATCGACAGGCCATGACATCCAAGCAAACGCCAAAAATATAGTGAACCCCCCAGGCAATGGGCAGCAAATTCGTGGAGATTATAACACCTACAAAACAATGATTTCAATCCCGGACTGATAAACCCTGGTTGATGAAAAAAATTGTATACGGATGTATACGGCATATCCCCAGAAATAGTGATGTTTCGCCGCTAAAAGGGTGCAGTAAGTCAAACAGCCGAATGTTTTTTTTAATCCAGGGCGGGCTTTAAGCAATAAGTTCGCCAATTTCCAGTCTGGATTGGTCTAAAGGAAAATTTTAACAGGAAAGTTCCATATTGAATGGGAAAATCTATGGTTTGTTCCATATTTAATGGGAAAATCTATGGTTTCCGGTGAAGATTTTCCAAAAAAAAAAACAATCCATTGAATCTCCTGAGGATCGGCCCTGTGAAGCCCCACCAAGCCGTGCTGTTGCTGCAACCGGCTCTCGGCATCTGAGAGCCTCTGGAGCAATTCCTGGACACGGCTGTGCGGAGCATCTGGGAGCGTCCAATTTGGAGGAACCGATTTTGGTAACCACTAATATTCCATAATATTATGTATATTATATATATATATATCTATCTGTGTGTGTGTATGCATGTAAATATGGAGGAACCAGGATATTCATGGATATTCCATATTCAAGAATCCAAACCACTAATCTTGAACCTAACCAAACGAATTGGCCAAAACCCTGCAACCCAGTGTGGGACAGGTGCTGCGCCAATCTGGGCTCTCAGAGGATATCTTAAACTTGGGCTGCCAAAAGGAGCTCACAAATCCTATCGGGCAATGACCCATTCTTGGGGCGGGGGGGTGGCTCTGAATATTAACCCCTACTCAATGTTCCTTTGCACTTTGTTAAGTGAATTCTGTTGAATCCGCATTTCAGGCCAGTTCAGTCCCCATGTGCTGTTGATTAAATCCCCGTTTAGACGGTTTGATTCTAATCTGTGAATGTAAGCCATGTCTGTGCATCTGTTTGTTGAAAAAAATGCCCAGCCATATTTTTGCGGCAACATCCCCATTTCTGCCGGTTACATGGCGTTGTCTGAAAATTGGATGCCCCTACTCTACTGGTTAATCATGTTCCCCATGAAAATTGCTATTTGGTGGTATACCCCATTATCAGACAGACACACACATCATGTTATATAAATCCCGGGTTTCTTGTGGGTGAAATACAAGTACCTGCCCAGCCCTGCACCTGTCGCTGCTGTCTTCCTTGGCTTCTTTGCGCCTGCAGCGACCCCAACCTGTCGCGAACGGACGAAGGATTTTGAGACCAAAAGGACGGTGGAAACCAGCGAGAAAACTGGATAAATAGTGTGGAAAACGGCTACAGTTAGCTTGGGCCAAGATCTATTAGCAATCATGGACAAACATGTTGGAAAACGGCTAAGCGGAAAAAAATATGTATAGGAAGAACATGCCAACCAAAATGTAGAACCAGCAGAACTATTGTGAAAATTGGGACATGAGCAACCAAACTAACCCCCAGAAATGAGTACATGAATTGTAATGACCAAAATGTAGACATGACGTGAAGTAGCAAGTTCAATTGTGACCATCTTTTGGGCGTGTGCTGGCTGCAAAGGGGAATGGGAATCTGTGATAAAAACCAGCGGGAATTGCCTTCCAAAGAATATGAATTGGCTCAAGAAATTGATCCACCGCTTGATCCATCGCCTCTCACCATCCAGACTTCCAAAATCCACTTTTCCCTCGCTCCTCAGAGACGACGAGTCTCAAAGGGGCCAGTTGGTGTGGGATTTCTATGGATTTATAAATCTTACTTCATCAGAATGGCATGTTTTGTGGGGGCGTGTCCAGTCTAACCAGACAGGCCCATCCCCATCACCGAGCCACAAATCTCGGGGTAAAAAACCCATGGATATTATCCTCCATTGAGCAGTGTGAAATAAATCCCTCTATCATTGCATTGAATCCTGGTTGTTTTCTTTTGGGATTCCCCGTTCTTGGATTATGAAACAATCCCCAATGTATGAAGGGTAGTATAATCCCTATAATCATCAACCAACAGTGGTTTTAGCAGCCACTGCTCAATTAAACCTTCCTTTCAGAGCCATTCTCCGCCATGGCACAGTACTTTGGTCATCCGCACCGTCTCAAACTGCTTCACTTCCTCCACGCTGAGTTCCGGCACCACCTGCACCAGGTGAGTTGAGCCAAAGTGGATGGGGAAACCGTGAAACCATCAACAAAACTTTCATGGGATTATCATTTCATGTTCATGGGATCTATTAAAAATGGTGTTTGAATGATTTTTAATAATGATGTTTATAATCACCATCTAACTAATCTAACTATAGGTGAATCAATATATATATATAGTGGTTCTATGATGGTCCAATTCATGGGATTTTTAGTGAGATTCTCATGGGATTTCATGGGAGCTCATGGGATTTTCCAATGGGATCCGTGCCCGTTGGGATCAGCACCTTGGGCGTTGCTTCTGACCTCGGCACTTCGAAGGGAGGCACTTGGGGGGTGCAGTTGGGGGGTGCATTGGGTCTGGGGTGTCACTTTATATTCCAACTTATGGGTCATTAAATACCCACTAATAAATCTAATAATTTCAACATATTTCAACTGCACCCCCAAGATCCCCCAAGTATATCCAAGTATATCTATCTTATCTTCTCGTTTGATCTAGCAATTCTTGCAAAATCATCGATGTCTCTATCCTTTCTTGTGCGCCAATCTAGCGGCCTATCATGACCTATCTATCTTCTCATACCATCTGGCAATCAAACATGGCAATTGAAAATCCACCCTTTATAGCTATAGATATTGTCCCATTAAAGCCTCCATTTGTAGGGGATGTTCAATTGCCACGTCTGATTACTGGAAGGTATATGTCCTCGTCTGTATACACTTTGCGAGTGCGTGCCTGTGTGTTCATGAATGTGGATGAATATGGGGTGTATGATGCATTGCTCATCTTCTCAATGCTTTGCTTCATTTGTGTGTCATCTGTTTCTGATTTCTTGTCAACTCTGCTAAACATGCACCACCTTTGCCAGTGTGAGTGGTGGCTATGGGGAGCTAGGGCCGATCCTACTGACTGGGAAGTTGCTGTGGAATCCCATTGTAAGCAACACGATTCCTGGATCGTTTCAACTAATCCAAAAATGCATAATTAGACAAATTTCATATGCATGCGCAATGAAGAATGTGTATTGCCGGGTTTTATTACCCAAGGGCAATGACCAAATAAGTTCAATCGCAATTGATAGTTGAATCTGGTGATGATGGTTGCTGACGAAATCCGGAAATCCAGCAGGAAATCCAGCAGGTTCATCCACGTTCAGAAATCATGTTGAATGGTCATTCAAATGATGCCCCCTACTGCAAAAATCAGGGGAAAAAAAAAACGAGGCCAGGGCCCATTCTGCAACTTCTCCACTGCCACCTGGCACAGGCCGGAGTTCCATGATGTTTGCCATCGTTCCAAAACAGGGTTCCAAGTACCCCGTAGATCCCCGTATGTGCGGATGGTTTATAGCAACTACTTTTTTTGCTAAAATTGTGGTGTAAGGAGGGGGTTACCACATCCTTTGTCTCCAATGTCTCCAGGATTGCGTTACCTGGAGATCTTCCACTGCGACCCGAAGCTGAGCTGCTTGGTCAGACCTTAGGGCGTAGCACCGCTGTGACCCTTGTGAAACCACCATCGTGTCTTTACATGTTGTTCTGCTATGACCAGGGCTAACATTTTGATACTCACTTAACAGGCATGAAATCTCCTTCTAGCATGTTCTACCTGCATATGTTGCTTCCATATTCGTCGACAACACCCCATATCATGTTCCCCCTTTCGTGGCAAAGGATTAAAATAAATGCTTCCCCACAAATAAATCTATGCTACAAAATATCTACAGATATTAAATACCCTCTGGTAATTTAACATAGCTATTAAAAATAGTCATTTATAATGGAATTTCCCATTAAAAATGGTGATTTTCCATAGTTATGTTACTTTACCAGAGGGTACCCGCATATTATGGGCCAAAAATGAACAAATCATAACAAATCCATGACGTCCATGGGACCCCCCAAGCAGCCGAACGTGAACTGTCGTGTCGAAGCCTCCTCCGTACGAAGCCGGGCCTGGCTCTTGGAACCAGGGCAGTGGTTGTGCGGATTTTGGTGGTCTTCGGAGATGAACTTCATTTTCTTCGTGAAATTCTTGGGGGCCAATCTTTTTTGCGCGCGCAATCATGACTTGGAAGAGGTTGTGAGATGTTGTGAGTATTGCGGATCCACTACAACAGCCCCCAGATTCACCAAATGGAAAGGTGCTCCGTTCTGTCTTTAGCAAATGAAATGTTACTTTCCTCGTCCACGTCGGGACCCCTCTACTGCAGCTGGCCCATGATTCCAGGAATCCCACTGGTCACTGGGTGATGATTGTACCATTCGCCGGTTTACTCAGTTCAAGTAGTCCCGGCCGGTTCGGTAGCGGAGTTTCCAACAAAAACTCGTTGAAGCCTCGCAGGCCACCAGGTCGGTCACCAACTTTTCCTTCAGTTCCTGCGCCCAAGGTACAAGACTGATATAAACTCACCAGGTTTGCCATTGAACCAGGTAACCATCCCATCTTGGAGGTGGATTTCCTTTGAGCCATACCCATGTGGGGCATGCAATCACAAGTCCAATCGATCTATATAAAGACACCTTCATTTGGAAATTGACAAGCTGGCCGTCAACTCAGAATGAACATCATCAATTCGAACTCATCCTCATCCTCATCCTCGATTCCTGTTGGCCCTGGATAGCACCCCTTGCCCAGCGCCCTGCACTTCCACACCTCCATTTGCTCTGCCAGTTTGGGTTCCTCGAGCTCGGTCCGTGGATGTGGTGATGCATGTCCCAACGTGAACCAGGCCGTGGCAAATCACCTCCGTTCACGCGCCTCATTCTGCTTCAGGCGCAGCATTTCTTGAGCCAACTCTTCCGCCACAGCACGCGCCTCGGGAAAATCACTGGGGATGGTGGGACGGTCCTGGGCCTTCCTGGGACAATGGGATGGTTACCAAGTCGGTTTCAATCCAGGAAAACTATGTAAACAATCATCCATTTACATCCATTTACAATAAATGTTTCCATATCCAATTGGCAGCCCTCAGAGATGATAGAGTATACTTTTCACTTTCAGGTTTCTGTGCCAGATTGGCCCACTGTAGCAAACTGTGCTGGGCATGGAAGTCTGGTATATGCGGAGTATAACGGAGTGTATACAAGAGTATATACAGAGCATATACTATATAATGTTGGGTCCTGATTAGTACCTAGGGTCGCTATTGTGGCAATTTTTTCCAAATTATTCTGAAACTCATGTATTGTTTGGAGGGTTCGCTTTTGTGGCAAAACAAAATTGGGAGAGCCCTTTTTTTTGCAAAAAAAAACTGTAATTGCTGAGAGGCATTTTTTCTCAAAAACGCTGTAGCTCAGTCAAGGTAGGTTTGTTTGCTGGGTTCACTATTGCAGCAAGCTGTGCCAGAGCAGCTCCTGGAAGCCCAGAAGGGAAGCAAGCCTTTGCCAAAATTGCCAAATTCAAACCCCAAGCCTTTCCCAAAAGAACCAATCCCTTATTAAACCCTTATTAAAGAACAGCTTTTCCACAATTTTCCAAGGCCCTGGACCAGGAGAGGCTCCATTTCACTTTAGTAGGTTTGTTTGCTGGGTTCACTATTGCAGCAAGCTGTGCCAGAGCAGCCCCTGGAAGCCCAGAAGGGAAGCAAGCCTTTTCCAAAATTGCCAAATTCAAACTCCAAGCCTTTCCCAAAAGAACCAATCCCTTATTAAACCCTTATTAAAGAACAGCTTTTCCACAATTTTCCAAGGCCCTGGACCAGGAGAGGCTCCATTTCACTTTAGTAGGTTTGTTTGCTGGGTTCACTATTGCAGCAAGCTGTGCCAGAGCAGCCCCTGGAAGCCCAGAAGGGAAGCACGCCTTTTCCAAAGGCAATTGCCAAATTCAAACTCCAAGCCTTTCCCAAAAGAACCAATCCCTTATTAAACCCTTATTAAAGAACAGCTTTTCCACAATTTTCCAAGGCCCTGGACCAGGAGAGGCTCCATTTCACTTTAGTAGGTTTGTTTGCTGGGTTCACTATTGCAGCAAGCTGTGCCAGAGCAGCCCCTGGAAGCCCAGAAGGGAAGCAAGCCTGTTCCAAAATTGCCAAATTCAAACTCCAAGCCTTTCCCAAAGGATATTGAACCCTTATTAAAGAACAGCTTTTCCACTAGTACTACAAGTACTACAAGTACTACAAGTACTACAAGTACTACAAGTAATGCAAGTACTACAAGTACTACAAGTACTACAAGTACTACAAGTACTACAAGTACTACAAGTACTACATGTACTACAAGTACTACAAGTACTACAAGTACTACAAGTACTACAAGTACTACAAGTACTACAAGTACTACAAGTACTACAAGTACTACAAGTACTACAAGTACTACAAGTACTACAAGTACTACAAGTACTACAAGTACTACAAGTACTACAAGTACTACAAGTACTACAAGTACTAAGTACTACAAGTACTAAGTACTACAAGTACTACAAGTACTACAAGTACTACAAGTACTACTACAAGTACTACAAGTACTACAAGTACTACAAGTACTACATGTACTACAAGTACTACAAGTACTACAAGTACTACAAGTACTACGTACTACAAGTACTACATGTACTACAAGTACTACAAGTCTATAAGTACTACAAATACCACAACTTCATCGGCAAAAAAAACAATCTTAATTAGATTTCAATTGTAGCCAATTGAAATCCTTACTTAATCGAGGATATGTTTTTCTTTTGGGAAGAAATTTTTGCTTTTCTACTTTAAAGAGAGTCCAGATATAGTTTAGGGGGGGGGGGGCCACACACTAATCAGGAACCAACATTACAGAGATATACAGAGTATACTATATGCAATGCAGAGTATATACATATATGTATACATATGATATATAAGTATATTATATATATATAGATATACATGTGCGTACACGTATATCTGTGTAATTTTCGACAGCGCTGAGACTTGAAAACGTGCCACTCGTCCAGAAGTTTGAAAATATGGAACCTCAAAAGGACAATAGTTGTATTCTTGGGCTGCCCCTAGCGTGCCTACGCACTATCAATATATATATATATATATCAATACTAAGGCATTCGGAAAGCAAGACCCAGGTTAGGTTTTTGAAGCTGGACAGCGGGCTGCCAAGCTACATTGGACACGGCCTCTTTCAGCTCATGCCGAAGCTGGTCGTGAATTTCACCCACCTGACGATGACAAGAGTTGATACCAAAGAGCGAAGTTCCTGGCAACTGGGAAACCCGAACTCGAACTCCTCTCTAAATTTGGTGATCAATCCTCTAAAACCGGCTAAAACCTCAGAAAAATCCATGTTTTTTCTCGCCACTTCCAGTGATTTTTTCGCCACAGCCTGCTGCTTTTGCTCGTGGCAGAAGTCGCGGGTGGTGTCACATTCGCGGAGCACCTGTGTATCGGTCAATGCCGTGGTGACATGCAAAAACTGGCCCTTTCACCCATGTGTTTCATCATTATCTTCAGTCAATATGACCTGGCCACTGGTAATGTCATTCACCATCATCAAATATCATCAATCAACATCGGTCATTTTTTACCAGCATGTTCTGCGACATTCACCATCTTTCACCATGAGAAATCACCACCACTAGCCATCATTAACCATCACTAACTTACCGGTTACCCCGATCCTGTCTTTCACCAACACCTTGGCTTCCAGATTGGAGAGTTCGGCTTGCACATTGTTCTGCAGCTTGCTGGACCTTGGCGACACAAATCATGGCACAAGATTGCCTCTTTTTACGTGCTCCTGGTTGAAGAAAATTCTGGGAAAACCTTTCCCAGAGCAGTGGGGTGGAATGCTCATGAATGTTCAGTAAGATTGCTATTTAGAATGTGGTAGGACCATAAGAATCAATGAGCTATGAACAAAAATTGGGAATTACAAGGAAAGAAAATAACATCCACTGCGGACCGTAAAAGCCAAGGGCCAAACAGGACAACAAAATATGCCAAGCTCCCAAACTTCACAGGAAGCCACAAATTGGGAACATCTAACTAATGTCAAACCGGACTAATGAAATGAAGCTTTGCTACGCCGGTACCTCCAAGTAAACAGCCAAGGTTTTTTTATCCCAGGTTCGCGTTAGCAATGCACGCCTGGTGATTACTGAGCCTGCAACTGGTCCATCGTAAAGTCGCGTAATTCGGCCACCTTTGGAGCGCCGTCAATCACGACTGGCATCAAATTGACCAGCTATGCTACGGTGATGCAACGTGGCAACCATGATGAACCCGTGGAGTTTGAGTTCTTCCAGTTCTTCCAGTTCTTCCATGTTTCTTTTGGGCAAAGCCAATGGACAAACCGCCATGTTTACCATCCCCAAAACTAGCATTTTGTATGGGTCGGATTCCAACCATCCCCAGTCATGGTAAGTTTATCCACACCTCCTTCAGGGCAGCTTGCACCTGCCGCAGACCAGGTTCGCTATTCCTGGGCCGCCAAGGCCGGCAAGGCCAGGCTGAAGTGAAAAGATGTTGCAAGAGGGAGCAATCAACAATAATTGGATTAGAATAACTGATTCAAGAACTGGATTTCACTGATTTTAGAGCCTAAACATGGGAGTTTCACTTCGATTGTAACTGGAGAAACAACAAAACAAGAAACGGAACCAGAAGATTGGACAGTTGTGGTTGGTTTGCATGATCGCCTAATCCCAAATATTGTCTGACATATGTCGGAATAAATCAATAATTCCATAAATCCCACCGGCACGGAGGTCTCAAACCACAGCCCTGGGTATAGAAACTGGAACCCCACTGACACATTAATATGGAACCGTAAAAACCACCGCTTTGCAACATGATATTCTGGCCATGTCATGAATGTCATGTCAACATATCGTAACCTCCATAATTTCACATCTTGTCTTGGAGTTCCAGCCTTCAATTGATGCTTGAAACATCTGTTTAGCATAACTTGAGACCTCTAAAGAAGCCGAAATCATCTTTAAACCTTCAACTGTTCATCAGTTTCTGCTTGGTGGTTCAAACAAATGCATCAATTTGGATCATCATCCCAAAATATGGTGGAACCTAAAAATATATATGTTTAGAAATATTTGAAGCCACCAACCAGATTTCTACACTTGAAATATTTGAAGCTCCTCATGACCCTTTCAGCAGCCAAGGGGCAGCCAGGCCTCCCTCGCCTCTGAACTTCGTTTTTCAACCTGGCCACGTTATGCCACGTTGGGATCACGGCAAAAGATGGGTGGCCGAACAAAATACGGTAAATATGGGGATTGAACCGGCACAATTATGGATTTCAAGAGCGGAAAAGTGTGAGTGGGGCGTAAGAAACAACCCTGTGGGAAGATCACTGAAATGGGGCAGGGTACCCTTTGGCAATCTAACCCGGCTGGAAAGCTCCGATTTGTTTCAGGTTTTCCTATATCAAAGGTTGATTTGTCCTACCATGTCCTATTGTCGTGTTGATTTGAGGAGGCGGCGCGACAACGAAGCACATCAACAAGAACCGGCGACCAACAAAATCGCTGTAGCACACACATACACATACTTGAACAAACGGCCGCAAGGTTTTGTTCCATGGAGCGTTCAGCCAACAAGAATAGGATACCCGCAAAAACTATATATTTGTTCATGTATCTTGTCATGTTTCTTACCGAGCCGGAACACCTTTGATTGGCGGATATCCCCTTCCTTTTTTTGCCTTGCACCCACGACACTCTGAGGGCTTCACATGTGAGAGCCTCTCTTCCAGCCCTTGCACTTTCTCATGAGTATCCAAGCCTCATGAACCACGATGCTGACACTGGATGGCAATTTCCAGTATCTATGGATATCTAATGATATCTATGGCAATCTTTGAGGCCTTAAACCCATTCAAACCCCCTGGAAAAACCCCATGAGCTTCCCATGTGCTTCCCATGCTGGGTTCTCTCATTGGGCAATGCCTTGTGGGTCTGGACGGGGTCAAAAGCCCAGGCCATTTGATGCCATTTGATGCCCTTTGGAGCCACTGATTCTGGTGTTTTTTCAAGAAAATGATCATCTAAATCTAAGAGATCTGGCACGTGGTGCATTTGAAACGCAATTCTCGCTCCTCATTCATGCATGTAGATGCCTGCAAGGCACAAGAGATTGGTGGAAACAATACGGAACCCATATTTGGATAAATGTGGGGCCATTTCCAGTAGATCAGTAGTAAAATCATCTACTACTGACTCTTGGCCTCGATTTTGTGTCAGTTTCCAAGTGAATTTTCATCTCCGACTGGGTGCCCTCCATAGCATCACCATCCCATGGCCGCGGTTTCTATGGCTCCGGGCGTGCGGAGCTCAAACGCCCTTGGCACGCCACAATGCTCTTAGAGAGTTCGGCTGCAGAGTCCTCGGATTGGAAAATCTGCGAACTAATTGGAGGGTTGTTGGGGTGTCCAACACGCCATAAACCGAAAAAAATACGTGAAACATCTTGAAACCACTAACCAGTTTGGATTGAGTTGGTTGAAACATCCCGAAGGCGCTGCGAAAATCGATGGCTCTAGGATGTTTAGCTGGCGGTGAGGGAGAACAACTTTGGCGTCTTAAAGCCAGCCCCAGAACTGTGGCAATGTCAGCCCCCCTCCGAATTGCTTTTGTTCATGATGAACTCTGAACATGTTTTAAGCCAATTGTATTTTGGGGTACCCTATAATATTCTTAGCGAAACATATCCCAGTAAATATGCCCATGTTGCTCGGTTCTCTGCCCCAATGCAATCTGGCTCTGAACATATGATAGTTGCGGGCAGTCCCTGAATACGGGGCACCCCTACATCCGTTGATTTTAGCATCATGTTCATTCAAACGAACGCCCCGCGGCCAAACAGTCCTGCATGGAAATAAAATGATTCATGTTGATTCATGTTCCATTCATTTCCCTAGATTCAAACTGCCATAACTTGCTGGCCCTTCCAGCCCGGTACCCCCCCGTGCCTGGATCTGTTGAGACATTTCCTGCTGCTGCTGCGACAAGTCTTTCTGCCAGGGTTTCCCCTGCCGCGGCGGCAGCCACGAGGTGTAAAATCCGAAAAGGTTGAGCAACTGAAAAATTCGGTCTAAATCAAGAACTGGGAACCAAGATGTATTAAAGTCTATCAACCATCCAAACAATTGGATTTTAGCCTTTTAGCCATCAAAATGGTGACTTTACAAGCCAAATTGAGGAATCAACCAATGAAATGGAAGTAAGGGAGGAAAAACCTCACTGATTTTGTGGGTGGCTGATGGGTGCATTCTCTTGCCCCAGCATAAGCCGCACGGCGATGTCGACAGTTTCTTTCCAAATCGCAAGATCGCTCGAAATCATCGCCGTCACGCAACCCGTCGCTCCGCTAGTTCCTGGGGGCAGCTCAAGAACATCGGACTGGCAGTGCAGCTTGAGTTCGACGAAAGGCATTATCCTGCAAGGGATACTTTGCCATACTCCACTTTGAGAAGATTCGAGTCTTTCGAGGTTTAAATGTTTTTAAATCTGGTGTTTGTGCGTGCTGTATCACCTGGCCTCGGTCCATCATTCGACCAGCTAATATACACCTCTTCCAGTCCTCCAGCTTGAAGAACTTGTGCAGCCGCAGAATGTTTTTTTTCCAGATGGGATCCTTCCCTTGGTTGAATGTCCTATAGACGGAGGCCCAATCCAGTATCTTTCGCAAACCTCTTCCGTGTGATCGCGAGCGGTCATCCATGAAAGGCGGCATCCCATGTCCACATCGGCAACGAAGCTCTGTCCACTTCGTTTGGTTTGGGAAAGATTTCTCTGGCGCCCAAATCAAACGCAAAAACGCAGAACTGCTGCTACGCAAATTTTCTTGAGCCCCTTACCCATATCAACTGCCATCTGAAGGCTTACATTAATACCGCGCGACAGCCAGCGTGAAGAGATGCCAAAGGTGCGTCATAGCTATATAGGCTGCGCTAATCTGTCACAGAGCCTTGAGCCTCTGTTCAAATCAGAAGTTAAACCCTTTGGTTTTGTAGCCGGCCCTACCTTAATAATTCATGCATTCTTACACCAACAGTGAGAATACCCCAAAAAACAGCGAGCGGTGTTGGGGACCTGTGGCTTTGGACTTGGTTGACCCCAAACCCTGGATGTTCATCCCAGTTCATCGTCAGTACCCAGTACCCCTGGTGAGGCAGCGCCCTAACTGGGGCGATCACCTGGATCTGCTGGGAGAGTTCTTGCTGAATCTGAGCCAAGTCTTTCTGCCATGGTCTCGCCTTGCCGGCATAAGTTCCGCATGGAGTTGTGCACATTGCGTTGCCCATACTTTTGTTGCTTTTGTGGAACATATATACTTGATGACATGTACAAGTATGCGTGCATGTGTGTGTGTGTTGGTGCGCTTGTTTCTGTACACACACACACTTGTTCAGAACTATCCTTGCGGATTCTGATGTGGAGTGCATCTTACGTGCAAAAACACTCCAATTATACCTGACAGGAATGGGTCGATGAAAGGACCCGAGAGAAATTCAAAAAGCTACCATCGCCATGGGCCATAGCCATTACTAGATGCAAAGAGTTGGAAGCTGATCCTTCCCTTTCAACTAAGCCAAATCGTTCCCACCTTGACAGATTTCGAAAACCGTGCAAAAATGCATGACGTAAAAACAAATTGTTTGAAAACGGCATGGCGGTTCTTGGGTTAGCCACGTCCCATGACCAGAAAGTAAAATTTCGCAGGTACGTCGGGATGATCAGTCCCAATATCCTCCCAACTCATGAGTAGCTTCGTCGGCAGTGGACTCATGAGTGGGCCACTGCCCCCTGCTTGAAACATAGTACGGTTCACGAAAAAACCTAAAAGACAACGGTTAGAAGTTTTACATCTGTTCAGATGTTCCACACACACACACTTGCTCAGAAACATCTTATCGAATTACTGATGTGGAATGCATCGTACGTGCAAAAAACACTCCAGTAAACCTGACAGGAGATGGTGAATGACCAGGCGTGAGAAACAGTGTAGAAGAATTCTGCCGCTGAAACTGTAACAACGTAGTGGACAGCGTGTTCAACAGTTAAAAACTATCTGCAGGTACACATCTGGGCGTCCCCAGTTGCTTCCCCTTCAGTGACATAGCTTCGTTGGGCAAGGTAGTCACTGAAGGCCTTGCCCCGCTGCTTTTGTTGGAAAATCAAATGAAAAAGCCAAAAAGGCAATGTCAAAATGGAAAACCATTGAAGCACATCATCAAGCAAGTTAGAAGTTTTACATCTTTTCAGATGGTCCACACACACACACCCTCCCGCAGGAGGGTGGGACATTAAGGTCCCGACAATGAGATGAAAATGAAGAGGAA